TCGGTTGGTGGTAGGTAAGTCGGTTGGTGGTAGGTAAGTCGGTTGGTGGTAGGTAAGTCGGTTGGTGGTAGGTAAGTCGGTTGGTGGTAGGTAAGCCTGTAGCTCGTGGTTGGCGGTTGGTATGTGTAGGTGAATGGTCAGTAATCCGCGTAGAGACATATAATGTAGTTTGCTTCTTGTACGAGCAACCGAGCTTGTACTACTCTCTCGCGGTCGCAAATCCCAGCGTGACGCATATCCGGTTCGACATTTGTTTTTACACTGGCGGCCTTTTCTTCTTGTCGTTGTGTTCCAACACCGCCCATTTCGTCATCTCATCATTTTCCATCTCAGGATGGATGGCGGAATGACTGATCGACTCACTCCTTCAGCCATCCTGAGACTGAAAAGACCCGCGACCTTCATATGACCTCGATGCACTGACACAACGACACAAATCTGCCGGTGGTGGCGGTGACGACGGCGGCGGTAGTGGCGGCATGGCAGTCGTTTCGTCTTCGCAGCCACTGAGTCCGCCGGACACCAAAGGTGGATTCTCCGAGTAGACTGGTAAAGTGGCATTCCCGTCACACAATTTACACGTCAAGATCTGGATGGGCATTCGTATTCGGATCTGGAATTGTTTGCGATCGTTTTCGTTGACTTGAACATGTGCGGCGATGGTTATCTGTGACCACAAAGAAACACACTCAAGGTTAGCAAAATATGTACCGTAGACACACACATGGCCTGTATAGCCAGGGTTGGTAAAACTTGGGACTCACCGAAAGATAATGCCGGACGTATAAACACTTGTACGCCGTATCTGCGTCGATCTTCGAACACGAGGGTATATTCAAGAGGGCCTTTTCGTGTAGATATTGGTAATCCGGATCCGTCCCAGTACCACCTCCACCGCCATCGGTAACGTACTCGTGATGCGACAGCGACCGATGCAACCACATATCGTCACCTTCCTTCTTCTCAATCACCACGCCACTGGCGTACGACGGGGCCATTTTCTCACCCGCGGCACTGATCCGTCTGAGTGCCCTCTGATGCAAGGGATCCCGCTTCGCACGATTCGTGTACAGCACGGCCTTGGTGCGCGATTGTTCACGATAAGCCAGTCCGTTACGTGTTTGATACTGCATGTCTTCAACCAGAGACACGTTGATACTCTGCCATGACCGATCGGGAGGGGAGGCGATCTTGATGGTCATCGGTAATTGACCGCCTACTCGGCATGATTTGGCCGCCAGGTTGAAACTGTAGCGGAGGCCGTGTAGGAGGCCATGGACTTCGTACGGCTCCGAGAGCTCTAGGGAGCACACGCACGGGATGCGCACGAGGGTGACGGGTTGCGTCAGGGTCGCGGTCGACGAGTATTGTCCTCCCTCCCCGGCGCCCGCGGCTGCGAGAGCCGTTAATGTATACGACAGCTTCCCCAATGGTAGGTTGATCGACTCGGGTAGCCAGCTTTCAAGAGGTCGTTCAAACGGGAAACTGTATTGCCCTGGCTCGAATCTCCGGGTATGTTGTTTCGCATTGCGATTTGTGGTGGAGGTGGTGGCGGCTGTCGTCGTCGCCGTGATGTCGTCGACTACCGAATTCTTATCTGTCCGTAGAAAATTCCACGTCTGTTGCACCACCTCTTCTCGAAATACCTTGTGCAGTTTCCGGACGCGCCATGCTTCAGGCCAGATGGTCTCGTTCTCTCCCCGAAAGTTCAGTCTCAAGGCGGACAGGGTCGTCGGCTTCAAGATGGTCAGATTCATCACGCCTCTGAGAACGGTAGACCTGTGTTCGGAGTTGTGCGGAAAATCGAATCCTTCCAGGTACAGAATCGGCTCGGCCAGCTCAAGAGACAATGTGAAGCCATCGGCGACTGCCATTGTCTGGTCAGCGGCCTGGTCTTTGATGTTTGGTAGACCTCTGGCAGTGGCTCCCGACCGTGGTGGTGATGGGTGACCATGCCTGGCCTGGCCAGAGGGTCTCTTCTGTTGCTGCTGCTTCTCTCCATCCTCGCCGCCGCTCGACTTGGTTTTGTTGCTCGGGAGAGCGATCTTGCTGGTAAAAGGCGACAGCCAGGAGTCGACACTAGGAAGAGCCTGAGGTCTCGATTGGAAGTAGACCTCGTTGTCCTTACTGGCCTCGTGGTGCTTTCTGGTGGAAACGAAGAGACGACCTTCGATCGCCGAAGTGACCTCCTTGTAACCTTCCATGCTTCTCGGTCCTGATTTTGCACACACTTAGCGCTGGTTGCCGGTGCCTCGTATCGAAGTCCTATTGTACTGGTTTTGAAATGTACAGCAAGTACTTGGCCGCCCACTTCCGACCTCTTTGCCGATCAACGCTGAACAAAAGAATTGCTCACGAAATTAGGAGCCATTGCCTTCCATTTCTTCCGCTGTCAGGTCAGGACAGGGCAGAGGTCGTTGCAGGGGTTTCGCAATTGACCGTAAACGCGTAATGTTAGCTGGGCGACAGCACGGGTGCGCCTGGCAGTCAAAAATGTCTTGACATATGGACTTTTACTGTCAACGCCACGAACACAAGAGAGACGACGCTGGGTTTGGCAACAAGGCAGGACGAAGGCACACAAAAGCAAGGTCGCGTCTTCAAAAAGAAAAGCTGACGAGCCGTGGCATGGGCATTGGCATGGGCATACTGTACATTAGGCATGTGCAGTGGGCGTGGGCGCGGGCTGAGGCAGCACCGGGCTTGAATAATTAAGGCGTCTCATCCGAGCTCACTAGTACCTCGACTACCTCGCAGATGGTTTAGCCATGGAGGTTGCAACGTGAGGTCCGGAATCGTTGGGAAGATGGTAAAATGGGGATGTGTGGTTCCTTGATCCTTGGGCTCGGAAGCTCCCGAGACCGAAGCTGCTTGTCCGGAGGAGATAAGCGCATGAGAACCACGCACAACTTGCAAGGGTCGAGGTGGCATTAATTACTCTACATTAGCCAAAAGTCACGCAATCCCTGGAGCGCCGACGGACACGCGCAGGGGCAGTTCTTACACCCTCGGATCAGTTACCTTTCTGGGGTACACACGTGCCTTTGATCGCATACTAACTACTGTATAATCGCCTACTACTTGTAACTATAGTCATGACAGACTCGACACAATTGGCCTCAGCAGCTTTGCGGGTTTTATCAATGGGCATAGTAAGTACTCCGTATAAGCTGCCGAATAAAGCTCCCACATTGGGTATACCTGAGAAGCCAAGGGGCCAATGAAAAATCAGAAAACGGGCAGTATGTCTGACTGGCCAGGCGAGGAACTACGATTCCGTCTTGCATAAAACACCCTGTCAGTTCAGCATACTGTACTACCTAAAGCCGGCATTCGTCATTCCTATCTCTAGGTACCTGATGTCACTACGTCGTAGTATAAATGGTAAGCCTGGACTCCGCAGCTTTTCCCCCCTTCAACTCCGCGTAAATCCCGGATCGTGGTGATCAGCCGATCAACCCTCTCGGAGCTACGGACGTCAGAGCCGTGAACGAAGCACGCAACACCCTGCACAGCGCGCGGGTAGATATGTCATGGCCGGGCCAGCACAATCAGACACCGAAATGGCGAACACGACACCTAAAGGTTAGACCGCGGCGACCGGAACACAAAAAACCATGCCGGCTGATGTACTGGTGAAGTCAGGTTCGAGTATATTCAGTGCTTTTGCTGCCCTTGGTGCCGCCTCTATGGACATTCTCAGCGCGTTGTTCCCTCACACTCTGTCCACAAAATGCAAAGTTACAATGGGCCGTCTGAATTGAACACCCCAGTTTTTCCCTCCATTGAAGTGCCTCTGATTAGCTCCTGGCCTCATAACCGTACCGAGAGCGGAGTACTGGTCTGCTTCATAGCCTCGGAGTTGCAGGGGGGCCCTTGTGGATCAGGTCAGTAGGGTAGATGCCTGGGTTCTGCATGGGGACCTACCGAGTGTAGCTACAACGTCCTCATGTCCACGACGCAGCGAATGCAGTCGCCGGCGTGCATGTCGTGGAATGCGTCGTTGATCTTGGAGAGAGGCTGTCGGTGGGTAATGAATTCGTCAACTGCAACGGATTAGTACACCAGCATCCAAGTAGCAAGGCGATTTGAAGTGGTTACCCTTGAGCTTGCCGTCCATATAGTCTGCAACGAGACCTGGGAGCTGAGATCGGCCCTTGACACCGCCAAAGGCACAGCCTCGCCACACACGACCGGTGACGAGCTGGAATGGTCTGGTGGAGATCTCGGCACCAGCGGGAGCTGTGAGATACGGTTAGACACATAGAACAGCAACACTGCAGCTGGAACGATAAGACTTACCGACACCGATGATGATAGATTCACCCCAGCCCTTGTGGCATGCCTGTGCAACTGGTCAGAAATGGCCTGCCGTTAAACCGAAAAGAAGACAACACCCACCTCGAGAGCAGCTCTCATGACACCGACGTTGCCGGTGCAGTCGAAAGTGTAGTCGCAGCCACCGTCGGTCATCTCGATCAGCTTCTCTTGGATCGTCTGGCCGTTCAGCTTGGTGGGATTGACAAAGTCGGTGGCTCCGAATTTTTGGGCCCATTCTTCCTTCTTGTCGTTGACGTCGACGACGATGATCTTGCCGGCCTCGTTCTTGACCGCACCCTGGATGACAGAGAGACCTACACAGCCCGCTCCGAAGACGGCGATGTTGGATCCCTTTTCGACCTTGGCGGTGATGACAGCGGCACCGTATCCGGTGGTGATACCGCAACCCAACAGACACGTTCGGTCCATGGGAGCCTTGTCGGTGATGGCGACCACGGAAATATCGGCCACGACGGTGTATTGAGAGAATGTTGACGTGCCCATGAAGTGCAGGAGGTCCTTGCCCTTGCACTTGAATCTGGACGTGCCGTCGGGCATGACACCACGGCCTTGCGTGGCTCGAATCTTGCCGCACAAGTTGGTCTTGCCCGATTTGCAGAACTTGCATTCTTTGCATTCAGGTGTGCTGTCACAGGTCAGATGGTGTCGGCTCCGGGAGGGAGAGAGATGCTCAGCGTACTAAAGAGCGACGACGGTGTCGCCGGGCTTGACGTTGGTCACACCCTCGCCGACGGATTCGACGACGCCCGCGCCCTCATGTCCGAGGACGATGGGGAAGGCACCCTCGGGATCCTTTCCGGAGAGGGTGTATGCATCTGGTGACATGAATTTAGTTGTTTCATTCTCCGCCTTTTTCTGATTATGTCGTTTACACACCGGTATGGCAGACACCAGTGTAGTATATCTGGATTCGCACCTCATGGGCCTTTGGCGGTGCTACCTCGATGTCCTCGATGGTCAGGTCCTTGCCGGCATCCCAGGCAACGGCAGCCTATACAAGAGTCAAAAAGGTCGTCGGGTCGTCCGCGTTGGACAAGAGGGTTTCGGGTCCCGCACCTTGCACGTAATGGTCTGGTGTCGCGACACTGTCAGTATCAATGTGGCCGTCGGGGTTCTCGATGTCACATACCTTTCCAACGGTACTGGCAGACATTTTGAGCTGTATGGACTGTGTGATTTCAGACGGAGACTCTAGAAGACAGGGAGAGGAGAAGGTGAACAGCGACGACAAGAAACGAGCACACGGGAATATGTCATTGAGAATCTGCTGCCGAAGTGGGGTTGTTGTTTATGTACGGGGAGCTTTCTGCGATGTGGTGGGGAGATTCTTCTGTGGTGCAGTCAGTGCGAATAGGAGCACGTAGATGTGCCTGGTAAATCATTTTGCCAGAGTCACGAACAAACTCCGAAGGCTTGTGCATGTTCCGACCTGCTGGTGTCCTCGTCTTTGTATAGCTTGCCGGCCCCGCGCTGTCTTGGTGGTCGAGCCCATTGTGCTAGAGTCTAGACAGGCGCTTCTATTCGCTTTTCTCGGGACAATTCGCATCCTGCAAAATCTCTGATCATCCTCGGCGCCTCTCGAGACATGCCCAAACAGAGCGAGCGCAATAACAGTTTACGCCTTGCAGCCTTTGCTGCCCAGAACTTGGGAAGGTCAAGGCTAATGTGGCGCCTCTTCCCCTCCCGGCCCGGAGAAAATCGCCAGTTCCGGAAAAAGCATACGAGCAAGGCTCCGACGACTACGTTCCTTGGGTCCCATGCCGAATACTGCATACGGACACACGCGAGACTCTCACTGGGCCTAAATGCACGTTAAGACATCATTCATTATCATTCATTCAGCCAAATACATAACTTTTCGAGCAATGATGCTCTGTAGACGGCAAAACCATCATATAACCAGTCTCATCCCGCTGCTGATCGCCGCCATCTTAACCCCATCCGAAGATTGGCCCAGCCCCTTGCACCTGCTCTATCCCACAACTGGAAAGCTCCCGCCTTGTCCGTAGACATGAATCCACTGGTCCAGAAAATGAAAAAGGGCGTACGTATCGTCCTAGAGAGTAATGAAGCTTCACGCCTTTCAGAAGAGACGTCTTCATCAGGCCGACGAGGTTACCGAGAGAATATGACGACGACAGGCCTGCTTGTTGTCAGTACTTCTCATATCAAATGATGGTGTCCTGGGAAACTTACCTGGAAACGACCGCATAAAATCACCACATACCATCCAACACCAATTGTGAGTGGGAAGTATTTTGTCGGCCGATTTCCCTGCAGCGTGGATCACGATCGCCATGCACGCACGGTCAAACAGAGAGGTCGAGTATTCAACCCAGAAGGAATCGGATCCTAGCCCATGCTTGAGTAAAATTTGTACGATTTGTTTCGGTGTCATGGTCTTGCCTTTTACAGGACCGTTGCGGTGTCCCCGGATTCTCTGCACCGTTTCAAAACTTTGCGGATCGCGATATCCTGGCTTTTGTAACTTGTTGTCAAACTCAAAATTTGTCAGGCCTTCGGCACCGATGATGCAGGTCACAATGACCTCGTTCTGCCCATTTCTGACCGTTATCTTGATTGGACAGAGAGGCAATCCCTTCCTTGTTATCGGCACGCTCTCGAAGTCGGCGATGAAGATCTCGTGAGGATTGGTCTGCTGGAGCGACTACTTCATTGCCATAGCCATTAGAGCCAAGGGCCGGCGCGAGACGTGATCATGAAGTGTTGCGCGGTTGTGGACTTTTGACGCAATGCCGACCCGCTCCATTTTCTTGCTGGTACCATCCTCACAAACAGCCTTAAGTCCAAATTCGAAAGGAAATGGACTTGAACATGATGTGTTGGTTGAAGAATCGGTTATCCCGCACAAAGCACAGATAGAATGGTGGATTGGTCTTCTGTACAAGGGGTTGCTGGGTGAGTGACATCAAAAGACGCAACATTCAACACATGGTCTCCTCAACTGTAAAGAGCTTCTTGAGGGGCACAAAGAGCAGCCTCGTTGTGTCAGCCCCAAGAGGTGGTTGAAGTAGCCCTTCAGGTGTTGTCGGCGTTATCATCGACCTCGGCATTTCATTTGAGATGAACATATGGTCACTGTTACTCCAGCGGCGACCCTTAGCCGTACCAGGTGTTGTTCACCACGACGGAGATGGCTTCCAACATGGCACGGATTCTGTCAGGGGAGTTAGTTTCAAATGAATCTGGGGGATTGGGGACAACAGACCGTGCGGTAGCTCAAAGGCTTTGTATATATATAGACACGGTGGTAGTCTGACTTGGTCCCAGGTTGGTACCCCGAGGGGTAAGGGAGATAGAGGAAGGGACGAGAAAGTACGGGAAAGGGTCTGTGAGATTTATATATATGCAGCCATTCAACCAACGGGCGACGCTTTGGCAGTAAATAGATAGGCAGATCTATTTTCTGCGTGGTTATTGGGCAAGATCGAGTGAGATAGTGACATGGCCAACAATGAAATTTTACATTGTTTGCCTGTGGCACTTCATGGGCAGTGATGAGGGCCACAACGGGCTTGCTCATAAAGCCCCATTCAAGCACAATGGCCCATTCAAGCAGGACCTGTGTATGCGATGGATTCAAGGTAGTTGCTGCTTTTGACAATGGAATAAGTGATAGAGACTCACCTCAGTGTTGCGACCCTCTCACGGAGCCCAAGTGCTGGCCCGAATCCTGGTTTTCACGAGCCGAAGCTGCCCAAAGCTGTAATCCAGGGATGAATTCTTGATTTTCTGTGGTGGCGTCACGATGTTATTCATGCTCACAAGTGATCATAGAAGAGCAAGGATGGAGAAGAAGAAAGCCCAGTAATCATGACTGCTTTGAGTGTGCTCTCGCGTTCACACGTTCTCCTTTTGCGGAAAGCTACCTTGCCGGCGATGCTGGACATTGAGCACTTTTTCGCCGTTGGATCAGCACCATCAACCTGACTACGAAATACATAGATGCCTTGCCTGGAGATAGTGAACTGAGAGGCCGCGCAAAATGTCTTGCATATCCGGGTTCACAAAGCACAGACCTTCTGTCAGTTAATGATGTTGGGTGCTGTGGTGTTTGAACTCAATGCAGCTGTTGTATTGTACAGACGATCATGTACCATTGAGTAAGAGAGGTGTTCGACCAAGCCCTACTTACGGAGTAGGGAGTATGCATTTCGAAATCGCTGGAGAGATATCGATCGAATAGTAAGAAACGCCATTAGCCCAGACCCTTATCCCATCAATGTCCAGCTACATCAGCCGGCGGACCAAGATCCTCTTTTTTCAAATCTCCGTATTGTACAATTGGCGTACTACTTTTCAATCAAGGTGTACCAAGAGTGACCGTGACTTTTATCTACCTCCAATGTTGCCAGCCTGCATCATTGCCGCGTTTTGCTCTTGGAATCGTTCGCCTATCCGCTCGTTGCTTCTCATGTATTTGTCGACGCATTTCATGACGCAGGACTCTTCCCGGGAGATGAGAGATTTGGTAGTGAAGTCGTTGACGCAATGGTCGAAGCATCGTTGCACCAGTTTGGAGTACATCTTCATACCGTTCCAAAAAGTCAGCTGGCGGCGTCCATGATCCATGCGAAATCACCGAGGGCAGGAAGCGTTCGGGGAGGAATTACCGTCATGAATTCCTTCATCTGCTTTCTTTCCATCCGAGAGTTCAACTCTCTCTGCTCTGCTGCTGTGAGACTACATTCGAACCATCAGTGAGCTGTGTCTGCGCATGTTGAAGAGTGGCCGTACCCGTCCATTTTGATTGAAGCTAGCTTTGAACAAGAAAGAGTCCGTGACAAGTTCCGTCTGCAGGGTCTCAAAATATTCAGGCCGGAGGTAGGATCCTTGCAATGGCAATCTGGATTTTGTCGGGATGGATGAACTTCAATTGTACACTCCGTCGGTTGCTCAAGTCATGGCTTGGAGAAAACTGCGGTCCCGGCTTGGGGCAGTCAAAGGGGACACGTGACCTTCCCTGTATTGGGCCCCAGGCCATGCCGCCCTACGCTCAACACGCTTGGCGCTACAGTGCCTTGCAGCCCTCAAAGACCAACCCAAACCCCAATCTCTTATCCGCACTCGTACGTAAACCCCAACATCTCGAAGCCCAAAACCACGAAGTCGCAACCACAACATTTCATCCTTGTTCTACCACTCTGAATCTGTGACTGCATTGGTCGGGTATGATCAAAGGTGAAGGACACTGCAGGTTTACACAAGGACCTTGACTGACAACTCTTGTAGGGTAGGTAATTTCCGCACCTGGAGCGAGCAGGCTTCTGAATACCTAGGGATTGACCGTTTGCAACAGACGCGTCTCACCAGTGTAAACAATCACATCCTGTGAATGCACAAAGAGGTTTGTCTCTGCAGAAATGTGTGCATTGCGTCTCACTCATCGAGGATCCTATCCGTTGCCTTGACCTCAAGTCCTCGATGAAGCAAAGCGCTGCAGTGACATCCATGTTGCAGCCAAAACATGCCGCCATCTTGTTGACTGAGCAGGGGTGTCTCTTGTGAATGAACATTCACTTCTTTCGGTGCCACACAATCATTCACTCACTCACGATTCGCATAATCAGTAAGATTTCCCACTGACAACATTATACATTTTGAGAGTGATAATCAATGTTAACCTTTATAGATTTTCCAAAGTGGAAGCAGATCAATTTGAAGTTTTATGTAATGATTATGATGATATAATAATATCATCTAAAGGTAAGTAAAGTGATAAGTGATTATAGTTATAATATATATAATATTAAGAAGATTAGTATACTAACTTTAATAGTCGCAGCATTATAAATATTAAAGTTATATACTCTTTTATTAGAAGAAATCTTTTTATATCAAGACTTCTTTATATGCTGAAGCAAAAACATAGCAACATCTCTCCCGAACCGGAATCGAGCCGGTGACCTTTCGGTAATATTGGTCTGAAATTGAAATTTGAAATTTCAATTGCAAATTAGACAATTACAGCCGAACGTGATAGCCAACTACACCATCGGGAGTGTCTGTTTGTTGAAGGAAAATTCGACTCACCTCATATTATTCAATCAAATTTTTCGCTGCTAGTGCCGGGAACTAGGCGTTGATCTTAGCCAAAACGGTTCAACTACAAGGTTGCTCCACAGGGAAGGCTCGGCGTTATCTCCCGCCTAAGACGACCGCCTAGGGCGGCCATTGCCCTTAAGAGTCCTGTTAAAGTACTTCGTATCACTATACACTTGCAATCTTCCTCGTTTAACAATTACAGTGTCGCTGGGATTTGTCCTGGATCTGGAGGCCCAACCATACCCTGAGCCGCGGCCGATCTCGTGGAACGCGGGAAGGTGGTCGAGACGTACATAGGTACGGAATATGTAGATTATATTACTCGAATTTTACCTCGCGGGGCGTCTGGTAGCCTGCACTTGTAGGCCCTCAAACGGGTCTCCAGGATCGCGAGAGGTGGAAAACGGTGATGAGAGCGATCATCTATATCTGCAGAGACACTGCTTGGGACGGCGATTACTTTTCACTCTTTTGCAACTCCCAAACCTACAAGGCAACTGGCAACATCGGTCTCTAGAGTCCTCGGCATTTTCAGTGAGAGAGGAATGGACAAGTCTAATCTAGATCTACACCGGTACATCTGGGATGGCGGAGCGGACACTAACTACTCGCCAGCCAAACCACTCTTGTTCCTCTGTTTATTAACCCGCGCAGCTCACTTCCTGCTTTCCCACATTGATCCCCTCCCGACCAACCAGAACATCTGGGTGAGAAGGTCTTCACGCCGCTCACATGACTGTGGTGGCCTAGCCATGTAACTCATCAATTGCCAATGTTGCTTTGGCTCTCAGGTCGTGCTCCTTGATATAAGCCTCGACCGTCTCTGGAAACCTTCGCCGAAAGGTGCGCGAAAACAAGGTGATCAGGATCCAGACCCAGATGGTTTTCAGCCATTGCATGACCGTTGGCCTCGCGGTCTTCTTCGCCTTCTTGTCATCCCAGTCGTCGCAGATGCGGCGGAACAGTTCGGGGTTGTCTGTGATGACGCCGTCCACGGCGCGGTGGATGCACCAAGTCATCAAGTTGGGTTCGTCGACGGTCCAGACAAAGAGTGGCCGTTTCTGTTTGCGCACGTCGCGCATGAAGCGAGCGCCAACGGGACCCAGAAGGGAGTAGAGGAGCATGTTGAAGCCCACGTGGGGCACTTTGAGATACTCGCGCGCCATGGTCGTCGAAAAGCCAATGTGCGCAACGGGGAAGTCGGGCACGTATTTCGTGCACAGCGAGAGGAACTTGGGAACCCAGATGCCCATCAGCACTCGCTCCTCCCAGGCTCGCGCGCCGGGATGGACGGACGCCAGTGTCTGCGCAATCAGTCTCATCACATCGTCGGCGTTGTTGTCAACCTTGATGTCGAAGAGGAGCCATATGTGTTCTAGACCGGGCTGGGCGACGTACTCGAGGAGATCGACGAGTCGTGGCATCGGCTCGTGTGGCTCTTGTACGGTGCGAAGCCCCGAGAGATAGTCCCAGTCGCAATCGATAATCTTCTCCTGCTGTCCAAAACACCGCTTGAGATCGGGATCCTGAGGAGATAGGGTTAGTCAACAGGTCGAATGCACCCGAGAACTCTTTTGTTCGTACATGTGAGAGAACCACAACACCGTCCTTCGTTAGGTGGATGTCCGTCTCAATAGCGTGACTCCCGACCTCGACAGCGCCCCGGAACGCCTTCATCGTGTTCTCGGGGTATTTCGTCTTGTACCCACGGTGGGCTATGGTTTGAGGGAGCCTCTCAGTTGTTTTGTAGGGTCTTGCCCACGTCCAACTTGCTGCGTGGTTTGTCAGATCAGAGCTATGAAGAATGGAGTTTAGCTGGCTTACGCTGTGGGAATTGATGTTTGGTCTCCTCTCTTGGGCCATTAATGCCGTATCCCGTTGTCAGTTCGTCTTGAGCGTCGTTGTCCTTTCTCAACAATGGCGTGTGAGCGTCGGTCGGGGGGCTTCCTTGCTTCATCGTGTGCAAGTACACCTTGGGCACGCAGGTTGATTGCCTTCTAATCCCTGAGGAATGTAGTAAACAAGTCGGTCGTATGGCCACGCGTCCAAGTCATAAAGATTGTGCCATTAAATCCGAGAAGCCCGATCGGTTTGTTGAAAGTGCCTTGTAAGGTGTCACGAAGCCATATTCAACAGGTCACAAGGGCGAAATCTCCACCACGTCCATCCGAATGCAAATGAACACGCACTCGATATGATGGAACAGACAGACAAGAGGACAATGTAGGAAAGAATTAAAGTCCGATATTGATGTCAAGATGCGCGCATATCAGGCGGCCACATTCAAGGTCAAATACCGGTGAGATCGATCGGAAAACGCGGGTTGCAACAGGGGGCTTGTATTATCGGGCATACACTAACTAAGTCAGAGGCGAAGCGACTGTTGCGACATCCGTTTTAGGGCCTGATCAGGAGCCAAAGGAGGCGACATCCATTACTCGTACAGTATGGCCCGTGGTCACCCAGCTGTAGCACATGAAACGGCAAGCCGGCGGTTAGAGTTCCAGTTGAACGAGAAAGCCACTCTGACTGCAACAATAAGAAAAAAGGGACTGCTGCCCATGTTCGCGCAGCACCGGGTCTAGAAGGCCCAGAGGCCCGAGAAGCGATTCGGCTACACGGGCATCCGAAGGCTTCTTCTGCAGCCGTGGCGCCTTCGCCCAAGCTTCGGGGCGAGAGTGCTTGTGCTTGAGCTTCTAAAATCGACTCCAGGGCGTCTGGATGGACTCGCTGGCCCACAAGGGCCACACATGGGAGGCCTGAGAAATATGCCGCAGTCTCGCAGATGCCACCATTTGCAACACCATCTTTGTTTGGTGCGCTTGTTTTCAGAGCCTCTGCGACGACCACTGACTTCGATCTCACAATACAAGTTGCACCAATCCCACAGCATGATTGAGAGCTCCGTGTTGCCAACAATAGGACTGAATGGAGGCCACGACACGTTGATCAACACAGACATCTCCCGTGTTTCCCTCAAACTAGGTAGGCTGCCGGAATCAGCGTCTTTGACACCTCGCCTCTGCTACATGTCTCTGCAAGTTGCAGGTGTTCAGCTGTGTCATGGCAAGACTACTTTCGAGTCTCCCTTCACTGTGTTTGCCGACAATTATAACTCCTCGTCCTGTCACTGAGCGCCATCCACGAGCCACTGGAATGTCTGGGGTGATCCGCCATGCTCTTCGTGTGCACGCAAAAACTCTAGTGAGATACTTCCTGGCTTCGCAATAATGACTAGAAGTCGATCTGTTTCTTCTATCGAGGCAACAGAAACAGCTCATCGCGTTCAATATTTCTGGAAAGTGCCCATCTCGGTGAGACCTAAAATGTCTATCTGATCTCGGAAGGCAAGGCTATCAATCATCTAACCAGGCCAGCTTCAGCTGCTGTTCTCCTGCCGACAGCAAAGAAATATCCGTCTCGCAACGACATGATGTTTTAGACATGAGGTGGAAAAACCCCAGAACCTCCTCCAACAGAGGTATTATTTCAGGATCTTTCTAGCCTCTTCAAGACTTGCAATTTCTTTCTTCAGCTGCATCCTTCTCCGCCGAGTGCCTTGATCCTCACCTGCGATGTTTTCCAGTTGCTCAGCACTGAGACCACTCACAAAAGTGGGAGAAAGCAGAGCCAAAGGAGTCGTGGGCCCGTTGATGAGAAAATGATCGGCGGCTTGCATGCAGACGTTGTCGACAAAACGTTTCCGGGCTACCTTGTAGTACGAGCACAGAATATCGTGAACGTCTTCGACGACATGCTCGGTGTTACTCATAGGGTGGGTGTTGTTGATGTCCTGGAGTCGAACTACCTCGCCGTGCTTGCAGTTATCAACTGACAACTTGGACATCCGAGCTTGCATTCTGTTCTGCCGGCTAGAAACTGATCAGCAGGGTTCCGCCAAAGGAGTGAGTGGGTTACCATTTCTGAAGATTTTCATTGAAGTAGTGATTCACTGTCATCGGAGTGCCCTCCAACTCGACAGTCAGCAGGAACTGGACATGATCGATGGCTTTCGTGTACCGTTCCACAAGGTTGTCCCATAGAGCAGAGATTAACTCAGATTTGACCGACTTTTCAGGACAGATCGCATCAAGAACCCGATCAATGAAACGGTGGACCATGGTCACAATATCACTGATATAGCCCAGGGCGATGGGTGTCCATTTCCTTGACTGGACTTTCAGCGTTGACGACAAAACGGCTGAGCCGAAAGTGCCCAGCTCGAAACCACGCGAACTTCGAAACACTCCCTGGAGCCACCGAGAGATTCCTGTTGTATTTGCGTTGGCGAGTTCTGCCTGTGGGCGGAGAATTTCCTCGATGTCCTCGCACTCTATCAGTTTTCGGATTTTGAATGTCACCCCGCTGTCAGAAGACGAGTCACCAACTGATTCAACTCCAGACTCATCACTATCCTCCTCTTCCTCGTGGTCCTCCACCTTGCCAGTAGCCTCAGATGTCAGAAACTGATACTCATGGCCATGGCGGCTCAATTCGCCAGAGAACTGTTCATTGCGTATGCTGACGAGACTGGCCAACCGAAGATCCATATCGTCGAAGAGTTCATCGCTGCCGTACTTGGCGTCGATGGACAAGGATACCTTCCGCTGGAATCGGGAAGCCAAGTCTACCAGGTACAGTAACTGCTTCTCGGTGGTGTCTCTCTCAGTTCCCAGATGGCCAAGCTTATCTTTGGCAGAAGTAAGCTTCCGTAGCGTCTCTTGCCTAACCTGAGAATATGGTCAGTGCAGCTCCATCGAGAAGGCAGTGTCTCTTACCTTTGGAAACTCTTGCCGCACAAGGTCGCTGAGAACGACCTGGATCCGCACCCTCAAGGCGTCTATGCCCTTCTTATCGAGATCGACATCTTTCCAGGGTGCAGAGATCGAGAAGAAATCTCGCTCCACGCTGCCACGGTTGAGTGAATCATCGGCCAGCTGCATCTGACCTGGATTGCGCACGACGTGCCACCCAAGCTTCAAAGGGTAAGCACGCCCTTCCAAGAGATCAATGACTCTTGGTTCAGCCCCGTGGTCGACCAGATCAGGTTTGGTGAGTACACCCAGTGTGCGTTTTCCATCGGGGTCGACATCCACCGCCATCTCGAGAATCTCCTGAGTTGCGACATCGACGTTGGCGGGAATGACGGTCAGCATTACCGATCGAGGGTTCTCCATGTAACCTTGGACCATGGCGCGCACGAGTGAGATGTCCTTCTTGGTAGTCAGACCTGGTGTGGTGTTTTTGAAGATACCCGGCACATCAATGACGCTGAGGTGCTCCTGTGTCGGACCACAGATCTCGAGTCGCAGGACATCGCGCGAAAACGTTGAGCCTGCGCTTGGGGAGCCGTCTTGGGGACGTGAGACGCCCATCACCTCGTGAACCTGCCCATTTGATGAGATCGTAAACACCTCTCTCGGCTAGTAACATACCTCATCCATGATCAACTTGAATGCCGCAGGGTCGAGCACATCCAGCTCTCGCCCGGACCAAGCTTGGAGATTTGCCTTGTGCTCTTCAGTTGCATCCACGCCAGGAATGATGGACACCGAGATCATTGTTTTGGTGGAGCGTTTGAAGATGATCTGTGTTGCAAATCTGGTGCAGAGCCCGCTGTCACGAGGCAGCGGGAATCCGATCATTCCTTCCAAGACACTGCTCTTCCCAGAGGATTGATCTCCGACCACAACGATCTGAGGCAAATTGACAATGTCGCCGACACCACAAGCGAAGAGCTTATCGATCTTTTCGAGACTGGCTGGATCGGCCAGGCCATATTTACCGCCCTCCATGGCCATCAGAGCGGATCACCCGAGACTGTATGGGACGTTCAAAGAAGTGTGCTAGTACGAAGAGAGGAGGGTTGTCATCGTGATAGAAGAAGAAGGCAGTGTTATATAGGCCAAGACCATTCACTTACCAGACCTTCAGCAACCTCATCGCAGTGAATGAATAGTCGATTAACTCTGCATGTCGCCAAGAGCGACACTTACAGACTCCGCTTTTGGACAGCCGGCAACTTACTTGATATACCAGCTACGATACTAATTGATTGGTATTTGCTGCAGGTCAACGGGCCGAGCGTATCAGCTTTCCGTGCCTACGTGCATTTCCAAAGAGATTTGCTGGTGAAAAAGCTTCATCAACATCCTAGGGTCAGAGATAAACGGCAGGCTCCCGTTGAAGTACATGTCACGCATGTTGGATGTGGGAAGATATCTTCTGGCAGCAGCTTCCTTGCTGTCCTTGCAAATGGAAGCAAGGCGGTTGGTCCGATGCGACCGGGCTGGGATGAGGCGGGAGCGGCGGCGAGAATTCCCGGCAGAAACGCTTGCTCCCAGGCGGTATGTAAAGATTGAAACCACAACCTGGACGTGCTGTAGAGAACTTTGTGTAAATCGCTACGGACATCTTTGTTAGCTGGGCAGGTACGATTCTTCAACAAGCTCCCACATTCTCATGCACGCCCGAAGCTACTCAAAACCGACGCCCCATTGGCCGTTGGGGGCGGCGAGACCCAGATGCCTAAAGGGGGCGATTTCTGTCCGTTTTGGGATTTTCATAGCACAACAGCCCCGTGCCCCCAACTCTCCCCCACTGTGGCCGGACGCGTGAAGGGTGATTGACCATCCACGCGCGTTGTTAATTGCTGGTTGTTTTGGCGGTGTCTTAAGCCTACATGCGACGGAGAACCCCCCATCCCATCACTGCGCAAACATGCCTCGCGAGATCATCACCATCCAAGCCGGTCAGTGTGGGAACGCAATAGGGTCGAGGTTCTGGCAGCAACTATGTCAAGAACACGGTATTAGCCGCGACGGCAACCTCGAAGACTTTGCGACCGAGGGCGGTGACCGCAAGGACGTCTTCTTCTACCAAAGCGACGACACTCGATACATCCCTCGCGCCATCCTCGTCGATCTGGAGCCACGAGTCATCAACAGCATCCAGCAAGGGCCCTACAAGAATATTTACAACCCCGAGAATTTCTTCGTGGGCGAACATGGCATGGGCGCAGGCAACAACTGGGCGGCGGGGTATGCCGCGGGTGAGAGGGTACAAGAAGAGATATTTGACATGATTGATCGAGAGGCCGATGGTAGTGACTCGCTCGAGGGTTTCATGCTACTTCATTCTATTGCTGGTGGTACCGGTTCAGGCCTGGGCTCATATCTGCTGGAACGAATGAACGATCGATTTCCCAAGAAGATCATCCAGACGTACTCGGTATTTCCCGACACGGCCATCGGCGACGTCGTCGTCAACCCTTATAACAGTCTGCTCACCATGCGTCGCTTGACCCAGAATGCCGATTCGGTGGTGGTCCTGGACAATGGCGCGTTGTCAAGGATAGCATCCGAAAGACTGCACGTGCCCGAACCCTCGTTCCAGCAGACGAACCAACTGGTCTCGACCGTCATGTCGGCCTCGACCACCACGTTGAGGTATCCCGGCTACATGCACAATGACCTCGTGGGCATTATCGCCTCGCTCATTCCCACACCGCGCTGTCACTTTCTTATGACCGCATACACCCCTTTTACGGGCGACAACGCGGAAGCGGCAGCAACTGTACGAAAGACCACCGTGCTGGACGTCATGCGTCGTTTGCTCCAGCCTAAGAACCGAATGGTGTCGATCAATCCGTCCAAGTCGTCCTGCTACATGTCCATTCTCAATATCATCCAGGGCGAAGCAGACCCTACGGACGTGCACAAATCGCTTTTGCGGATCCGCGAGCGACGAATGGCAAACTTCATCCCATGGGGCCCTGCCTCGATTCAAGTCGCACTGACCAAGAAGTCTCCGTACCTGCAGAATACCCACCGCGTGTCGGGACTGATGCTCGCAAACCACACTAGTGTCGCGACTCTATTCCGGCGTATCGTCGTACAGTATGACAAAATGAGGAAGCGGAATGCCTACCTCGAGCAGTACAAGAAGGAAGCCCCGTTTGCTGAAGGGCTGGGAGAATTCGACGAGGCCAAAGAAGTGGTGATGGGATTGATAGGGGAATATGAGGCCGCTGAGAAGGACGATTATCTGGATCCCGACGCTGGCGAGAAGAGGGCTGATGGCTCGTGAGATGGCGGACTTTGCTGAGTGTAGTGATATAAGCAGCTGCCTCACATTTCACACCTGGCGGCTGGACAACGACCCTCTTTTCAGCAACGGAAGTAACGTCTGAAATCAACAATTTACGGATCTTCATACAGCCAATTATGACTGGTAGTGACAGGCTATGGAACCAAGGACAGCCAGCAAACCCTACCTCCTTACTTCTCGATCCTACATTGTTTAATTGTGGTGGCAGAGCACGGCTATCAAAAAGTCAAGGCTGATTCGAGGATGCGACAGACAAGAAGGTGGAACCGGTCATCTGAAAAGGCATGATGGGCAATGATAGGATTACTATTATGATTCTACGAGACCTGCTTGAGCGCAGCAGCGGTGCGCGTAGCACAAATGATGGACAGGAAACGGACAGTGGGATGAGACAAGGTATGGAAACCTACAAGAGCACATGAGCATATATCTACATTGCTCTAGTGGTGACCAAGTATGGCCAGACACATGTCCGATGCTACTCTGACATACCTGACTGTGCTCATGACAACCTACCGTCAGTTGCGTGGGGGGTTGTAAGGCATTTTGGTTTGCCAGGCTTGAAGGCGCACAGCTATCGGCCTACAAACACTTGGAACCGTTCTGTGGTCGAAACGATGCCTGATCGCCTAGATGGCACCGGCTCTCAATTCGAGCTGAATATGAAAGGATAGTTCATGTCAAGAACGGCGTGCATCTGTTAGCTCTCTGATTTGCTATTCCCCAGATAGATCAGATCCCTCTGTATGGGCCTTTAGTATACGAACTTTCGTAAGGCTGGTTCCAACAATAGAGCCTCAGCCGTATTATTCCTTCTACCACATCAGCTCTCGACTTTCAATGTTTACTGGTGCCAACAAAACAAGGCAAGCGTCTCTATCCTGCTTTTACCTCAGTACGGGGATTTGACGGCGAAGCTTTTTCCCGGTTCTGGGTGCTCGCTTGGTATACCTAGATGCCTTCACGCTGTTCTGACCGCAGACCTTCCGCTCGCTTTCACGAGAGACAGCAACCTGTTCAACAGGATGAGGAAACACATCACCATTGAAAAGCTACGGGTTTCGAGCAGTCGGCGTTCCCACGTTGTCTCATTATCTACGTACCCTGAACTGTACGAATACCTCATATGATATCACGGTCCATTGTTTATCACGGGCTATGTATATCAAGTCAACTCCTCGCCCACGGCATACTCAGGTACAGCAACGGAATATGTTGCTGCGACCCGTGCGTGTCCGTCTCACCGAATCCTCCGGAGACAGCGGGTCTTGCGATGGTGGCCTTGTACGCCATGGCCTGGTCAAAAAACAACGACGCGGTAACGTGGTCGTCGGGCACGGAGTACAATCCGGCGACGGTTTCTCTCGTCAGTTTCCCCGAAGCCTTGACCCTCTCGTACACTCCCCTGTCGCCGAACATGACGTCGAAGGTCAATTCGTACGGTCCAGAGTTCTTGCTGCGAAGCACCGAGGCCACATCGCCCAGGTAGCATGTCCCCTCGGCTGGTTCGGGCTTCAGCCAGTACTTCTTTTTGCCTGGCTCGGTTTTCTCGACTTTGTTGCCTGCCGCTTTGGCCTCGACGACGGGTTTAGGTGGTCCTAAAAAGCGTCAGACAAATTGGGTGAGGATCGGGTAAGCTCGAGATTAACAGCCACATCTCAAACTCGGTGAAGTGCAGACTTACGAGGCGTGTGAACATAGGTGTTATCACCTTCCGCCGTCAGGACGGTTATAGGAAACAGATCGAGCGGATCGACCTTGTGCATGATGTGGTATACGCAGAATTCGGGACAGGGGCCCATGGGGATCTCGCAGGGCGTGAACGGCCATGCAAAGTTGCCTGCGGTCGCGAGTTGTCCCGCGTACGGAGCGTGCGTGAACCCAAACTTGGCCATGGTGGCAACTTGGTCTGCTTGATCCTGTGTCGCGGCACGCGCTTGTCCGGCGAAGAAGATCTCCTTGCCGACACTGTGGTCCGATTCCAACGGTCCCATGACGCCGTTGACGCCGTAGCGGTGGATCTTGAGGTCGTACTCGTACCCGAACGCCTTGATCCTGTCCTTGACGTGCGCTTCGATGACCTCGATCCACGAGTCGAGCTGTTCGATGAGGATCGGATCGCGGACCGCGCCGAGGAAGATGGTGTGGTATCCGTTCACCCTCGCGCCTTCGAGCTTGATGGTGTATTCGCCTGGGGGCTCGGGCACGAACTGCGCGTTGGCCACGCGGACCGAGCGGTCGTCGAGCTGTTCGTAGGTCGTCTTGTCGAGATGCAACGCTCCTCCTGGACCGTGGAGGATGTCTGGTCTGGTCTTTTCGTACAAGAAGTGCGATGCGACAGACAAGGTCGAGCATTTAGACTTGGGGTCGAGCGGGATGATGTCGAACGAGTCGGAACGGACAATTGCCAGCGCCTCCCGAGACTTGGGGATCGAGCATTGGGCGCCGCACTCCATGATCTTGCCCATCGAATATGCAACACCGAGATCTTCGAAGCCGCGGAACAGGCAGAACGCAGCGTACGGCGATGGGTCGTATGCTCTGCCGCCGATGATGATGTCGAAGTCCGGGTTCTCCTTCATCGCCTTCAGGTATGGTTCGAGGCCCATTTGAGCGACGATGCGCGTGCTGCTGTCGATGTCATGCTCGGTCAGCTCGGGCACGCCGCCGCCGCAGGGGCTGATTTCGCCAGCTTTGAACTTCTGGCGGATGAGGTCTTTGGGGATTTCCGAGTATATCTTGATAATCTTCAACGGTCTGTATCCGTTCTTTTTCACCGCTTCGGCGATGATCTCGGCCGCTTTGTCGACGTGTGCGTTCTCGCCGTCGCCGCCGATCGATCCGATCAGTGACGGGACGTTGTAAAGGTGTGCCACTTTCGCGAATAGTTCCAGGTCCTTCGCCAGACGACTGTAGGGAACATTGGGAAGTCCCAACGCCAGACGCCCGGGTCCGCTGTCCGTCGAACCACCATCGCAGATAATGGCGTCGCACCCAGACTCGACTGTGTCCCAGAAGATCTCCTCATTGAAGCCCTGGCCTAGTTGGCCGATAGGAGTGAAGATTCTGAGCTCTTCTTTGAGTTGTGCTGATGGAGACATGGCTACGGCACAGCTGGTTTCTCTCGTGCAAGTTGTCGAGTCCCCCGCGCTCTGGTGTTTGCTTCGCCATACCGGAGGTCGGGGAACTTCACATCTGTTAAATATCGAGCGATTTTGAGCAACAACTGTCTGGAGTCGGGACTGGGTTCACGAGACTTTTCCGATATCCGCTCGACTTCCTATTCTCGCGTTTCCCCGCGAATAGGGGATGGCCATTGGCTTTTCAATCGGATGGCGGCATTCGGCGTGATTTTGTGGGGAAGAGCAACCTACCTGTGAGAAGAATATCGGCCGAGGTGGGATGGAAAGCCTTGTGCATGAACTCGTCTTGGTAGACGACGAAACGTCCAGAGTTTGATGGTGGTGTCTTGCTAGGGGAACCATCACGGGCTAAAGTGACCCCGGTCAGAGCCTCATACTCGTACGTTCGCGGCGACAAGTTTTGCTGGTGGTCGCAATAGAATGCCGTGTCGGCATGCGGGTCGTTTTCGGCGTGGCTTTTCATGGCTCCAGCAGAAACCCATCACGAAATTGCGATTCCGCTATCAACACACCTGGAAATATTTGGCATCGGCCTGGCTGACAGGCTCGTGTCCCACGGTCTGATTGTTCGACATCGAAATCGAAGTGATGGAAAGTCGCCCAGACCTCGGGTCGTCGATCAATGTTTTCACTCTCGAAGGCACTACTATCTACCAAGGATGCTGGCGAATGTAAAAGCCCTAGACGGAAACGGAATCTATCACTGACTGCTTGGGTATATATGATGATGACCATGAATGCGTGCTAATCAGCATCTTTCAACATCCACTTCAGGTTCGTCAATCATGTACACATCCTAGCCGACAGGAATAGCTACACACCTTCCTACCATCAACACTATCGCGGCCAACGCAATAATACGCTCGCAACAACTACCCCTTTTGACTTAACGACGATCTTCTATCAAGTGGAAAGCCGGAAATCGGTATGTTCAGTGCCAGGCTCCTCAAAGGTCATGTGTATGTTCACGACACTATCAGGATCCATTCTTCCTAGGCTCTGTCAACTTGTTCTATCTGGTGAACCACCACATGTTGAAGATGCAAGCCGCAACCATGATGAAGAAAATGAACATAACGATCCTGTTTCCCTTGCGGTACGGCGGCCAAGATGTGCTCCTAGGGAATGACATGGGCCTTGAAGTTGTCCCATGAACAATGAATCTGTGGCTCGTCTGGATGATCATGGTATGCCTCCGCAACCGTCAGGGGAACCCAGTTGTCATCCTGCCATCCTCTGAGTCCACGGAGGAGCTCGCGGTTTGAAGTTCTCGCATCCTCAGGTAAGATGGTTATCTCACTACCGGCTCCAGGTTCCCGGACCGCGGAGAGGAACATCAAATGATCACCGTAAAGACTATCGACTCCTTCATCATTGACCCTCAGGGGAAGCCCTAGAATCAAGCCCAGCGTTACTCGATACCGTCATTCCACTCCTGGTGTTCCTTCCAGAGCATCAGCCAGCCGGAGTTGTCTTCCTGATGTGTCGGAGGACCGCTTGGCTGGTGTTTTCGCCGATGCAAGCTTCCCCGTGCATCAATTAATTCCATTTGCAGCTAGGGCTGGCTGCCACCTATGCAGGCGAAAGAACAGGAGCTTCGGTCCTCGTAGCTTCGCCCTTTCGGGTACGTAAAGGTGCTCGGCATACGCACCGGGGAGAAACATAGCACCACTTCTCTTGATGCAGCATCTCGACTCAACTACTTTACATCCAGCGCACACAGAAGGACAAAGGTCCGTTGACGATGGCAAAGGCTCTGTCAGATAATACATACCCAAGTCACACAACAGGTTATGCTGGGAGCAGGAAGAGACCGCCTCGTATTGGGCATAGGACGATCAGTAATCTCCTCCGCGAAGCGAGCCCAACTACCCTCCTCTGAACCGTTCATCCCGGCGGCCGCGTCGTTCCCCACAACCGACGTCGGCCGACACGCCCGATAAATCAGAAAACGATCCCGAACTGAGTGGTTGGTCGTATTACTCGTCCGCTCCGTCTTTGTAGCCTTCCTAAACCTCGTACAAGTCGCCTCTCATGAATCTGGCGTCCCAAGCGTGCGACTCCTGCAAGGAGCGCAAAAAAAGGTGTAACAAAGAACTCCCCCATTGTTCCTCTTGCGTCCGGTAAGCTCACGCCGTTCGGCCCCGCCTCGTCTTCGCCGACAAAGAGGACAGAAATTCGAAACAACCGGCTAAATCATACCCAGCTTAGGGCGCCTCTGCATATATGGGTATCAGGGTTCAACATTTATTACAAAGCCAGTAGTAGGCCTGCAAAACAATGAGAACCGTCGAGTCGGCGGTGAATACCCAGAGAACGAGTTTCCCACCTGTTTCTTCATCGATCCGGTCGTGTTCGAGCGATGTTCTATAAAAATTCCGCGCTGCAAGCTAGCCGTGCCGCTCGAGGTTCTGGACTCCCTCGGCGATGCTTCATGTATCAATAAGATGGCCGCGGAATACTTTGACACCATACACTGCTGGATGCCAGTTTTGTCGCGCAGGCGCCTGTACGGACTCCTGCTGAACCCCCTCTCTCTTCAGGAACCGGAAAATGCCCTTCTCTTACTGAGCATGACTCTAATCACGTCGATCCCTGATCGTCCAGGGAATGGTTCGCGGCTCTACCATCTGACAAAGGAATTCTATCTGGCTGCCCAATCCACCGGTTGTGTTACCCTTCAGATGGTCCAGGCCGGCATCCTCATCGCCCTTTATGAACTCGGTCACGGTATCTACCCGGCCGCATTTCTCACCATCGCCACAAGCTGTAGATTCGGAACCATGTTGGGTCTCGACAAATTATCGGCAGGCGACGTGACAAACACGGACCGCGAAGAAAACATCCGAGTCTGGTGGGCAGTACTGATCGTCGACCAGTACGTCTACTTAGTCACTTCCAGTTTTCCTTCTCAGCACATAGCTCAATCATTGATGGGTGTCGGCCTCTGCTGACTGTGACTCCATCCTACAGTGCCTTGAATCTGGGAACTGAAGGTTCCCACCTCTGTGCTCCGGGGCCCGCTCCCCATGATCTGTTACCGATGGATGACGATGACTGGGACCGCTCAGTGAGACTCTCGTTCTCTCCTTTTCTTGTTCCCCTTTCCCTTCCTCCTTTTGGGGCGCAGTGTTTCTTTTGACAACACCGGAAATGCCAAGCTACTTACACGTCGCAGACGACGGGGTCCAGGGAGTTACACCGACTCTCGATGCCCACAGAACTCAAGGCGGGCCGTTTTGCTCGGCTTGTGCAGGCGACCGATCTCTTGGGTCAGGGATTTCGGTACCTGGCCTCTCTCAAGACGGACACTCAGCCGGATTTTGACGGCCTTGGCCAGCTAACTCGGACCATCGCTGCACTGAGCAATTTGGCCCACGCCGAAAGCCTACAGAGGAGAATCGTCTTCTGCTGTCCCATTGCGGTTTGCAATAGGTATAGCTGCTTTCTGCTTCTTGATTCGAGAGCATTCTAATTCATGGTAGTGGTATCCTTATGATCAATACTTCACATGTCGCCAACTCGTCGTCTACGAATCTTTCCACTGAGCAGAGAAGGGAGTCGAGGCAGTCGGTCTTGTCAGTGTTGAGAACCACAAGTACCATGGTGGCACAATTCCAGGAAGGGACTCGAGGGACCGTCCACGAAGTCTCCCCCTTACTGGTCGACTGGCTATATCGGTCGGCCACGACTGAAATGGCCCTTTACCAGGAGACGGGAGCCCTAGAACACCGGGAAAACCTGTTCAGACTGCAAAGTATTCTACGAGAAATCAGTTGCAGGTGGCGAGTGGCCAGTACGTGTCTCTTGGAACAGTCGGTTAATATTGACGCTGACTTTTGTCTTTCTTCGAAGGATCTTACCTGCGCCTTTTAGAGACCAGACAACTGATGAAGATCGCATTTTAACTTCTTATTCTAGGTCTGGATCTGCTAAAAAGAAATTGACAAGAATGCTCTCCCAATGGTTTTCCCCTTTCGTGATGTTGATTTGGTAGTCTGAGTTGATATTTGCGACCACCCGGCCGAGGTTGAGCTCACTGTTCCCCTGCCTATTGAAGTCCTGGGTCGAGGACAGTTTTCAGCCGACGCTGGGCCTCGCCAGCTTTAACACATCTGCAGCATAGGTGCTAAGACTTGTGCATATCGGTGTAGTGAGGGAGACTAGCCCGACGATTGACAAAGGCTTTGACATCCGCAACTGGGATCTTGCTCAACCTATTCACGAAGCTCGGCCAGTCCCCAATCATCGGCATGTTGACCGGTATGTCCACCACCTCAGAAGTCCGGGTCATGTCGTAATGCGCGCAGAAATACTCAGAAATCTCGCCGTCAAAAACCGCCAACCGACTCTGTGGTCTTTTTCGAGGTCATCCAGCAGCAAACGGAGGTCCGCATACATCTCGGGACTGAAGACATTTAGCGGTGGGCTGCTGAGCGTCGCCCTACAATATTGTGGGAGATTCTCTCGATCCGAACTGCACCGTTGTTGGTCGTCCTGGGCCGTTTCTTGTGCGGAAGGAGCAGGACATTGTCAAAAGAGAAGATGCCGATGAGACATAGGAGATAGACCACTCCTCAAAATCCCTCTGGCCCGACGTTTCTATACCAGGCGTGCTGGCTGTAGCCCCGCTAGCCTCTCTCGGATGCTTTGATCTTATTCGGAACTTTTCCCACTCAGGCACACGTCTTAATTTCTAATCAGAAGGTTCCACAAGTTTTCGTCGGAACTCAGGATCGTGCAAACCTTTCACTTCCTTGGTGTTGGGACCGGAAGCCCAGCATACACACCGCAGGTCAATCGCTACCGACACTGACCCGCAGCCGACTGTCGGAGCTGCGGACTCGGTCGGCCGACCGCGACACATGCGGACGAGGCTCCGATCTGTAGGGACCCACACAAGATCAGAACGTGCGCAAGTGCGTCATTGTGATACCTCTCAGCCAGGTGCAAGTATGCAAATATGCATAGATGGTGTCGCTGGATTCGCCTTCTCTAGCGTCCAAAATAACTCGACGAGGTTGCAGCCCGACGGACAGGATCTCTCCTCTCCTCCGCGGTCTGAGAAAAACAGAGAGAAGCACTGTTGGTCCGTATTCGACCGCACATTACCAATGTGACAGCACTCGCTGGAGGGCACAGCTCTAGCGGAGTGTACTGATCTTGTTTACTGATCCTTTAGCCATGCGACAATACCCCTATGTGGCTCTGTAAGCAGTGATGGGGCCGGTCAACTCTGTTCCAAGGCGACGCAGGGATATAAGAGCAAGAAGTAACTGAGTGCGTAGGAATCTCAGTTGTACCCGTTGCGCACCACGAACCAAAAAAAGACAGCAAGAAAACTCAACTGAAGCAAGAACTCAGAATGACGGGCGAGCTGATATTGGTCCGAGCCCCTAGACAAGTCCAAAGTTTGCACATAGGCTGATATACCTCCAACAGGTCACCGGCGGAACCGGTATGATCGGGTTTCGCGTCCTGGAAACAGCGCTTGAGGCCGGGTATCGAGTCAGAGCAGCTGTCCGACGCGCCGGTGCCATTCAACAATTGAAAAGCATTCCAAGCCTGGAACCGTACCTCGGCGCGCTTGAGTTTGCCATTGTGCCCGATATCTCGCTCGACGGTGCATACGACGAAGCCATTGAAGACGCGTCATACGTCTACCATCTTGCATCTCCACTCGCAGTACCAGTAAGGGTCTCGCGTTGGGAAAATGCGGCCGCACATCGCTGACCATACTCCAGGCCAACGATTATGAAGCGAGCTTCTTCGGGCCCGCCGTGAAGGGCACGATCAACGTCCTGGAAGCTGCAAAGAAACAAAGCTCTGTGAAACGAGTTATCATTGCCAGCTCCGTTGCCATCCTCAAGGCAATGCACGGAGATCCTGCGGTATCCAGTGGTTGGTCCTCAACCTTCCCTCTGAACGAAGTGACTTGCACTGATATTCCTATCCAGTCAAAGATGTCGTCGCAGATTCTGACGGGCCATTCCCACACTTCTTCGTGGCATATCAATTCTCCAAGGTCAAGGCGTGGTACGCCACCAAGGAGTGGCTGGCGAAGAACGACCACAAATTCGAGGTGTCACAGATCTATCCCAGCTATGTCCTCGGCAGAAATCCTCTCGTGAACGACATCGAGAAGCTCGAAACTGAAGGCAGCTCACAGTTCCTGATTCAGTTCATCCAAGGTGGGAAAGTACCTGCGCCCGTTGATGGGTCGACGGTGCACTTGGACGACGTTGCGACTTTGTTTCTCAAGGCCATCGATCCTTCGATACCAGGTGGCCAGAACTGGATTGCAAACTCTCAAGATCCCAATGGTGACTTTGAATGGGACCAGGCGAGAGAAATCATCAAAGACCGCTTTCCAGAGGCTGTTTCTAATGGTGTCCTCTCTGTGAACGGTGTCTTTCCCACTGCAAAAGGGAGAGGCCGACTTGACAACAGCGGCCCGCTGCAGAGTATCCCTGGATTCTTCTGGAAGAGCTACGAAGATCAAGTCGTGACAGTGGCCGAACAGGTGATTGATGTCAAGGGGAAACCGAGCAACTCATCATAAGAGCTCCTAGTATGGAGATACTGCCTACATACATTACTTTCGATAGAATAAGAATACCTAGATGTTTCTGTCACCCGAGTATGTGGAACTGAGCACCCCGCGTTTGTTTTGCTGCCCACAGTCAAATAGTGCATACTTTAATGTCCCCCACATGTCGAGAGTGACAATGGCGAAATCTCGCTTCAAAGAAGTGTAAAGATATTGTACGCCAATGTCGCCATTTCGCGTTCTAGAGATGAGACCAGAAGAACCAACCTCGCTTGGCCCACAAGCGTCGGACGATTGGCGAGCTGGGGGAGTTCAGTATCGGCGACCCGGGGGGGGGGGGGGGGGGGGGGGGGGGGGGGGGGGGGGGGGGGGGGGGGGGGGGGGGGGGATCAAACTCTACTAAACTGGCGGCATTTGAGGACGCCGGCCGGTGTCAGGCTTCTAGTCCGACTCGGCTAGATGCGATGGTGACCGCACGAAAGGCTGGCCGGAGATGAAACCCCCTTTGCAATAGTTTATTGTCTTAGGAAAGTTCCGTCTCTGTTGGGATGGTAAGGGTCAGACGTTCAGACGAGCGGATTAAACCTGTGTAACTTCTGCAGCCTGTCAGAGCCATCATTATTGTACTCCGTACAAATTGTAGGCATTGGTTTCTGGGGCGAACCTACTGTATAGTAGGGAGGCCCGGGAAATAGGCTGTCCTTGAGGCTGCTCTAAATTAGTTAACAGGGGTCGATGGAGCGGGCGCATCAGACCCACTAATCTCTCAGGCACTGGCAGGAAAGCGGTTTATAGGGGTTGGAGCAATTGTATCGCCGAAATTATTGTAGCAGTGGGCGACATGACGCCAATTGACAATCATAGAACTGCCTGCTCCGGAGGCCTCAGAGGTGGAGTACACACAACAGGAAGCATGTTGAGGTGTCTGGAGTGCAGAGCAGTCTGCATTCTGTCCTTCTCTACTGCATTCCCATCAACCCTTTCTCCGTATCTCTCTGTTCACGATTTCTCCTCTTCTGAGGAGCACCAACGCCGCTGTTGCTCGTCCAATCGGCCACAGGCAACGCCACTTGTGTTGTCCGAAGAGTTTCACCTGCAAGGCTGCCTCGGACACACAGAACAAGCTCATTCAAGCCGAGCCTAGTGAGCCTAACTGGGTGAGTCTGGAGTTGGCGTTACGTCGCGAGTGGGAACCTCATGCATCGCCGGTGACATGCAGCAACAAACCAGGGCGACCAGCAGCAGCGTGTGGAAGATGATCCTGGTCGATGATCCCGGTCCAAAAATGCCGTCTACCGATGCGACGAAACCCAGCATGCATCCAATCAAGAGTGTGAAGCCCTTCAATCCAGGAGGGACAGTGATGGTGACAAAGAAGACGACTGGAGTTCGGCCTCCTTCACTGGCCTCCTGCTATAACACCAACATATGTTGCCACTTCTGCATGCTTCACTCTCACTCGCTCCGTCCAACACCTTGAATCACCGGGGGAGGATGATTTCGTCTCTATTCCCACCCGATCTACCAGCCTCGCCGCTCCTCACATGGTCACCGACTTGTCTCGAGCTTCTACGAGTAGCATCTCTCCGGACAAGTCCTCACCCTGGTCTGCTTCCACCGCCACCTCTTCCAACCATCGGCCGCACCGTTCCATTGATCACTGAACCCAGAACACGCTAAACTGTGTCTGGTCGGTCATTATTCCTCTCCTGGCCTGATTTACCTACTGTACCTGCTCCTACTGTGGATCCCGCAGTGTAGCACTGGGCCTCTCCCTGTTAACTCAATCAGAGAGGCTACTGTCGGTGCAAGACCTGCATGCAATAGCAAATGGTAAGGCATGCTTGTACGACTCTGAAGCCAGTATCGCTCGACCGTGCACGCCTCAGAAACAGGTAGGACGACTACCCCCAGATATCGCCATCTTCTACATCTACCACGCCTCTGCTCCTGTCAAACCTCGTCCGTTCTACAGCATCTCAGTCCACGTCAGGCTGTTCCTGGGACGCCCACCACTCTGCGTGTTCTCTCATCCACCCGTCGCCGTAACCTGTTGGGACAAGCACTCGTTTGGCGCCATGGAGAAAACTCCAGATTTCAGCTTTGGCTCTCCTAGTTCAGAGTCGCCAGAACAACCATCACTCCATGGGGACAAGGAGGATGTCAACAAGACTGAGGTAGGTCTGGCCTACTGTCTGCTATTTTGGGACCTTTGCGTCCTGACTGACTTTCTTATCTCCAGGCCCGTTACGGCTCTCGCATCAATGAGGCCACCGACATGTACGGAGACATGGCCACGGCCGAAGAATATGGCTACGTCTCTCGAGGTCTGAAGTCGCGACACATCCAATTCATCGCTCTCGGCGGCACCATCGGCACCGGTCTGTTCCTTGGTATCGGCAAGGCCTTTACGCACGCAGGGCCCCTCTCTGTGCTCCTCGGCTACACCTTCACCGGACTCGCCGTGTACGCCATGATGATGTCGCTGGGGGAGATGGCGACGTGGCTACCTCTCCCCGGCGCCATCCCGCAGTTCTGCGCGCGGTACGTCGACGACGCCATGGGGTTCGCCGTGGGCTGGAACAACTGGTACAACAGCGCCATCACGCTGTGCGCCGAGATCTCGGCGGCGTCGACCGTCATTCAATACTGGCACGGGGCGCAGGACATCAACGTCGCGGCGTGGATCAGCATCATCATCGTCGTGGTCCTCGCGCTCAATATCTTCGCCGTCTCCATCTACGGCGAGGCCGAGTTCATCTTCGCGTCGATCAAGATCGTCACCATCATCGGGCTGCTGATCCTCGCTCTCATCATCGACGTCGGCGGCGTGCCCGGCCAACACCGCCTGGGGTTCCAGTACTGGCACGACCCGGGCGCCATGAAGACCTACATCGCCGGCGGCGACACCGGCCGGTTCCTGGGACTGTGGTCGACGTTCGTCAACGCGGCGTTTTCGTACGGCGGCGTCGAGATGGTGGCGGTCGCCGCCGGGGAAGCCGAAGACCCTCGGCGCAACATCCCCAAAGCGGTCCGGCGCGTCTTCTGGCGCATCCTGTTCTTCTACGTCCTGGGGACGCTGGCCATCGGCGTCCTGGTCCCTTACAACGACGACCGGCTGCTGGCGGCCATCAAGAACGGGTCCGCGGGCGCCGCGGCGTCGCCGTGGGTCATCGCCATCGTGCGCGCGCACATCAAGGTGCTGCCGTCGATCATCAACGCCGTCATCCTGACGTCGGCGTCGTCGTCGGCCAACGCCTTCCTGTACACGGGGTCGCGGTACCTGTACGCGCTCGCGCAGAACCGGCAGGCGCCGCGGTTCCTGCTCAAGTGCACCAAGAGGGGCGTCCCGCTGTGGTGCGTGCTCGTCACCTGCTCGGTCTCCCTCCTGACCTACATGTCGTGCTCGTCCGGCTCGTCCACCGTGTTCCAGTGGTTCCAGAACCTGGTCACCATCACCACGCTCTTCACCTGGGTCAGCATCAGCGTCGCCTACGTCCGCTTCCACGCCGCGCTCGCGGCCCAGGGCGTCGACCGCTCGTCGCTCGCCTTCCGGGCCCCGCTGCAGCCGTACCTCAGCTGGGCCTCCCTGGCGTTCTTCTCCCTCATCATCCTCTTCAACGGCTTCGACTCCATCGCCGGCGGGTGGGACTACCAGGCCTTCATCACCGACTACATCGGCGTCCCCATCTTCTTCGGCCTGTTCCTGTTCTGGAAGATCCTGAAGCGCACCTGCCCCGTCAAACCCGCCGAGGCTGACTTGTACACGGGCAAAGCCGCCCTCGACGCCGTCGTCTGGCCTCGGCGCCGTCCTCGGAATTGGTTGGAGAGGGTCTGGTTTTGGATTGCTTAGATCTGTCAATGATTCTAGGTAACACCACGAGAGTGCATGATCTGTCCCGTAGGGAGGCGTGACTGGTCAGTGGGGAGGGGGAAGTGGTTTTCTCACTGCGACGCCGATAAAAGGGGAAGTGCATGGTGGATGAAGCAGAGGCATCAAGGGCCACTAACTCACTCACTCACTCACTCACTCACTCACTCACTCAATGGACGGCACTGGACCCAACTGTGCGGAGCGTATCGGACTGATGGCTTTTATCCTCTTCATTCTCCATGGGTCAGATTCAGATCCAGATCCAGATCATATATGTACATTACCTACCTACCCACCCACCCAGGTGTGTACAAATACGACAAACTTTCCGCCCCGTTTCTCGCACAATCTTTGTACCGGGGCTCGAATTACTTACTTACTTGGCCTCTACGTTGATGCATGTAGTATACACGGGTGCACAGTAACAGTGAAACGTCGGGTCGATCAACCATGTGGACGCACGCCTATACTTCTCTATATATTTTTAAATGGCTAAAGTACAATCGCTACTATGCTACAATTTTTTTTCGGGATCAAAAGCGTCCTTCAAGAAGCAGGATCACGCCGATGGTAATCTTGATCGTTGACAACGTCTTCCAACCCAGTCTTGTCGTCCCACTGGTGCTGGATCGACCAAGCCGTCTCACGGGCCTTTTGAACGCAATCGTTCAAACCTACCCCTCCTTGCCACCAGGGTCCGGCAACCTTGAAGCGTCCCTGGAAATCCCTAACCAGTGCTTCGTGGATGGTGTTCATGCGGCCGTGGTATCCGACCGTGTATTGAGGGATGCAGTTGCGGTTCAGTCGTGCCTTTGCGACCTCGGGCTCTTCAGTGATGCCGAGTTGCCGCTTAAGCAGACTCTGGGCCATTTCAATGGCCTCCTTCTCGCTCGGAAGCTCATCCGACTTCCAGCCTGTCCACCAGTGACCGCCCATCATGACCGTGATTTTGGTGCCCGGTGCAGTATCCTGACCCTGTCCACAGTCCTGATCAAACTCTTTCAGCAATTTTTCAATACGGTTGCTTGCTTCGTCAACACTACTGTCGTTTCTGCTGTCGACATTGCCGTCTTGCTTGTGTTGTTCTACATCAACAGGGTTATTGTCTTTGTTTTGTCGAGCCGCATTTTCCAGCTCCAATGATTCAATCATGTACCTCAGCTTCTCCTCGCGAGCCTCGCGCGAGTTGCCGGAAGTTTCGGAACCGAAAATGACGCCGAGAGCACGCTCTGGGTTCTGTTCGTACGGCACCGAACGTGGAATCAGATATCCAAACCCGGTATGCGAAGGCGGGATGAGATTTGGGTTGCTGTAATAAAGGTTCACTACCATGACGCTCACAGCACGATTGCTATTCACGCAGGCTGAAGAGACGCTGCCATCTGTCTCGAGTAGCGAGTCCCGAAGAACGTTTGGCCCCAGAGTAGACACCACGTAATCGTACTTGATGTCGACTGCCGACTGAGGCTGACTGGAACAATCTACCTGGAAGCATTTTTCGTTCCTATCGAAACCGACACTTTTGACTTGTGACGAGGTTAGCATCATGACGTTGGGATTCCGTGCCAAGGCAGACTCTAGCGAGGTGGTGAGTTCACCTAGCCCTCTTTTGAAGGTGTATACACTCGATCTTCTCAATAGAGACTTCAATGCTTCGAGTTTTGGCTCGAACTTGCCAGACTGTTCATGTTGTTCCATCATCAAGTACCTAGCCATTCTGCCAGGGATGAGCATTTCGCGTCCGAGCCCTTGAAGTATCATTTGCAATAGAACTCCGAGTTCGTTTCGCGGCTCGTCGCCTTCCAAAAACCAAGCACTTGACAATAGAGTACGAGCACTCAGCTGGTATAAGTCACCAGCATAGACACCGTGGAAGAAGGCTGAGGCGATGTTGTCTGCGATGTTTTTCCCGAATCTTCGCCTCAAAAAATGTCCCACAGACTCATCTTCGACATCTGAACCACGAGGGGAGACAAAGGTTTCTCCCAAGAGGCCGGACACCACCCCCTCATGAATTGGTTCGGACCACAACGACATCAGTCGCTGGACACCATCCCATACTCCCGAAACAGGGCCGGGCATCAGCACGAGGTGATCGGGATAGTAAATGAATCGGTTTAGAGCCGCGGGACTTCGTTTTGAGATGGGAATCACTTGCTGCGACAGGCCGAGTTCTAATAGCTGGACAGAGACTGATCAGCTAGCGAACTCTCGAGGTGCATTGAATAGCAAGTACCAAGTCGACCGTGGCTCTCCCAGCACCTGTTAAAGCTGGACGCAGAGTCCTGGGCCCCCATTCGAAGAGCACGTCTCCATCCTTCACCTGGACTTGCTCCGAGCCAACCCAGCCTCCAAGCCGATCGTTCTTTTCATATAATGTGATTTTCGCGTCCGGAATGCGCTTGGTCAAATTCCAAGCTGTTGCGAGGCCAGTCACACCACCACCCAGTATTGCAATGTTTCTGGCGTTCGGGTTAGGAGTTTCTCGAATCGGGGGGTCCGGACTGATGGAATGAGAGCGCGAAGTATACGTAAAATGGCGAAACGATTGGGTATGCCTCGATCGAGGCCATGTTGTGCGGATCACTGCATTTCTGTGAACACCCAAGCGCATTTCAAGGGTGCAACACCACGAGGTGCATGTGGGAGGCGTCTCTTCGAGGGGTAGCAAGGGTGGTGGAAATCAGTAGCTCGATGCACAGGAAGATCGACTTGCAAATAGAAAAAGATGGTCCTGCTACTTCCTATATGCTGTGAGCAGGTAAATATCAACTGCGGAGAAGACGGTGCGTTTTCGTATCCGCAATCGGAAATAGGTTCTTCCGGTATCAATGGACACCCTCAACGCACCACAGTATGTCGACTCAGAATCCTTGGACAACTTTCGCCAATCCACGGTTCACAGCACACAGTACGCATGAATCTTACCCTAAGGTTTGACGTGATTGTAACACCCACGTTGTCATGTTGTAGGCATTGGACAGAATATGGAATTGGAATAGAGGAGGGTTATTTAGGCGTCCTTGTGGTCCCTCTAACTCAACCGCGAGAAGGTTTGCCGAGGGCGCGACAGGTCCAACGCTGCGACGCAGATGGCACCTATTGGACCGATATCGAGATACTTGAACGAGCCTTGCATTCAACTGTTGCCCTCGGGGCAGAAGGTTCAAATCCTCAATAAATATATATACCGCTTCAGAAACCTTTGATTCTCTTAGACGCTGCGCGGTGAAATCATGCTAACTTCAGGACACAGCGTTTGGCGAGGAAGGGAAGCATGAAGACTTCAACTCGTCTCTTTCAGGTCGAGGCGGAGAGAACGTGTTAATAGGAACCGTGTCATCAGCAATGCTATTTCAGAAGCACTTGCACATTCCAATCAGAATCTGTTGATCTTTGCTGCGGCTTCGAACCGTGGCGGCAGCAAGCATGAACTATTCTCAGCCAGCCACGAATCAATCTTCTCCGCCTATACGACACATATAAAGGGGAAACAGGCAGACTGTAACTAATCTCTTTCGAGTCGAGGCGGAGAAATCTTTAGTGCATTGAGTCTGGATGTTCCCACTAAAAACCGAGGAATGTCGTCTCCGCGTTAAACTAAGAGGATAAAAACATTTGTTTGTCACTGCGGTAGCAGCTAGGCTTGCAGCGATGACTCTAGACTAGATCACACTCTCACTTTCTGTTTCGTGTCTCTCAACAGCGAAAAGAGAAGCTGATCAAAGTCCGTCACGCACTAGATGTAACAAGCTTTTAGCCGACGGCGATCTCCCAAAGCTTAAGATCTCCCCGAGTTTCCACCTCGCAGATGTCCCCCGTGAAGCGTCAGCGTGAACAATCACCCGAGCAATTGAACGCCTTTGACGAGGCGATTTGGGCAGCCGAGGAAGGAACGGGTCGCGGTGCGAGAGGGTTCAAATGATCCCACATATTGTAATGACGGAGAATGAGGATGAAATTGATCTCTCAAGAGCAGATGCCCATGCTTCTACAAGTTAGATGGCCGAGGTAGGCGGCGTCGATCATAATCAAGAGGTCTTTTCTTGTCTCCTTAACAGGATTCAAGTTGCGCACGTAGGCACGCACACAGACAGTGAGTGCAATTGACGGTTCAGTTCCTTGCGAGTTTGGCGTCCAGGCCTAGAACTGCGCATTACCAGCAGTGCCTTCGAGCTCACAGCATGCGATAGAGATCGAATTCAAAATGAGCGAACTTCTTCCATTCTAGCCGAGTGTCTTCCTTGAACCTCTATTAAACTTGACATGGGCTAACTTGCATCATTAAGTCTCAGTCGGCCATCGAAACTTAGATCGCGTTTGGGAGTCCAATGGCATCATAACTACCTAGACAAGATCTCTTCTAACCGGACCATAGAGTCCGTTCTCCAGATTCAAGAATGCGTGGAGATGGAGCAGTAAGGATGGTGGACAAACTAGTATGTTTCCATTTATGGCTACTCGATATCTAGTTGAGTTGAGAGATGCTGCATGATCCCCCCCCCCCCGACACATCCATTCCCAATATTCGGACGTTCGGTGTTATTCTGAGATTGGAAGAAGGTCCATGGGCTGCCGAACACTCCTTCGTCCTGGACGGTGGTAGATGGAAAGAGTCTGGTAAGGTTGATGGCGGGCAATATGCTGCCGGGTAGAAGGCGCCGAAGCAACCATCGAATCGCTCGCAACACCTGCTATAAGACTTTCGTGCCCGGTTTATGGCCACACTTCGCCTAAGCATCCACGTTGCCAGAAAGCCGAGGTTATGGCCTAATGCAAAAATGACCCAGAGCGCTGTTATCAGCTGGGGGATGACCTCCTGTTCATGTCGATTCGGTAGCATCTGCTTGCATCTCTGGACCATCGTATCCCAGCTTCTTCAGGTCTCGAACCAGTTCACTCTCCTTGCCAATCTTCATAATTTGATCGAGTGACAATTTTTCTCCGCTTGCCCGTTTGTCTTTCAGTTCCCGCACGGCCTTTAGTTTCTTGAGTTGGTTACGGATCTTCTTTTGCGGATCCGAGTCCTGGATCGAATCATTCACTTGTAGCTTCGATGGATCTCGCCAGTCCTGTTTGATTCTGTCCGTTTGCGATTCCGTTAGGTTCGTCTTCTGCATGGCTGTTGCCAAAACATCCTCGGCTTCCTCGTTTGCTTCACCCTTTCTACGCGCAGCCTCTCTCCGCTTTGCATTCTTGCTCTTGGGCGCGCCTTGCTCATTTGGAGATCCGACGGGGTCAGCCCCAGGCACTCCACCTTGGCTTCTATTCTTCCACGCCTCAGCACTTCGATTTTTGTAGGTCTCGATGTCTTCTGGTGGGCGATAGCCCGGTCGCACTTTGATTTCTTTCCTGGTAGATCCGTCTGCGCGCTTGGAAGAAGGTATGTAGGAGCCACCATCGGCCGAGGTCTCGATACCGGCTTTGCTGGGTTTGGACATCTTGTGCTACGCGCCGGTGATCTTGTTTCGTGTGACGGATTGTCTGCCGTGATCGATGCGATCAGGGCTTTGACATTTTGAGTACTTTCCGTCCGTGGAACCAGATTATGGCCGCGCAGACAAGAGCTGCGACAACTTGCGCAGGCGGACTCAGGTCATAATCGTTCCGATGAACGAAGACGTGTAAATCCCACAAAAGAGTAGGAGTCGCAGCCGAAGTTCAACCGTGTGTAGTGAAGAAACAGGCATCTGATATCCGTTCTTCGTGAAATGAAGAACACATGGCCTCAACGCGCTGATGTGTTCGAGCTGAATAACACGCTACATCTCGGGGAACAGTATTAGGCAGTCAGATCTCTTCGTTCACTATCTACGACTTTGCATGCCTTTACGTCCTTGTATGGGCTTCCTGGAGGCTTATGATCCTCGGTATTGTGATTGGGGGAATCGACAGCTATAACAGCGGGAGCCACTTTCCATTCTTGGATTAGCCTCTATTGTTGAGCTTCGCAGCTGCAACTTTCGAAACATCCCATTGATCACAGATCAGACACCTACGGACGCCTCCCACAGTCATTAACAAACTTCCTGATCCTTCGCGCCGGATCTGACGATTCAAAATGTCGCTCGGGGTGAGTCTGCTTTCGCCGGACATACTCTGTGCCTTTTCTGACAACGCTAGGCACGCTTTTCATCGGGCCTCTTCAAGTACGGCATTCTCGGCTTGTATACATTTGTACATACTGACCGCTGCAGTGGCATCTTCCGGAGAAATGCTGTCTTCCTAACGAGTGTCTTCGCTGGCGCATTCGCGTTCGAGCTGTAAGCCTTTTCACCCGTCTCTTGGTGGACAACGAACATCTCCTCATGACTCTGCAGGGCATTCGAGGCCGGAACAAACACACTATGGGACAGCTGGAACAAAGGGGTGCGTGGGAACCGGCGTTAAGACTTCTAGGCGAAGCTAACCTCCTCAACAGCGACAATGGAAAGACATCAAGCATAAATATATTACCGCAGACGAGGACGACGATGAGTAACTGGAGCTATTGTTGACGGTCCCGAACGACCCAGAAATGACAAGAGAAGGGAGACTACAAAACAATCATGTCATTGCGACCGTGGTGATTGCGTTGAGCATTGTACATAAGAAGCCATGAAGATACCAAAATCTGGGAAGCACGTTTAACAGAACCCTCAAACTGGACGCCCTATGACCCAAAATCAGGACATTGACCTTGCGGTGTCCTCCGTCGCGATCTTGTGCTGATCCCTCTGCTCGTGTTACTCCTGGAACCACGAGAATAGGAGGATTTCGTTCGTGGCTGATAGACAATCGCAACGGACATTTGTGTGATGCTGCTGACAGTGGCCGGGGGCAACGCAGCTCCGGCACTTGCACTGATATGGACCACCATCACTTTGAAGGCACAGTCGACTCGTGAGCTGAGCTGCAGAGTTCTGGGTCTATTGGATCAATTTGCGCCTGTTGAGTGTCGTCTGTTTCTGTGGCCCCTTATACGATAGTGGAGGGCTTTTCTTCTTCTGGAGTTTGACCCAAGTGGCTCATGAACACAGTAAACGAGGCATTCCTAAGACGTGGTAGATATGAATGCGTAGATGTGACTGGCGTTGGCCTTGTGTGGTCGAAATCGTCTGTTTGGTAGATGGTTTTCGTTTCTCCAAGCGGCGTGGCGAGAGAACGAATATCAGATACGAGAAGGATCCATAGTACTCGTACTCTCGGAGGGGCAGGCAAGACTGCCTTACGAGTATGTACTTCGACGATTACAACAGATAATGTCTACCTGACGCTATGCTATTCCTCCCATCTCTTCCGTCGTTCGAAGCTCCTCTATCTCCTCGTGGTGTTGCATGGGGATCCCGCATACGTAACCACCATTGAACTTTCGGTGACGACGGCGCTTCAGCGAACGCAGTCTCATCGGCATAGGAAGATTCAGTCCCAAGCAGCACTGCTGCCTACAACCCTCGACATCCTCCGTTTGCTGTCTTCCACTCACCGAGTTTCTATAAGCCTAAAGTCCAAGAACTTTTTCCTCCGCGAGCCCAAATCGAGTCGAGTCCAAATGCGGACCGCAGACGAACTTCCATAGCCTACCATGAGTCTACCGCCCTCCGACCTGGATCGACAACTTCGTCAGGCTCTTTGCGACCATCCGCGTCGATACGGCTATCGATATTCCGACACTGCGAGAAATAGCCTGCTAGAGGGTCTCTTCCGTTCTCTGACAAATGATCGGTCCGACTACCTGCACGAACTGTTCCCTAACGGCTTTCCTCCGTCGTACAAATTACAAGATGCTCAAGGAGTGCAAGAGAATGTCGAGTATACCGACGCAGCCAGAGGACACCCTTGTGGCCATATTTTCAAGGCTGGTGAGGCCAGCTATCACTGCAGCACATGTACGGATGACAGCACGGCCGTCCTCTGCGCCAGATGTTTCGTGTCCAGTGACCATGAAGGTCACCAGTACATAATTCAGATGAGTCCTGGTAACACGGGATGCTGCGACTGCGGCGATGACGAAGCTTGGAAAACCCCCATCCAATGTGCTATTCATACAGCAAGAGACGACTGGGCGACTACGGATGAAGTTGTTTCTCCTCTGCCGCAAGACCTGCAAGAGTCGATCCGCGTGACGGTGAGCAGGGCGCTCGACTACTTCTGCGATGTTATATCATGTTCACCGGAAAATCTCCGCATGCCTAAGACGACGGAGACAGTGACGCAAGACGAGGCCCGGAGTAGGCTGCTATCTGAGCATTATGTTAGTGGCGACGAGGTCGAAGCCAACCCAGAGTTCTGTCTTATTATTTGGAACGATGAAAAGCACACGGTCCGAGAGGTACAATCTCAAGTCGCAAGGGCATGCCGACAGCGTGAGTCGTGGGGCCTCGCAAAGGCAGAGGAGACCAACGACATTGGGCGAAGCGTTATCAGATTCTCTCGCAACTTGAGTGAGCTGACCAGGATGGCAAAGATCATCGAAGAAATCAAGGTCACTGTCACAATCAGGTCGGCCAGAGATACTTTTCGAGAACAGATGTGTGGTACCATAATTGACTGGTTGGCTGATATTGCAGGCTGCAGCGTTGCTGGAGACAGTCACGTTTTACGTCGTATCATATGTGAAGAGATGCTTCAGATCTGGCGTGTCGGCAGCGAAGCTTGGAATGCCAAGGTTGGAAAGGAGGACCTGGATGACCACGGCGAAGAAGACGATCGTGAGTTTCGACGTCGAGCGCGAGTTATTCCCTTCGACCCTATCCAGTTTGCCATGCAGAGAATTGTAGCAGAAGGAGACGACATGCTGACGGACGAAGACAACGAGCCGATGGACCCCGATGAGGATGAGGATGAGGATGACGACGAGGATGACGAATTAGGTGATGTCGAGGTTGGTCTAGAATCGAACGACCTTATACTAAGGACAATAGCGTTCGAAGATACAGAAGACGCCAACTCTATCGTCGAACATTCTGGCGATGCTGAGGCCACCGATGATGCTGACGAGATGGACACCGACGGTGACGGCGATGGTGATTTCCTCGACGTTGCTGAAAGGATGGACACCGATCCAACATCGCCGGCTCCAGCAACGGTCCCTGGCCAGAACACAATCAACCCAGAAGATGGTATCCGTGTAGGGGGAGCAGACACTCCGGCCGCCGCGGATACCAATGCAAACTATCTCAATGTTCCTAGAACACCGGCTGCTTCATCGCGTCCGTCGTCCTCTCAATCTCCTCCCCCGGATCACTGGAAATTGTCAAAACCTGGACAGTCAGCATCAGGTACCAGTCTTCCCGTCTACGAGGACTTGACCAAAAACATCCGGGTGGATTCGATGATACTGTTCGACTTGCGTCTGTGGAAGCTCGCAAGGTCTAACATGAGAGACTTGTTCATCAGTACATTGGTCAACATACCCCAATTCAAGCGCATACTGGGTTTGCGATTCTCTGGGTTGTACACCACACTTGCGCAGCTTTATCTTGTTGCAGATCGTGAGCCAGATCACTCGATCATTAATTTATCGCTGCAGTTGCTGACAACGCCTTCAATCACTGAAGAAGTGATTGACAAAGGCAATTTCTTGACTAATCTCATGGCAATTCTCTACACCTTTTTGACGACAAGGCAGGTCGGGTTCCCCAAAGACCTAGATCCTGGTGCAACCCTGGGATTCGATGCCGGATCGGTGGCGAACCGCCGGTTATATCATTTCTTTTCCGACTTGAGGTATTTTCTGGCTTCGCCTTTCGTCCAAGCCAAGGCTCGGAGTGAGCGTGAATACCTCTGTCAGTTCCTTGATTTGGCGAAGCTCTCACAAGGGATATGCCCCAATGTTCGTGCCGTTGGGGAACATGTAGAATATGAAACCGATGCATGGATCAGTGCGTCACTGCTAACTCGAGATATCAACAAATTATGTCGCCAGTTTGCCGAGGCTTACTACGTGGCGAAGGACAGCAATCCCGCGGCGGTTCGAGCCACTTGCGATGCAATTAAACACGCAGCAGGTATTGCGATTATCAACTCAGTTGGTCTCGAACGAAGGAGGTTTGACCAAGCTGAGATTAAAGATCCTGTAAAGTTTCACAATGTTGGGCCTTTCGGAGATTCTACGATCTTCAGCGTTGTTGACTTCGTTGTTGAAAGAGGCTCACTCAGCTTCCATCATCCTCTCCACTACACTCTATCGTGGCTCTTGGAATGTGGAAAATACACCAAGAACTCAATCGAAGCTCTTCGTGAAGCTGCACAAGCGTTTCTTTCTCATCTTCACGACACGCTCGGCGCCAGGGACCATGCTATTAAGCAAGCTCTAGTCACCGTCGACGACGCCTTGCTCACCATGTTTGACTATCCCCTTCGTGTTTGCGCGTGGCTTGCGCAAATGAGGGCAAATTTATGGGTCCGGAACGGCATGAGTTTGCGACACCAGATGATGCAGTACAAGAGTGTTGCACACCGCGATGTTGGCCACCATCGAGACCTCTTCTTACTTCAGTCGGCACTAGTGACATGTGATCCAAGTCGAGTACTTGCGTCCATGGTCGACCGCTTTGGCCTGGCTGACTGGATGAAGTATGGGTTCGTTTCTTCAGAGATTTGTGATGACGGCCAAATGTTGGATTTGGCGGAAGATTTCACCTATCTACTGATCAACCTGCTCTCGGACCGAGATGCATTGATCGCAGACCGAAGCAATCTTGAGTCTCAACTCTTGGCGGTTCGAAAGGACATTGCACATACTCTTTGTTTCAAGCCTCTGTCTTACTCAGATCTATGTGCTCGCCTAACGGAGCGCGCTCAAGATCATGAAAAGCTACAGGATGTGCTTAAGCAAATGACTCGGTATCGTCCGCCAGAAGGTCTTCATGATTCTGGCTTGTTTGAATTGAAGGAGGAGTATCTGATGGAGCTCGATCCGTACAACTCACATTTCTCAAAAAATCAGAGAGATGAAGCGGAAAACATCTACAAGAAGTGGATGGCAAAGAAGCTGAAGAAATCTCCAGATGATGTCGTTTTGGAACCGAAATTGCACCCCATTCCTGGTGAGGCCTACACCAATCTCTGTGGAGTTGTACATACAGCGATCTTCGCCGACGTTATGCACAAAACCCTACTTTATGTCTCACAAGGACATAAGGGCAAGACCGGAGTTACAGCCACTCGAGTCGAGGCATTCCTTCAGATTGTGCTACAACTAGCATTAATTGCGACGCTGGAGGATAAAATATCAGAACAAGGCAACGCATCATCCTTCATTGGCAATGCGATCGACATGCACCTACCTTCTCATGACGAACCCCACTCCACGATCCTTGACCAACTGCACAAAATTTGGTTGATGGACGAATTTACGTCGTGTAGAAGCAAGATCCGATACATCCTGAGGCTCTTCAATCAAAAACGCCCGCAGCAGTTCATGCGGGCTACTGAGCATCTTGAATTCCCCTCTGGCAGATTTGATACTTCTTCTCCTGCCAATGCTGAAAACGAGGTTGAAGCAAAGAAGCGACAGGCTATGGAACGCAAAGCGAGAGTCATGGCTCAATTCCAGCAGCAACAACAAAACTTCATGGACAAACAAGGTGTGATTGACTGGGGAGACGACGACCTAGATTCACCTGACGAAGAACTACCAAAATCGACGGAAACACGCCACTGGAAGTATCCTTCTGGACTATGCATACAATGTCGTGAGGAATCAACGGACTCGCGGATGTATGGCACATTTGCCATGGTCACCGATGCGCATATTCTTCGACAAACTGATGTGGGCGATGAGGATTTTGTGGGAGAATTGTTCGCCATTCCTGACCATCTGGATCGGTCGATTGAACACATTCGCCCTTTTGGCGTTGCAGGGTCAAATCATGAACAACTACGACGCCTCAATGCAGAGGGTCAGGAGATCACAGTTGACTTCCAAGGTCTTGGGAAAGGCTGGCCCAAGCATCATACGATGAAGGGCCCGGTATCCACCAGCTGTGGCCACATCATGCATTTTGCTTGTTTCGAGAACTATTACCAGTCCGTCACCAGAAGGCACTCCCAGCAAGTTGCACGGAACCATCCCGAAAGAATAGCGCTCAAAGAGTTCGTTTGTCCGTTGTGCAAGGCCCTTGCCAATACTTTTTTGCCCATCGTATGGAAACATACCGAACAGTCATACCCTGGGGCTCTGGGTGTGTCTCAAGATTTCGATCACTTCATGGACAATGATATCTCCAAGTTCACACCTGCCTCGGTTCCGATGGATAACAACGCTTTTGATAATCTTGCCTCGAAAATGTATTCGGAGACACTGGATACCTTTTCCAACAGCTCATTGACGCCGGCAATTACTATGTGGCAAGCTGGAGATCTGACCATCAGTCCCACCAGCCAAGCTTGGGCAGAGAAACCTGAGTTGGCTCCCTTTGCAGAGCTTTCTGGTATATATGGACGACTTAGAGATTCGCTCACTATCACCGCCAGAACCAGTTATGTCGTTCCTCCGGATAGCACCTCGCCTGTGAATCATTTCCATGTGCTGATAGATACCCTTGCAAACACTATTGCGTCTGTGGAGATTGGCCACCGAGGACGCGAAGCTGAGTTCGGCACTCCTCTGTTGACATGCATTCCTCAACAAACACTGAGCCACGTGCAAACGCTCTGTTCTACCTTACGAGCTTACACTGTCACAGGAGCATTGACCGTCCGTGGTTCGACCGAGTCACAATTTCGAGGACTCTGTGATCATCTTGAGCGTCAGCTCGCCGGTACTGTTACTGGACACGAACCGCAGAATGGAAATCCAGACCTAGCCCTGCCTCTTCTTCGCACGGATGCTTTCCAATTCCTAGTACAGTCTACCATGGTATTGTGCCCACTGCGACGACTTGAGGTTCGCCATTTCTTACAGCTCTCCCTCACTCTCGAAGTCCTACGGGTCGCATTGGCGTTCATGCTGGATCCCCAAGGGTTTATCCGAGCAAGCGAGAAATTGGTACAAAATCAAATTCGGCATGCTGTTCCGTTGCAAGCAGATACTGAGGAAGTCCAAAGTGTGAAAAGCCTTCTGGCGTGGATGTTGTCTATGCTCGAGCCTGAAGCGGCCCGTGTTGCGGGCGTTGGACAGCTGCGAAATCTTTTCTTGTCCATGACCGCGAACGAGTATCGGGCAATGTACAGACTTTTCCAAGTTTATGCTCTTGCCTTTATGCGAAAGTCGGCCATCTTTTTCCATACTGGGCATGGTATTGACTTTCCCACAACCGTGGGCTCGGAAGCGAATTTGCCCGAGCTTGAACGGTTGCTCCACTTCTTCCAGTTGCCAAAGCTTCAAGAGATCCTGATGTCTTTCGACCAGTTCTCCGTTCATGGAACTCTGAAAGACCGAGCACAGTCATGGTTGTCCGATTGTTATCGGTACGCAGTAGACATTGGACCAGCGTGGCCTCAGTCTGTATCCCTCGGCATCAAACCCCTTCATCCGGCGCCTTTCGAACTGATTGGACTTCCAAAATACTTTGATACGTTGATGGAAGAGTCCTATCGGCGGAAGTGTCCGACGACGGGCAAAGAGGTATCAGACCCTGCTTTGTGCCTTTTCTGCGGTGAGATCTTTTGCTCGCAGACGGTGTGTTGTCTCACACCCGAGCTGCGTGGTGGATGCAATGCTCACCTAGACAAATGTTCCAGCCCTGTGGGGATGTTTCTTTTCATTCGAAAATGTAACATTGCACTCCTACATGTGGTCAGCGACCCGAGGACGCTGGATCTTGAGCGCCAAAGAAATGGCCGAGGCACGCATCCATTACTCCATGGATCTTTGACACTAAGCCACGGCTCTTTCTTCCCTGCGCCATACTTGACGAAACACGGAGAGACGGACCCTGGGCTGAGATCAAAGCACCAATTGATCCTCAGCCAGAAGCGATACGACAAACTCTTGAGGGATGCATGGTTGATGACCAATGGTAGTATTTGGAGCTCGATTGCTAGAAAGTTGGAGAGTGAAGTGAATGCAGGAGGGTGGGAGACTCTTTGAACATGATCACGAAGGCATGATACTGGCTACATGGCGCTCAGGAGTAGTGATAGAACAACGAGATGTTTATTTAGTCCCCAGCTATATTTGCGGTGAGTTGAACGGATATGGGAAGCGTCAAGGATTTTGAGATTGAGACTGGAGGGCGTTCACGCTGAATACGAGCTGAGGAGCGTACCAATGAACGCACTTGGGTAGTTTGAGTGCGAGCCCAATTACAGGAGATGATATTACGTAGTCATGGGCAAGACTGATTGATTGATTGATTGATTGATTGATGCTGGTTCTTGATGTCGTGTATAGACGTGGGCACGAATCTGGGCAAAGATTTGGAAAGTGATTTTTCTGAACAGGGTGGGTATCCCTGAGAAGCGCACTTTGATGAATCACTGAGGGAGGATAGATCAGGTCCAGCCAATCTAGATATTGCCCGCGTCGAAGATAAAGACAAGTCTAGGGTTCCCAGTCGACGCTTGAAAGGATGTGTGTGTCTTCGTATACGCTGCGGCCGGCTCAGGGCTGGGCCGGACGATGTCCGTTGGAGTTTCTCCTGCGATACGAGAACAATTGTTCGGCGAGTGACAAGAAGAAGTATCAAAACCTTCATGACCGGTCCGAATGACTGGACGGCGCGCTTTCTGGGGTTCTGTTCCCAAGAACTTACGGGGCGCTTAGAGATTCGTTACGACAGGGTCGGTAAATGTAGGGCCCCTGTTTTCTCGGTTGATGGTGATGACAGGTAAAGGGGTCGTGTCTGGTCAGTCATCTTGATTGGACAATGACAGGAAAATATAAAAAGAACCGACGTACCGAGTTACGGAGTTTCGTCCCAAGCGCTTAATCTGGGGGGCGTCAACCTCGACTCTTTCAACCCCGTTTCGCGTTTCACCCACAGTCACGCTTTGGGCTTGTGTCCAATGGCGTCGTCACACTGTGACTCGAGCGGCCTGTCGATCAATGCGATGGCGCTGGAACTTGAAACTTCGAGACCCGAGCATGGCGGTCACGGCCGTCGTCCATGGCTCGGCGTGGGCGCAGCTTCTAGAGCGTGATTGAAGATTGGCAGGTGTGTGTGAGCCTGGTGAGCCTGTGAGGTGTACGATACGAGCAGTGTGTGCATAAGGAAGCGGAAACCGGTGGACCAGTGTGATGCAGCAGCCGCCCATCCCAGCCCAGCTCAGCCCAGGACCTGTGGCCTCTAGGGCGGGAGAAGATGAAGACCAAACAAGAGCACACCCAATATATGTATGTGATTGAGGTGATGAAATATGGTGTGGCTGGATTTCATGAATGCTTCCCTCTCTTCGCTCCCGCTCCTTTTGATTCTCTGCTCCTTTGCTGGTTGATCTGCTTACAACCCCCCGAGAGAGACATACGGTACATGGTACCTGTCCAAAGCTAACGTTTGTTCCCTCTCCCTCTCCGAGTCTCTCCTGTCTCTTGTCTCCTCTCCGTGTCTCTGTCCAGACGCTGAGGCGACCAGTCTTAAATCCTCCAAAGTCCGAGCGAGGCAGCATACAGGAATCTACAAAAGAAGCTCCGACGTGGAAAAAAAAATCCACAGATCAAAAAGTCTACGATACTCCTTTACCGCTTTACTCCTTCCTCAGCTGCGACACTACGACACGGCATTCGAGACGTACCACTTCCTAGATCAGACACCTAGCCGACAAGCCCTGGTGTGCTTCTGCGGCGAGAACTCAGAGGGGCCCATGGCGAAGACTCGCTTGGATTACGGATGGCTCGCACTGTGGTTGCTCTTCACATATTCTCCTGGAGTTTCGGCTCAAGACGGTGACGGCGGCGCCGCGTCGGGCGTCGAGCCTGGTGATGTCGGTGGTGGATCCCCAGGGACAGGGACCGGGAATGCTGGTGCACAAGGCTCAGATACGGGGTCGGTGAAGCTGAGTACCGGCGCTACGGTGGCGATTGCGTTGGTGGTTAGCCTTGTTGTGATTCTTGGTGGTAAGTTCTATCTTTCTCCCGCACTCTCTCTCTTTCTCTCTATGGATTGTAGTCCTCGGATTTTGCTCAGGATCGTGGGAGTCAAGTGCCTTGCTAACAAGAAACCTCGCCTGACAGGAACGACTGCGGTACTGTTCTTCCTGGCGAAGAAGAGGCAGTGGAAAATTAAGGAGGGCCTGCGAAAGTCAGCGAGCAAAGTCAAGAACGCGGTCAAGGCCGTGACGACACCCATAACGCCGAAACGAATGACGTTCAGTCCGATCGAGAAGAAGAAGATGCCAACGGCGCGTATGGAGAGGACGACGCCATGTACGAGGAAAGGCCTGGGTATCAGAGCGGTAGACCAGGATAGGGAGAGGGATTTAGAAAAGGGCACGTCGGTTGCAAAGGTTGCTCCAGTGCCCTTGGGTAGGGGTGATAGTAGCGACACCGGCGAGAGCGCTACGGTGAAGAGTGGCGAGAGGAAACGAGGAGATGTCGGCACAGACAGTGATAGGAAGAATGGAAAGACGGAGGATAATGTGCGCACTGGTGGAAAAGAGAGGTCGAGGTCGAGGCCGAGGCCGCCAATGGTGAATATCCCGCCGAGTGCATTTGAGATTGAGAGTCCCAAGACGCCCATGTGGAAGAAGGTGTTTGGACGGTAGGAGGATATGTCCTACCATGTCACGGGGAGCGAGGGATTTCTCGTGTGTATGATGTATGTATGAGGTTATGAGGATGGGCCTATCGTCGGTGTACATGTAATCTAGACACGAGACACCTCAACGGGCAGCTCGGATGGAACGAGTTCGAAATGGATTATTATACAAGGTTTCCAATCCAGAACTTACAGGTTGGGCCCTCCGTCCTCTCTCGATCTGCCGGAACTGGCCACGGTAGAGAACACACCTCACAGCACTCTCTGGGTCTTCGGGAGTCTGATCCCACCGTGCTCTGCTAATCCTACAATACAGTGGAAGTCGTGCATAGTGGCAGTTGGGTTCGCTGACAAACGTGAAGGGACACCGCAGACGGGGCCCGCTTTTTTGTGTGGAGCACAGATTGAATACCAAGCAGAGCATTCGCCCAAAACGGAAATGTACCAGGTGTGGCGAACGGAAGTAGAGGAGTATATAGGTATCTGCACAGCTATGTCCTCATGGCAAGGAAGCAGACATCCCACTCACTCACGGTCAAACACCCGAAGGTCAAAGTCCAGGTCAACATGCTCGAGTTTGTCGTCTCTCTCAAAGATGGAGTCGTGTCCTCTGAGGCTCGCAACGTCCCTATCCCGTGCGTTGGCAACTCATATCAGAACCAAGGTTCTTGACGACTGACACCTGCCACAGTGAGCCTGCCGACGATGAGGTCTGTATCAAAGTCGTGGCGACCGATTCAAACCCGAAGGACTGGAAGGTGAAGACATGTTCCAGAGTCTCTCAGTCGAAGAAAAGACGCTCGCTGACAAGTAGCACCCCAGTTTGCCGCACGACTGACAATAAACGGAGGGGACGACATCGCTGGCATCGTCCACAAGGTCGGATCGAAAGTCTACGACTTCAAGCCTGGCGACCGCGTCGCTGCCTTCCACAAGATGACCTACCCGGGCGGGTCGTATGCCGAGTACGCGGTTGCACCGTCCACGACGACCTTCTTCCTACCTCCCTCCATATCGTTCGAGTCCGGCGCGACGCTTCCACTGGCCAGCATGACCGCGGCGTTGGCCCTTTACCAAGGTCTGAAGCTTCCTCTACCCTGGACGCCGGTGCCCAAAGGTCAACACCTGCCGGTGCTGATCTACGGTGGGTCGTCCGCGGTGGGCGCGTACGCTCTCAAGTTCGCAAAGCTCAGCGGCCTCCACCCCATCATCACCGTTGCCGGCTCCGGTATCGACTTTGTCCGCTCCCTAGACTGCGCAGATTACATCGTCGACTATCGACGGGGCAACGTTGCGGGGGAGATCAGGAAGATCCTAGACGACGCGGCGGAGGGCGGTCCTCTGAAGCTGCGCCATGCCTTCGACGCCATCTGCGAGCACGGCAGCTGGGACCATATATGCGAAGTGCTCGACAAGGACGGTCCGTCTCCAGGGCAGCTCAACATGGTGGATCCACCTACGCCGGTGCCTCAATGGCCCCAAGGGATCGAGATGAAGAGGACCTTCGTCTCGACTGCATATGGAGTCAAGCACAGTCTGTGCAGTGACGAGGAGGCCGCGCGAGACAGGGACTTTGCGTACGTCTTTTACAGGTACGGAAACGAAATAACTCATCTGCGTCTTTCATGGAAATGGGTCCCAGCTAATCCTGCATGGTTCGTGTAAAACAGGTACATGAGCCTCCTTATGGCCGAGGGGAAGTTTGAGCCACACCCGTACGAAGTCCTGCCAAAGGGCTTGTCGTCTGTCCAAGATGGAATTCAGGCCTTATATGACAGAAAGGTTTCGTCGAAGAAGCTGGTCTACAGAATCGCGGACACTCCGGGGCTTGAAAAGTATCAGTAAATGGAACTTTAGTAGTAGCGTGATATAGCATGGCTTGTAATCTGCGTTACGACTTAGCCATTAGGACTGTACTTGGTCTAAAACTGGAGATCTGAACTATAGCTTGCTACTCGGTTTGATCGGGTCCGAGTTTTGACGGGTGGTCGAGTATGAGCCAGAGTCTGACTCGTCCTTGAGAACAAAATACCACTTGACACCGAGCATGTTGGTCCACCCGTCACCACAGAGCCCTTCGTCCGCTACCCGTTTGAGGAGGTTATCGAATCTCGGTTTCCCCGTGACTTGGATGGTGATGCTTTCCAGCCCTTCGGGCTGACCGGGGGAGGCAGGGAGGAATCTGACACGTGAATTCGTAAAGATCAACTCGTCGTCTTGGTACGGGATGCCGAACAAGTCGTGCCATTTACGTGCCGCGGCGTGTGGTGTGGTGACGCCGTGGTCGGGAGACAAGCGCAATGTCGCACCGACGAGTCGCAGGTGAGAGTTCCGTCTCATGGCAGCAGAGTAGACTGGGTAATATGAGCCGGGTCCGCAGGCGTGCCAGGGGCTATACTCCGCAAGGGGACTTGGATTCTGAGCCGTCGTGGCGTGGGAGTCGAGTTCCGGCATGATCCCCCCCGGGACGCCGCGCGGGTGGTATTGGATGCATACACTCTCGGGTTCAATGGCGTTGTCGGCGGTGCCGGACCCGGGGTGAGAATGGCTGAAGACGACACTTGCCAACCCGTGAGACTCAATGTACCGTCTCCGTGCGTCGGCGTCGACGGTCTGCATTATCATCATGTATCCTCCGGCGTCGATGTCGCGTTTGGCGAGTTGGCGGCCGACGGGCGTGTGAAGCCCCGCTTTGAGAGGGGAGCAGACTTCGATTATGTCGCCGCCTATCGAGACTGGTATTCACGCGGTTCAAATGAGTTGAGTCCATCCCAAGGACATACATCGTACGTGGTGCAGGGATGAGAAGATGATGCCGTGGACGAGCGTGGTGGAGGGGGGGGGGGAGGGGCTACCATGTCAGACACATACCTAGTATGTTCTCAATTCCCCAACGAGATACGTCTGGGTCAACATAGACCACTTCCGTGTCGAGAATGGTGGTCTATGATTTCACTCAGCGGGAGTGTGGTCGGCAAGAGAAGGGGCGATTCTCACAAGAAGATACCTCGCCCGTGCTATGTCTTTGGCAATCAGGGCGATTTGCCGAAGTCGAGTTGGACTCGTCGATGGAACATTCATGCTGGCTGATCAAGACGAACAGATATGTCAAAGTACTCCGTTCCTATGACTGTAAGACAGGGACAGGCAAACAGCATGCTTTTCGAGAAGTGAGGAAATGTTCTGGACCTTTGTTGGTAGATCACATAGAAGGGCAATTATCTAGTAGCGGTTGGAAGTTCGAAATGCGGAGAACCGAGGCTGGAAGTGACCATTACTTAGGAAAGTAAGCACTTTGTATTAAGGGAGAGACTATGTACCTTTCCAGCAAGAATTTACAAGGAACGAATACGAGTACGAACAGTAAAAGTGAATCCTCCACTCTCCTCCATGATGTTTCCAGTACACTGATAGTAGTAACATCCCTGTGCGGAAGCAAACTGCGCAGCACTGTGTTGCGTGCGAAAAAGAGATCTTCCAGAACCAGTAGATCAAATCAGTCAGTCAGTCAGTCAGTTAGTCAGTCAATCAATTCAGGTGCTCTACAAAATGTGACCAGCAGCACCAGCCAAAGCCAGAACGAGACCTAGAGCAGTGGTGCGTTGTTTGCTCAAGGGCGCCGCCGCAACGTTGGTGTACGACTTGACAGTCACTGAAGAGGTACTGGAGGCAGCGGCAGATGAGCTGCTGAAGCTAGATCCCGCATTGGAGCACACCGCGCCAGCGTCGGAGGGAACTGATGGAAACTGGTCCACGGCGTCTAGAATGGCTACGGCCATTCCGCCGGTCAGATGGCTTTGAACATGACAGTGCAACAACCAGGCTCCCGGGGTGTTGGCTTGGTACCTGAGAACCATCCAGGCTGGACCCTCTGCTTCGGTGGTCGTGTAACCGTCAACGAATGGCGGATTATCGAGATTGAATTTCACCCCGGCGGACTGGGCTTGGGCCACAGTTGTGTAATTGAAATCGCCGATGCCCGCCCCGATGACAAAGTACTTGTTGGCGTGTTTGTGGATGGGATGCGGCTCGGCCAGTGGGCCGGCGACCTTGATGATGAGGTCCACCCAGTCGTTGTAGTTTGTTCGTAGTATCAGGTCGCTTGGGGGGATGTTCGCAGGAGACTGGTATAGTAGTGGCGGAGTTTCGTCGTCTCTGCTTTGGTTGTACGCATCTACTCCATTCAGGGACCAGGCCCACGCCAACGATTCTTGCGGGTCCTTCATGATGTCGAGAACAAATGTGGCATCAGCGGTACCCGAGACCGTCTCAGCGGGATAGGGGTAAGCTGTAGCCCGGTCCAGCACTGTGATTGTGGTCGTGTTCTGGCCACCATAGTTCATAACGGCACCAGTAGAGGGCGCAGGCCCTGAGCTTCCCTGATACGACAGAATGCCGTACCCTGAGATTACTTGATTTAGGCCACTGTTCGCAACGCGGATGGTGTAGTCAGCCGGGGCTTGATCGAGCTTGATCAACACGGAAATTCTGTCACCGTTATCGAGTCCAATCTGATCCACGAGTTGTGGTTCGACGTAGTGACCATTAATTTCGTAGACATACATCTTGTGGCTGTCGATCGTGATCTTGAAAAGAGCGGTTCCGCTGGGGCTGATAAACGACAACGCCGCCCACTCGTCTTTATTGTCAACAGAGTAGGTGAAGTTTGTGCCAGTGTATGGCGTACACTGAGAATATGCACCGGCGGGTAAGGCAGCCAAGTTGCGCGAGTAGGCGCCTTGGACCGCAATGTTATTGGGCGGAATGCAGCCTTTGGCGGTTAATGAGCTTCCGTTAAGAACAACCGCCGCTTGCGGAGCCTCGTCGAGGCTGAGAGTAGATATTGGTAAGCAGTAGACCGATCCCATGCCGTTGAGGACGAAGGAATCCGTGCAGGAGTAGTCGATGTTGGCAGACTTTTCGATCTCAAAGAACTCGTTAAAGGTAAAGCGATTCCAGTCCGAGGTAAGGATCGCCTCGACTTTCGCTTCTGCCGCCTTCATCTTCTCGATATCAGCTGAGTCGTTGCTGATTAGGGAGAACGGTCTAGTCGCATTTTCCGCAGGCGAGATAATGATTGCGCCGTATAGTCCGTCCATCATCTGGCCCTTGTAGTGACTGTGGTAAAAGTAAATCCCCGACTCCTCTGCGGTCCACTGATAGTTGTAGCTGGAGCCTGGTCGAATCGAGTACTGGGACACACCTGGGACTCCGTCCGCCCAAGGCGTCCCTAGCTGTCGAATACCGTGGAAGTGAACACCCGTGACATTGGGCATGTTATTGACCACGGTAAAGTCGACACACTCTCCAACATTGAGCCTCAACGGAGGGCCAGGGAAGGAGCCGTTGGTCAAGATTGCCTCCCTGGAGAAGACGTTCGACGCGTTCGTTGGTCCCCATGTCAGCTCGATCAAGAAGGGTTTACACGTCGAGGCTGTCGAGCAGATTGAAGCATTGGTGGACGTGGGTGAGTTCGAGGACGCAGAGATGCTGGTTGCTGCAGTTAGCAGAGCTGCGGCTGTCGATAGTCTCATCGTCAGACCAATTCGCAGCCTCTCATACGGGATGATGGATCAAATCAAGAGAATAGAAAAACCGCCCAGATATAACGAATGACTTTGATGCTGCGTGCAGAGATGGCAGAATGAGCGTTGAAAGTAGGAGAATGAAGCAGAGTCAATGAACAGAAAAATGCCCAAAAACAAAGAAGTTGACCTTTGTGTTGCATACGAAAATGATCCACGGATTAAGATTACTGAGAGTATCAGATGTTGTGAATATGGCCACAACAGGGCACAGCAACCTCATGGAACGTTTTGCCGACTAACCATGGTTCAGACTAACGATCTGTCGCAGCCAGCTTGCAGGGCCAAAGACACGCGGTCAAGGTTATTACTGCCCCTAAAGCTCTGTCAGTATAATTGAGCGACACGGTCGTTGGACGCAAGATGAGACATTTGTCCCAGACACTCGTTCCGAGAACCCGAAGTCGGGGCATTTTGTTGATAGACGCGAAAGGAGTGAATAGTAATAACAACATCTCGCATGACCGACCAATGCCGATCACAAATGCCACCAATCACGAAGATTGAAACGGAGCGAGATATCGAAGTTGGCTCCCCGATGGTTTGACCATCCGTAGAGAAGAAGTCGAATCAACAAAGTCCGAAGCTGACGCGTCACTTGCAGAGGGGGAGCTCAAAGTTCGCTCTTCTCTTCGGCCCACAGGCTATTTCTGGAATGCGACGTCGACTTCCATTCCGCCCAAAAGACGGCAAGGCAATCTCACTCCAGGTGCACTGTTGTACAATTCGGAAGACAGGAGTAAAATGACAGGGAACAAGGTCGGCAATGCTGTTATTGTATCGCTGTCCAAATGCAGAGTCAAAAAGTCAGATCAAGAAGAGTGAGGAGGACGGGGGCATGGAGGCCGTTTAGGAAAGTATGCCGAGGCGTCCCCTGTGTGGGAGGGAGAAGCACTCGACTATTCTTATGGCACATGGCGAGTCAACGATATGCATACTGGACACGGGCTCTGTACTCTGCATGTTTCAATGGATAACCATATTCCTTCGCATGGACTTTGTGGAGAACTACATCAAGATCTCTCTGAGACGAGAAGCCTCCCTGGTCCAAGACTCGACGCCCTCCATTACAATTTTGCTCTCCCTTTCGACTTGGCTGTAAACCAACATCAGTATCACCGGCTTCTCATCATCGAGCCGCGAATTGATTCAGAAGACTTACCGGCCAACTCTGCATTCTTCTGGGCAAATCTCTTGGTGTGGGCGCCTTCAGCGATGCGCTCTGACAAGGCGTCAAGCGCATCATACAACGCCATCAACCGATCCCTCCGCAGAGGTAAGTTTTGCAACCTTTTCATTTCCATCATGCTCTTCCCATCGTTCACTTCCAATTGAGCTTCCAAGAATTCGAGCACTTTCTGGTGAAAGTTCTCTTTGGGCAAGATACGATTGACCATCCCATACTTCTCGAGTTCATCGACGGTCAATTTGCGCCCGAACATGAGAAAATCGTTGGCGCGATGGACGCCCATGGACTGTGAGAATGCAGTCGCCGAGCCGAATTCAGGGACCAACCCCAAGGCACTGAATGGGACTTGTAGGTACGCTCCTTCAGCGGCGAGCACAATGTCCGCCTGTCCTTCGAACCACGCCGCTCCACCACCGACGGCGGGTCCGTTGAGTGCTAGGACGAGGACCTTTTTATGGTCGACCATTGACCGGACGAGCTCGAGTGCTTTGATGTCAAAAGTGAGCGGAAGGCAGACGGTATTAGAGGCGGATGGGTGGCGCAGGACTAACCTTCGGCGAACCCAGCTACTGTTGCGACCTTCTTCTCTGCTAGGTTTGCGTACTCGGGTTCTTTGCGTGTAAGCATGGCTAGGAGGTCATGGATACTGTTAGACCAGGTCGTTCGTTCAACAAATACGTCCGCATCTGGGGTCGGAGGAGACGGGATCCGTGAATAGGTTCTATACTTGCGCACCTTTAACATCGGCTCCGGATGAAAAGAATCTGCCTTCGCCCGTGATGACAGTAAACACAGTCTCCGGATGTTCATTCAACTCCCTAAGAGCAGAGATAACGTCGATCAACAGCCTGCCTCCAAAGGCATTGAGTGACTTGGGTCGATTCAACTATCATCACTTGGTCAGCCTTCCGACCTTCTCTTGTCGGAGTACTTTAGACGGCTCCATTCCCCCCGAACGGTGCTTACCTTGATTATCCCGATTTTCCCTTTGATCTCAAAGACGATATCGGTATACTTGTACTTGCCTGTTGTCGCCATGGTGGAGGATGACGGCGACGACGCGGATAATGACGAATTTAGGACGTCGTTAGGGAGAGAATAATCTTCGACGGGATCGAATTGCACCCCAAAATGCCGCAAGAACGACGCCCAGAATGCACCACCGCGGGAGGGCCTCTCGACCATACAAAAGTGGGCCAAGAAGCGACTGAGACGGTCCCGGCCTTTGAGCTGTTGTGTCTGGTCTGTGTTGCGGTCGCACTGATAGCCAGCCGGCGACCTCGTCGGGGAGGGCGTAGTCTTCGACGGGGTCGAATTGCGCTCCCAGGTGTCGTAAGAACGATGATAGAAAGGAGATCCAGGAAGTGTGATCCACCATGAACACGATGTACTGCACTGGGCCCGGGGGGTCTTTCAGCAGATGGGCCATTAGGTGAATTGTAGTGTTGATCCCGAGGCATCCTTTGAAGTCTGACACTAAGCCGACTCGCCGAGGCATCAGACCATCGAGCCGACTTGCTGGACCCCGCAGGGCTGCGAGGCTGCGAGGCTGCGAGGCTGAGTCCACCAGGATACAAGGCTACGAGACTTCCAGGGCGACTCAAGTACCTGCTAACCACCATTGCTGGTACCGGTCAATATTCTATTGGTTTCACGCTGTCAACGAGCTCAGTCCTTTCCAGGCTCGAGAGCTGAACTGCTAAGCAAACTCAAAGCGGACGAAGAAGAAGAAAGGGAGGAAGATGGATGAAAGATAGAATATCATGATACTCTATCTATCGATTTTGCACCGTAAGAGAGAGACTTTGAGTTTCCTGAATAATCGGAGGGTAGAGAGTACTGAACCCGCCCCAACGTGAAGGTTTTCTAGGCCTCACTGCACTTGTTGTTGAGATTCGCCGGCTATCATGTCACATTCCAGACAGGAATGCCCTTTACATGGGTAAAACGTGGTATGCCCTAGGCCATGAATCCGGGTCTCCTTCTTGGATGTTTCCATATTGGTTGATGTGTTCACGAAACGACGCCACTGTATGTCGTTCGCAGGAGCCAAGACAAGCTACACAGCTAAAGCCCAACTCGAACTCTTGAGTGAGTCTATTGAATGGCGCGAGGTGAACCACTGCCATGAAACGGAACCCAGTGTTTGGTTCTTCACTCCAGATATTTTTCTCCTCTTCATCCCAATAATCTTGAAGTCTCGGCCGACGTCTTTGCTTCCCCGCCTCTTCCCATGCTTGTGATCTCTTGTCGAACAGCTTCTCGGACGCATATCTCTCCATGTCGAAGCGGGAGCCGTGTCGTTCGATACCTGCGAAGTAAGCAGAGAGCCTATCCACCAGGGGAAACCGTTCGTCAGTTTTGAAATCGTCTGGCCCGTATGTACCTGGGATACTGAGCATGTTAGGCAACGTCTGAAGGATGTCATCGGTGACTCCGAACATCTCTCTGGCATCCTCATACAAAAAGGGTACAGCGATTGTTCTTCCTCCGGTGAAGCAGTAGAAGCAGACCTTCTTGCATGTAGGGATGTAAAGAAAGTTTGCAAACCTCCCACATTCCTCACATGTGGCAGTACAGAAAGCTTTCCAGAGATCTCCACAAGAGATCCACCGGCCTGCTTCGATACTTAGAATAGCAGGAATCACATGGGGTGCATGAGTGTTGATGGTATTGTAGTGAGTGAGAGCATCCACAAGCTCTTGGGCTTGTCGATTGACACGTCGAAATGTTCTAACGGTGCACACGTCAAGCTGGGCAAGCACGGACCAAAGCACTCCATGGGGAAGTTTCTCAAGGGTACCCAGGTTTCCTTCGATTTGGGTGTCGCCGTCCGGTGATTCTCCTATGGTCGAGAGATTGTCAAGGAGGGTGTTGTCAACTTGGTTTAATCCGGCATTATCCCATCGTTCTGTCGCGTCGAGTGACAGGGCGAGTGCATGGTCAAATGCTGGGTCGACTGGTTCTTCAGCCATGGTGTCGCAAGACGACACAGTCGCTGAAGAAGCCTTTCGAACTTGGCAGGAAGGATTGAAAGTGAGGTGAGCATGAGAGAGTGTTTGGTATGTATATATAGATACCAAGATCGGCCTTCAATACCCGTCGCGACGCGTAGTTCGGAGCCAGGAACTACTATTTATCCGGAATGCGTGTGAATTCATCAGTGGGCAGTCCCTACTTTGGCCCCTGATGCCACCCATGGAGATGTACGGACTCAGATATGCCGATATTAATAAGTGCATCTGATGTTTGATCATATTCCGAAGAGAAACAATAAAGTGCCCCCACGGCCTTTATGCCTCAGCGTTTGATGGCCGGGGCACTGGGCTCCATGCGCGTCAAAGACTCTTCACGTGACAAGGCTGTGAGGATCTTCATCCCCGCACTCACTTTCACGCTTTTGTTTCCTGAGACTTTTTACCAGCGCATTGCTGCCTGCCCTGATCTCACGGCTGAAAGGTCTCTGGCACTCTCCTCCCCCCTCGCCCTCACCGCAGGCATCACAACAATGTCAGAACCAATCCCCGAATCAATACCAACGTCCGCTGACCCTCGCTCCCGACGTCCCGTCAAACGAGCCCGCGGCGCCAACACAGCACTCGCTGCGCAAGCCTACGAAGTAGAGACACTCTTCCTCGACCCAGAGCGGCCAGTCCACATCCCGCCGGTGTCAAGTGAGACCAAACGCACAGTCGCGGCTCCTCCAGAAATCGTTGCCAATGTCCAAGGCTCATCTGCCGGCGCCGGCTCTGGCGAATTCCATGTTTACAAAGCGAGTCGGCGGCGCGAGTACGAACGTCTTCGGGTGATGGACGAGGAGGCCAAGAAGGAAGAAGAGGACGAGGCCTGGGCGAGACAGGAACGGGAGCGGCGCGAAAAGGACGAGGAGAAGACAAGGAAGAACCGTGAGAAGAGAATGAAGAAGAAGGGAAAGAACAAGGGGTCAGAGAAGGACGGAGCAACAAACAAGGAAAGTGAAGCTGCCAATGGGAACAAGCTGAACGGGGTCAAGAGGACCGTCGGAGGTGGCGGATTGCAAATACCACGACGAGGGAGTAGAGACGACGACCAGGGAAGCGATTTTGGAGTCGCGGAAGTGGCCAAAGAAGTCGGCATCACAATTCATGACGATGATTGAATTGGCAAGGATATCATCGAACGAGATGACCGGAGGAAGACCCTCGCCCTTGTTCAATGTACAACAACATACACGTATCCGTGCCGATGGGCAAACAGTACGGCCCGGAGTGGATCTTGTATTACTATGCGCCGAGCTGTTACTATACACTGCGTCTTACGGTTTGAGACGCACAAAACTCTAGAGATACCCCCTTACCACGACGCAATCAAGACAACGTTTCTTCGTTTCTTTCAGACTTCCTACTTTCTCACTGTCAAGCTTTCTTGTTCCTCTGGGTGATGGCAGCGTCGACACCACTGAACCAGCGCACGCACAGCTGTAACGTGCCCGGAAGCATATCGAACAAGGGCATACACTTTGCGTAAAATGGCATCCTGATGACACCTCCGTCGCCACGCTCAATGGTGCGGATGATCTCCTTGGCCACCTCCTGGGCCGTGAGTACGGGACCGAAAAAGTGCGCGTAGAAGGGGACGGATGTGATACCCGCAAAGAGCTGCGTGTCGAGTTGCCCGGGTTCGACGAGCAGAGTCTTGACCTTGGCAAACACGCTAGGATCGGGATGGGCCCGGAGTTCGTGGCACAGGGTCTTGTGGAGAGTGGCCACTGCGGCTTTGGAGGCGCTGTAGTCTGCCAGAGAGGCGGGCGAGAGGTGTGCTAGGACAGAGGAGATGGAGACGACGTGTGCACCGGTCTTTGACGAGATCAAGTGTGGCAAGACGGCCGAGAGGAGGTTGAAATGCGAGATGGTGTTGACGGATAACGTCTTGCTCGCTTGAGTTGGCGAGAGTGTAGAACTCGGCCCGTTGGGATGGGACGATGTTAACGCTGATGATGGTAGTAGTGGTAGTATCGGGAGACCTGTGACGGTCGATGCTGCATTGTTGACGAGGATCGTTGGAGGACCGAGCTATGTAACGTTAGTCCCTTGTCTCTTCTCTGATACCAAGCACTGTGCACAACTCCCATCGCGTGATGCTCCTTCGCGCCACATAATTTTGCTTGTGCTCGTGTCTGGTATCCTATACAGGGCAAGGGATTGGAACATAGATGAAAACCAGCAGCAGTCAGATGACTCGTCCAGCAGAAAAGCTTTTTGTCGGGAGGCAGAAGACAGAGTGCGAAGAGCAGAGGGGAAGGGGAAGGGGAATATGAAAACGTACCTCCTTTACAACCTTCTCAATCGCCTCGTCGACTTTCTTCGCATCACTAACGTCCACGACCTCCCAGAGGAGATCCCACCGCTCCATCGTCTCTCTCGCCTCCTCGTCCGGTTCTCTGACATCCAAGACGGCGACACTCACGCCCTTGCGAAGTAGGATCTCCGCCAACACCCTCCCCAGACCGTTAGCTCCGCCCGTGATGACGACGACCTCGTTCTCCCACGCCACAATCCTGTGCTTGCCGTACGTGATGCGCTGGTTCGTCCACACCGCGACCTCCACCACGGCCAAGAACCCCGTGTACCACAGCGTGTAGTATGCGATGGGTTCGCGGTGCTTGTGCAGCGCCGCGATGCACAGGTAGAAGATGAAGGTGATGTACGGGTGGAAAACCGAGTTGGCCAGAATGAGCAGTATCAAATCCAGGGTGATGACTCGGTGCCATGGCTTTGGTTGTGACGATCTGGAGTGAGGCGCTGCCGACGCCGAAGAAACCATCGTGGAGGGTTGCCTATCAGGGTATGTCCCAGAAGGCAGTGCAGTATCTTCCTTAGCTAGACACCCTCAAGGGATGGCTTTAGGGCCTGCTTCTGGGCTGTTGCACCAAAGTCGCCGCTCGTGTAGTGGTTCAATCAAGCCTAAGCTTGGATTCTGGTTTAGATTCAACCTTCGAGCTGCTCATTCCTTGCAAGCTTCAGTGTCGATCTTCGGAGCCGCGCGGACGAGATGGTCGAGGTCAACAACGAAAAGGCCGGAAAACCGGGTATTATGAGCAAGACTCCGTATGTAGCGACAATGTTTGCTCTTTACCTGTTAGTTACTGGATACAAATACTGAGATGTCGAGATGGCGAGAATCAGAATGAGAATGAGATGCACCTGGCATCTTCCCCGCCACCAATGAATGTGTTTCAAATCTGTGACGAGGATGAAACAAGCCACGAACACCCGACGAGCAAGGGCTGTAAGACATGACCCATCTGCACAAGACTAAAGGGCGTAGCTTACCCTTGGTTTTGATCGTCAAACTACAGATCAATCTACAGCGATATCAATTATCAAAGCGCAAGGTGATGGTTGATTTAGCGTCATTGTTTCATTGCTTGGTATCTATGTTACTGAGCTCGGTGACTCCCATCGAGCATGAATATCCTGTTCCGCTTGAGAGGAGATAGTGAGCAGAAAACTACCTAGGTTAGGTGAGGATGCAAGCACTGCCCATCTCTGCGTTCTGGGTTGTCGTCGACAACTTGCGTACCGAACTGGTGCCGCTAAAGATGCTGCTTAAGAATGCACGTTTGGGACACTCGCAGCACCAGAAACCACACTCCAAAATCAGCTCAATCAATCTCTCCTGGCAATTCATTCAGCAGCCCCTCTTCGTCGCCTTTGCCTGGTTCGTAGGGCGTACCGCTACTCAGATATGGTAATGCAGTGCTTGTTCGGCGACCCATCATACCTCCGCCACCCCATTCGTATTCATCTTCGATGTTGAACTCCTCTCCTTGTCTAGCACATCCATTACCGCCTTTCGCAATGACGGCGAGGTCTTGTAGTTGTCGCGGGTCGAACTGGAAGCCGAGTTTACGTGGGATAGGTATAATATCAGGATCCTCGTCCCTTTGCCGCTCGTTTCGGTCCATGTTCGGAAGCAAGGTGGATGGGACTCGAAGCTCAGAGCATTTGTGATTGTCTTTGAGATTTCCATTCTTGCAACTGTGCCTGGCGCCCACTGCATCCTCAAACTCGGAGCGTTCACGGTTAGCACTTTCGTGGCCATTGACAGCTAGGACCAGACTGGTACCCAGATGAGGATATGTAGACCCTTGACCACTTGCTGCCGGGGCCATGGACTCGAGTTGCACTTCTGCAAACGTTTGTTCTCGTGCATCGTGGTGACTGCGGTCCTTTGCTTCAAGATCTACATCGATTTCGGGGGTAGCGAATTGCTTTGCGAAATAGGCTAGCCTCCGAGCTCGAAGAGCATCCTGATCTGGACTTTCATTGTCATTGTATGGAATCTTTGGAGAGGCGCGTGTGTCGTCATATTGACTGCAACTGATGGCGCCCGTTGATGCTGCATCTTTAGCTTGAGGAGCGCTATGTGAGGATCCTGGCTTGACATGCCAATTTTTCGAAGGGATTTCTGAAGGAGATAGAGCCGAGTCCAGTGAAGCAGGGCCACGAATCTGACGGTTATGATGATTTAGCAGGACTTGCGCCGGGATCATGCGTAGAGATTCTTTTCTTGGGGCGGAGTAGGCGACGTTGACTTCCTCTGCAGCAGCCTTCAATGCCAGACGAGCAGGTGTTGAGCTGGGCCACAACTGGGAAGCACAGTAGGAGCGGAGTAAATGATTTCTCTCTTCTAGTTCCTTCCAGGTCATACTTGGATTGTAGGGAAAAGAAGCGTCAAGGCAGGAGTACCAGTTATTCCGGTGAGGCCCGCGCCAGGTTCCGTCCAGAATCCGTTTGTCGCGAGTGCACAACCATCTACCACCTCTTGTTGTTCTATCCCAGGGAATTGACCCTCCCACCGAATGATCGTCTTTTGGCGTAGGAATGGTCTGGACGCTGGGGTCGTACTCCCGCCCTTTACGTCGGATGGAATAACTAACGTCAAGGTCCGAGGGGGGAGTCCGGGGATCATTAGTAGTTGGAAAATCAGCGGGAGTGATTGCAGGCCAGGGTGGTCTCTGATCTTGAGATAGAAATTTCTCAATGTGGTTATCATATGGCTTCACAGAATAAGGTGACGGTCGTTGAGGGTCGAAAGGGCATTGCTCATCCAGCTCCTGCATAGTGGGGTTGGAAAACCCACGATATGTACCATTCTTTATCTTGTTGTCTCTCCAGTGCAGCCATCGTCCATCTTGAGTATCAATATCCCAAGGCACCAGGTTTCCCCAAGCATCTCGGCCATTGGCTAAAAGGATATCCCCAATGGATGCATGGACCAACCGCTTCAGCGGCATTTTCTTGTCCTCGGACTTTTGAGAACTTTCCTTTTCAGACTGATCGCCTGGTGAGATAGCCGACTTCTCTTTATGCTCTGATGACGAATCATCAATATCGCTCTCGCTGTCACTATCGGCTGTTGGCATCCTGCGTCTCCAAGGTTGTCGTCGCTTGAGCTGGGCCTGATATGAGAGGGTCGAAGTCAGTTTCGTGTTTGACGACCGACGTTGGCCCTCAGAGGGTGTGGACTGGGTTGTCCCTGGAATGGAAGTCCCTAACGTACCATCAGTGTGAGAAGCGACGTCATCTCTGCCCTTCTCCTCTAACAACACCTTTTCCTTGTCCTCGAGATCTTGCTTCATCTGTCGCAGCTGTTTCTGCCGATGGAAGTCCTGATCTTTCCTCAGCGTGTCAACGCGGTCTGTCACGGGTTCGAGAAAAGCTTCGACGGGTATCTGCTCTCCGAAGCCAACTCGCTCAAGGAGATTCCACGCCCGTCGAAACTCATCTCGGATCGAGACCAAGCCATGATGGCCCACAGTTCGTGCGACGTTGTGCTCAATTTCGAATGGATCCTCGATGGCAAGTAGGTAACGCAAGCGAACATTTGTATTTCTGCCCTCTACCCATTTGGCTTCAGTCCAACCTTTCTGAGCCTTGGGTACGATCCCGCCTGGCTGCCGGATGGAGATCACATCTCGAGTCCAGAAGAACCCCTCGCGTGTCGCATAATATCTGAAGAATCCACGGAGCAGCTGCGGTGTTGACTCCTTGTTTGGCTTGCTGTTCGTTTCCTGCAAGTGTTGAATCTCTTCGGGCTTACGGAGAAATCTGACATCGAATCCTTCGAAAAGTGTGATCTTTCTGTCAGGATACCAACTGTCTTCAGTCTTGGCTAGATATTGCAGATTTGGAAGGACGGGAGGTGATGCGATATTCATCAAATAATGAAGAACCATCAAGATATACCCGTAGCTGGACAGTGTGCCACGATACGGAGTGTTGATATCTCTTGCCTTTGCCCAAATTTTGACAAAGGTGCCCACTTCTCCTACACGAGGATCCAACTTGGCATACGTCCAAAGCAGACGTGAATTATGCTCGGCCACGAAGTTGGTAAAGTTGACATCGCATTGTATGCCGCAGTCGCCCACAAACTCCAATTTCGGATTGGTGCGCTTTGCTGGCTTTTGAGATGATTCATCTTCCACCGTCAGACCCCCAATGGCTTCGCCGAGCACGTCCACTTCGGTCGGGATTGAGTCTTGCATTTCGTTGGTCTTGACACTGTCAGGTGCACCAGCCTCTTTTGAATTCTTTTCGGAATCTTCTTCCTGAAGAACCTGATCTTGTGAGGCTTTTCCTACTTGATTGATTTCGGTGAGATTTAGTTCCGGCGCGGACTGGAAAGATGATTTTTCCCACGCTGCACGGTGTTCCCGAAGATTGTGAAGCAGTTCAGGAGGTGGACGTTCACAGATTCGCAGAATTGGTACGCGAGTATTGGTGAGTAATCTTGCGCCGTAGGCTTTGTCGAGAAACGCCTTTTCCAATACGCGGCGAACCTCAACATTGAAAAGACGTTCCTCGTCTTCAGAGTCTTCATATGCATCAGCTTCCGCGTCGGGCTGTGGAGAAGTCATGCTTTTTCTGTTATCTTGCCGGCTTGGTAAGAACAGGAGGAGGTCCATGTCGCAGTTGGCCAAAGCAAACCCGTTGGCAAGACTGCCGTAGCATTTCAATTTGATCTGGTCTGCATCAAGTTCAGGGTACTTCGCGCCCAGGGTCTCTCTCGCCACTAGTTCAAGATCGCGACGGAAGTTTTCTTTTAGCCTAGCCTCCTCTGGGGTAAGTCGGTGTTGCTCTTGAGCATCGCGGGCAACAACCCTTAGGTAGTCGGATTGCTTCATCAAAATGTGACGCATATTACGTTGCTGCTCCGCTGTTCCATAGAAGAGATCAGAATGCGGGTGATACAGATTGGTCTGTCGCGGATATGGCCGTCCATGACCATGGTGTTGGGTCATGGTCGCTGGCGCCATCGGTGGCATGGGTGCATGAGGGCCGAAACGACCTCCACGACCCCGGAAATCACCTCTAGCACGGTCTTGGTATTCTCTGGGTGTGCCATGACGTGCGCTATCAAACGGTTGCGGGTGTAGCTGAGGTGGTTGTGGCGCAGAGAAAGGCAGGTCGGATCTGAGGGAAGCCGCTGAGCTGGAGCCGGAGCCTAGAGGCGGGAAATCATCGGTAGTGGGAGGAAGTTGGGATGAAGCCTGGTTGCTCATGAACGCGGACTGATTCATATGGGAGGAGTGAGAAGCACCACGATGGTGTCTACCCTGACCTCGGCCGCCCCAGTTGCTGCGTGCTCCTCGTCCTCTTTGAGATGACTGGTGAGACATATTCTGAAGCTGACTCCAGACATGGTCATCAAAGCCAGAACCCTGGTTGGAGGTATTCATAATGAGTGACAAAGTAAGATCGGGTCAGTTGAGAACGCGACGTGCCGGAAGCAATGGGTGAATGTTTGTTGTTGGCATGTGATGGTGTGCCTAGAAAATCATGACAAGCCGAGTGAAAGAGGACGGCGAGCACATCGACCACTAGATACGGAGCAGAAGTTGTGAATGCAGCTAAAATAGGTGGCGCTTTTCATGCTTGAGGAAGATTTTGATGAGGACCTTTGCGAACCTTGTGGTTCGCGATGGGATGATGATTTGGCGGACGATGGAGCGTTTGGTTGTTGGTTGTTGGTCGTGGCTTCGGGCAAAGGTGAGTGGGACGTGAAGGAGCGTGGAAGTTTGTTGATCCGGCTCCGAGGACCTTGTCTTGGCACTGACCTCACTCGGGCTTAGTGGCTGCATTGTTCCTCTTTGTGCCTGTTACAAGAGCCTCCATATCCAGGCCCATGTCCATGTCAACTAGGTACCTGGGTAGTCCACGATACTTTCCCCTGACTTCTACTTGTGCCACTATACACCTGTTAACCTGCATACTTTTCCTACCTCGTCTGTCAACCCCGATCCACCCCGTATCTCCCGTCGGCGTGCCTTGAGCCAACAAGCCGTTCGATGCTCCCATAGCACAGAATGAACGTAGGCTCCGCCCCCGCAGGCGGAACTGCGCAACAACCTCTCGAAAACCGTCCTGTAGTGAAACGCAAGAAGCCTCAGTCCGATCCTTTCTTCAAGGGCCCCAAGAGGAATCCCGCCTTCAAGCCTCAACTCAACAACCACCCGGCTGCGCCCTTGAATGGCCAACCTACGTCCAAGTCGCAGCCGCCACAACCCTTGACCCCAGCAAGCCAGCGCGATACGTCGCTTGCGAAAACCGCCATACAAGAGAATGAACGCTACAGTGGCTTCACCGACCCGCGCGTTCCTGCCGAAGGCATTCCTTACAAAGATTACAAGCTGGTGACCACAAAGAGAGATCTTCTGGCGGGTCTGAGGTACCATATACTACAGTTAGCTGGAGACAAAGTTGTCGACATTCGCAATGAGTCTGAATTTCCAAAGCCCGCTCGGTTGCACCGCCGCGATCCAAGAGCTCCTCCCCCGGGGCATCAACACCAGCTGAAAACAGAGGAACCGGGACAACCTGAGCCAAAGGACGGCCTCAACGCCGCCGAGAGGGAAGAGTTGACAAGAAGAAAAGAGATTCGACAAAGGGAACGCGAGGCGAATCTAGCACAGATTGCCCCTTCACAGAATACCGCAAACAAGAGAATGAACGCCTTCAAGAAAAAGACACAGCAAGTGTTCAGGCCCGAATTCTCTGCCGAAGACAAGCGCCGAATCCAAACAAACTACGAGGAGAAACTACCTTGGCATCTGGAAGACTTCGACAGTAAACATTGTCTGATCGGTAGCCATCAGATGGGAGCAATGAATTCCAATGCAGCGTTTATCTTCGAGCCAGGAGTCGACGCTTCATCAGAACGAGTGCGACTTGTTCCGATTGAGAAAGTCTATCAATTCAAACCAAAGCGAGAATTGGCGCAGCAGATGACAATTGAAGAAGTCGAGGCTGCCATGAAGAAGAGAGGCTCTGATCCGGAATGGTTGATTCGCCAACGAGAAGCTCGTATCGCTGAAGCGTCCAGAGATCTGGCTGCCAAGCGTACCAAAGGTGTCTTTACAGGTGCTCAAACTCAGAGCATCGCAGGCCGAACCGGTGAAGAAGCCGATCTGGACTATGAGGACGACTTTGCCGACGACGAAGAAGGTGATCTTTTTGTAGACAAGGACGAAGACGAAAAGCTTGCCGAGAAACGGATCAAAGAGGACCAACTGCAGGCTAATTTCCTCGATTTCAAGGATCTGAAAGAGTACGACGAGGCCGAGGAACGAGAGAAGCGCGAAGCCGAAGCCCGAAAGCGCAACTTCAAGGAGCTGCGTAAAGCCCTCGAACGACGTGAGCATAACTACAATCATGGAACCGATTCAGAGTACGAATCTTCTGTAAGTCTTCATTATTGCCCTCTTTTGGATCTGACTGACATACGTAACCAGACCGATTCCGAAGAAGAACGCGAGCGCCTTGAGCGCGAACGTATCGCCAATATCAAAAAGGAAGATGAGGATGGCAAAAAGTCCGCCATTCCTAGCCCAAGTGGAACCCCCTCAGGGCGAAAGGAGAAGAGAGGCACTGGCAGCGATCGTGAGAGAGCTCGTGGCCTCAAACGTCCTGGTAGTCCTAATCTGTCCGAAGCTAGCGGCACCGATGCCTCGACCCGCAAGAAGAAACTAAAATCCAAGCATCTTTCGTCCAGCCAGCCTACACCCAGTGTCTCGAGACCTATGTCTCCTGCAAATGTACCTGGCCAAGTTCGGAAACGACCCGGCGCTGGTTCAGACACTGACGCGGGCGTGAGCGACCGCGATGGCGGTGCAATGTCCGACGCGAGCCGCGCGCGGAAAATCAAGCTGAAGATGAGCGCAAGTCCGCCTGCCACAAGCCCACCGAGTAGAACTGGGAGCCCGGCGCCCGGTATTGTTGGTGGCGCACCAAGTCCGACGCAAGCACCTACAGCTTTCCCGAGTGTTCAGGAGATTAAGAATGCGATCCCATCCCATGGCATCACTATCAAGGATCTCATGAAGATTGTGGCGCACCCAAGAGAGCGACGAGGGGAATTCGTCAATCTGGTCAAGGAAGTTGCCAAGATGGATAAAGAGAGGAACGTGCTGGTATTAAAATAGACCGTTCCTACGTAGAGAGGTGGACAGGTCTCGCCATTGCACACCACAAGTCTGGGTGTACGAATTCTGACCTTTCATCAAGGGTGCCGGTTGTCCCCGGTTGATCAGCCACAATGCTGGAAGTATCCATTGCTCTACAACGGTCAGACAGGTCGCCATTAAGCCAGTTTGATCAATAGCAAATGTCGCAAGTAAAACAACAATGCCACTCTTACCTGCCTGGATACTATGTCCTGGCGAGTTTTGTATTTGTCGTGAGCTTTGGAAACCTCAAGCTCTGGGAATTATGGTGCACTAACGGAGATTCTGTATACTATACCTGTCCACAGCTTGAAGAATACATATGATTGAATTGAAGACATCTTAATAGCCGCTCCGGTCAGGATAGTGATATCTTCCACGCTGCTTTGCAACCTTGTCGTCTACATGCCCGAAAAGCGGCGTGCCATTGATCTCCAACTGTAGCAAGGGCCTCGGGGAAGATCTAAAGCGGCGTGACTTGGCGCACTCATGGGGATGTCCAGACGCGTCTTCCTACGCGACATGGGACATCAAACGATGACTCGCCACGCTTCAGTAAAATCAAGACCACACCGACATACCATGGACAGCAACTGCAATGGTCGATTGGAGGGAACTTGGATATGTGCCAGACTCCGATGACGAGGACGAGGACTTTGAGAATGTCCAGGTGACCCAGGATTGCCGCAACATCACATACGCCGTGAACGATGGTTCAAATCTGCCTGGCCGATCAACGTGCTGGCCTCATGAGCCAACGGAAGCCAAACACACACAGGAAAACGGGGTACTTGATAATCTTGCCGCCATCAAAGAAAATGCTGTTCCGTCATTTCCACCCAACGACCAAGATGCCCGAGATTGTCTCCCGGCAGTACCCATTGCTGGAAGCTCCGCACAGTCTACTGCCATACTTCTCGAGGCCGAGTTAGGAAAGGGACTACGAACTGTGCAGCACGTGCTGTCTACCGCAAAGGAAGGATTTGTTGGAGATGACGATGACAGTGATAGTCCTCTTTCATCGCCTCCGGACTCTCCCCGGAGTGTGGTTGACCATGAAGTCTCTGCCCCTGTCCCTGTGCGTCTTCCCGACACTAGACAAACCAACGATGATCTCAACGGGGATTTGATGCGGCAATTGATCCGACGGTCTCTCAGAACTCGAAATCCCATTCAACTGCATCCATATGCACTAGAGGATGCCAGATACCGCCAGAGTTTGAAGGAAAGAGGGCTGAAGCCTGTCCGAGCCCCGAATCCCAGCTCAAAACTTCACCATGGACTTGGAGAAGAGTCTCAGAGTGCGGATGCTTATGAGAGCAGTCAGACCCAGACACTAGATCAAGATCCTCAGTCATCCAGCCAGATCCAGACAGTTAGTGACGAGGAATCTCAGAGTCCTGTACGCGCAACCCGGACTCGTCCGACTATCTTTGACCTGCCACTAGACGATGATCTTCCCGAGCTCTCAGACCTTTTAAAGGCGCCTGTTAACCTTGCGATGGCCAAAAGGCCGAAGAACACAAAGAATGTGAAGCGACGATCGGTCTCGGCAACGATTCCAAATGATGATTTTCAGCTTTATGATCTTCCAGGGGATGAAGGCGACACGCAGACTAGGCCTAGAACGATAACAAAAAGGAGAAGATTCATTATTCCACCCTCCCCTCCCCAGTCTCGAGGGACCTTGTCTTCCGATGACAGCCCAAGGTCTCTCAACCGCCTACCATTGCCTAGCAGCGCCACACCTGGGCCTCTTCCAACTCCTTTACTATCTTCCGAGAGACATGCTAGGACGAGAGTGATTGAGCCCGATAGTTCAGATTTTGAGACATCCATTGAGAGTGGCGGCGTTGAAGACGCTAGCAGTTCTTCTGAAGGCTCTGGTGGGAGTCCTCAAGGTATACAAGGCATTCGCCGCAGAATTAAAGGTGTTCTACCAGCCTCTTGGTTGAAATTAGACATCAATAAGCAGCAGAACCGTCACGGCGAGGATCAGAGACGGGGCCGATCTCCGGTGAAGGCTGTCGCAGAAAAAGGGGTCGCCCAACGAGTTTCGAGAACTGGACGCCCCAATCGACCAGACGGTCCAAATGAGCCAGGAACCGAAATTCTGGCTCTTTTGTCCGACAGTGATTCGGATGTGTCCATCACGGCAAATGGCGTCAGTGAAGCGACCTATGATGATCCGGTAGACCTTGTTGATGATGTGGTCGAAGATAACGAAATTGATGCTATGCTTGCTCCTAGAACCCGAAAGCCAACATCAGCCCGCAAAGAGCCCCGAAAAGGACATAAGCTACTACCAAACGCAAGGTCGACACCTGATAGCAACAAACGTGGAGCTGATGCAGATAGCCATCACTATGTGAGTTGGCCGACCAAAAGATCCAGCTTGAAGCCGGGTTCACGTTCGACGAAACGAGTCAAGAAGAAACACAGAAACCTTCAAATGACTGTGCTAGAGGCCCCAGGCTTTAAAGAGAAGGAGGTGCCACGATTTTTGAGAATCGCTGGAAGACGTAGAGCAAGATTTCTTGAGCGACTGGCACAGGAACCGGCGCGGAAATTCTTCAAGATGTCCACCATGCAAGATACTCTGGACGTCAACCAAGAACTAGACCTATGGAAAGGTCGGCAGCGAACGAGACACATCGCTATCTCTCATAGCACCGAGCGTGCTCCTGTTCATGCTGGATTACACCGTGATCATAAAGAGCCTCGTGCAGTTGGCTTCGATCAGCCAAGCTCAGAACTCGAGTCTCTGAAGAAGGTTACGAGAGATACTCTTCAACGTGTACGGCAAAATCATCAATTCAACCCTCAACGACCAGCCTTCAACCGAAACGTCCTGTCTCCTGGGATCCGTGACTACTTTCCGACTCAACCTGGACAACGAAAGAGGATTGGCCCTAGGTCGTTGCACCCTTCGATTGAAACTTTTCGACCGTCTTCTAGAAAACGAACCTCGACCATACACCCCCCGAAACCTATAAAACCACCAACGCTCCAGTCCGTAGGCATCGGCCCCTTGGTTAGTGATGCCTCTTCAGCCAAACGTTACCAAAGGAAGGCACTACCCATCAGGTATTCAATTCATCACACTAACTGCGGACGTACAACACTGACAAGCAACAGCAGAGCAAGTGACGCAAGACTTCATAATCTTGAGGACATTTCCTGCCACAACGGCACTAGTGCTGGGAGCAAGAGTCATGTTAGATCTAGTCCTCCTAGTGCTCAAAGCATAAGCGTATCCTATGGTCATTCCCTTTCTCCGATATGCAGTGAACTTCAGAGCCCTCCAAAACCAACTCTTCAGCATAGCATGCTTGTCCCTGCGGCGCAGTTCTTGAAGAATAGTTTGGCATCGTCGACAATGACATCAATGTCCGATCCTACTCACCTGTTAGCAGCGAGGACTGCATACATATCAGTCAGGACGCCGATATCCGAGCATGCCGTCCCCTGCGGTTCCTGGTCACAAGTTGCCCAGGACGTCACCAATCGTACTTTCACTGAAATTCAGTCAATCCTTGCCAGCGACATGAGCCAGGCGGCCTACATCCCTATGTTGCGAAACGCTACTCGATCACTAGAGACTATGGTCAGGTACATCAATGAGGGACTCTACTTTGACGATCAATTCCATCTGAGGAGTTTCATTGGATGTATGTCAGAGAAGCTGGATACTATCTTGAAGTCATTTGATTCATATCTGACGTCAAGTGTCGGATCGATTTCTCCTGAGCTGGCCCCTATCCTCGACAATCTGATGCTGTTGGCATATCAAACTTCTAGGCTGGCGACACTGGACGAGGAGAACAGCATTCACCGATGCACAGAAGTCCTGCATAAACTTGCTACTCATGCCTTTGTGCTAGCATTCAGCGAGCAATATCTCAGAAAACTCTCTCGAGCCATCTGCAAGAATACAGAGGACGAGCCTACCATGGATGCAGCCGTCGTGGAAGTATCGGCTTCTGAAATCGAGACTATAGCGCTGATCCACAGGCTCGGCATCAGCAGCTTCTGTCTTTCGCAATTGAACGAGACGCTATCAAGCCATAAGATCTATACTTCACTTAGAGGGCCGGACGAGATTCTTGTCTGCGTTATCCTGATCCTTGCCTGCTTTTACACTATTCTTGGAAAGGATGAGGTGGAAAACTACAGTCGGCCAGGAGGCCCCTCTTTAGTTTCACCAGGATTGATCGCTTTGTCGAACGCAGTGAACGCATTCATCCCTTTCTCCTTGGATGCGCAACACAAGAGGAGAAAAGATGTGAGATACACTTGGATGCTTCAGCGCTTTGGAATCACAGCCTTCCAGTGGTGTCTATTTCTTGTACGCATCTTAGACGCCAACGACGCAAACAATCTTTTGAGGAAGATGTTCAAGCACTATTCCGACAAGGCCAACAATATGCTAGACTTCTTCGGGCACAGTCAACCTGGGACACCTGCGTTTCTCGACAATCAGCTCCCTGTCTCGGACTTGGTTCCTGAACCTCGTGACACAGATTATGTGGTATTTTTGAAGCTCGTCGCCTTCGTTCTCGGTTCTGTTCCGGGTCGCGATCACGATGACTCTGGAATGGAGGCAAAACTTGCTATGCGCAAACTGTCGCTGATTTTCAGTCTGTTGCCGAATACAGGTCCAGATGTTGAAGATGACAAGCCATTACACACTGTGGATTATCAAGCCATGGCTAATCGCTATCTGCTGTTCGTGACATTGTACCACTACTCCCCTGCAGGACTGAAACCTGAGCTCTCTCAGATTCGGGGCCTAGTCAAGTTCGGAAAGGCTCATTCTGCTGTGTGTGGAATAGTTCTAGACAGCTGGTTCAGAATCGTCAAATCGATTGTCTCGCAACCAGTATACACATCCGAGCTCCGGCAACTTGGATCGTGGATTCAGGACATGATCCTTCAGATCCATGACAAAATTGAGCTGCTTCCGCTCAGCTCTACCCAGTGTGACAACTTCGAGACACATCAACGAAATCGAGATAGTGCAAATCAACTGCTACGCAAGCTTGCTGGGGTGTATGCTGACGCGATCGACCGCTGCTTGACCGAGACTCAGGCGACTGACCTACTCCAGGGCGGTCGGTTAGATGACTTGATTGAATTATGCAGTCCTTCTCTGAAGCTCAACGACGAGACCGTCGCAGCTATTCTCTGTGTCATTGTGTCATTCGTCAAGAAATGCCGGAATTTTGCCTTCTCGGTACCAGAACTACAACAGCAGCTTCGAAGGATTCTCGTTGCGCAGCTTCACCGGGCATTTCCCCTGGAAGACGCATTGCTGATCTCATTGGTTGACTCATGGTTCGCGATTGCATTCTCGAAGGTTGTTTCGGGTAGCGAAGACTGGGACACCTATCTTTCCAACTGGGGAGCACACTCTTTTACGCGGCTTGCAAGTAACCGACCAGGGACACATTGTCACATCCTGTTCGTAAGCAAGGTTGTTGCTGACGAGCAGTACTTGAACGCGAATGTGTTTGATCTCCTTGAAATCTGGTTGTCGTCTATACTGAAGCCGCTGAGTGACATGAAATTTGAGCATGTCCTGACGAACAATTTACTACAGCATGCTCCCCGCATGCTTGGGCTGGCTGCTCTACATCCGGAGCGAACAAGCGGGAGAGAATGTTCTCTCCTCAGCTTCGATGATTTCATCCACCAACGCCAGTCCATCCTGAGACATGTTGTCCGTCAAATCTACCTTGTTGGTGGAGCTGGAACCCCCGAAGCAGAATCTTGCAAGGATCAGTTGTTGCGATTACTACGAACCATTTCTAGAGCTATGAACAATACCTGGGAACGGACGCCACATGAAGAACGAACTGCGTTAGCCGGTTTCATGCACGGACTTGTTTTTGAGCTTAATATGTCCCCGTTTCCAGAGTTCAAATGCGATTTCTCTTACATTACATACGCTACGACTGCGCAAGACAAGGCTATCCAACTCGAAGGTCTGTTTATTCGGAACACGGCACAATCTGATCCTGTCAATTACGAACTTGCTGTCCAGGTCTTTGGGGACGTTTGCCAATTGGCATCGTTGAGGGAGCGGTATGAAATTAGCGATCTCCTTGCAGCAACATTCTCCGCGAGTGATTTTAACTACATCGATGATGAGGGGCAATTTCGCTTGGATCTCCATGCTCAGCTAGTCTTCATGAAGGCCGTCTTCCCTGTCTGGCTTGAGCATTCTCTCACCCAGCTCGTGGATCATAATCATTCCGCACTCAGTGTCGTCCTTGCCGTTGCTCTCCATGTCCTTGATGCTCTCGAACTGCGAGTCGACCTTGAAGACCAGTCGCGGATGGAACAATTTGCCGAACTTACTGTGGCCATGCTGGCGGCTGTCGCGAGAGCCTTTCAGAGCGCTTCTGACGGCATTTCCTACCATGCCAGGAAACTGGAGGTGCTAGCCACCCTCGTATCTCTTTGTTCGAGGTGCTGCAGCCGTTGGGCTCACCTGCAGCTTCTATTTCCAGGCTCTGAACGACTCGCAGCTCTGCAATTTCACGTGCAAGGACACGGGCTTCATATCTACAGCCACGCTTGTAAAGCCGTTGGAAGGGATTGCCGACCTTCCTGGGTGAAGGAGGTTGACTTCATCCTTGCGGAAGCTGGTTTTGCTGATCCGGAAGAGATTGGTATGATCAGGGGCTATGCGGTCAAGGATTTGGACCGGCTGGGTCGCAACGGGCAAGAAGACGAAACATCAGTGGACATCGCGGGGTCCAGATTGCAGGTGGGATGTGCTGTGGAGGAGATGGCGGAAGTGTTAGCCTTGTTGGGTGTGGACCAGGATTGGAAAGTGAGCACATCGTTAGAGTAAGCTATAGGAGTAGTCCGCAGAGCTCATAGCCACGACTTTCAAAGGTGTCATTCGGATACGAGACTCTGGCCCTGAACAGCCCAACCCTTGATCGACGCACTGACGAGGCTGTGGCTCAGCCTTGCACATGTCAAGGATTATCGATAACGCTAGCGTGGTTGCTGGGCAACAAGCGCCGTCAAACATTGTACATTTGGCGACCCTTCGCCCTCGCTATGACCATCATATACCTCGTACCTCATCCCTCAGCGCAATTGCTGCACATTCCAGTCTCCGTTGATATCTCGAGAAGCCCAGCATTCCTCTTGGGTAAGATGGGTGTCGAGCCTCCCTTCATCTATGACCGGCCTAGCACCTACACCTTCGGAGGTCCAACCCAGCGGGGGTTCAACCCGAAAGCGGCCACTCAGGCATCATGGGCTCCAAAGCCAGCCAAACCGAAACAAGAAGGGCCCTTGATTGACTTCAACAAGCACCCTGACACGGTATGTCTAGATTGCAATATGATGCATGTGAAGTTTGGTCTGATTCAAGTGCAGTTTGTGGCTGTTCCTTACGGCAACCTCAATGCGGAACCCATGCCTCCGAACACTGAACGACGAGTGACCAGAAGCCGTCAAATCCTTCTGTTCGTGCGAATCTGCAGCTTGCTGGGAGCCTTGGGCAACCTATTCTGTGTCATCGCCGTCAAAAAAGTCGCGACTGAGGTTGGCTGGATCATTCGAGCTGCGCCTGCAGTAGCTGTTGTCCACACTCTTTACGGAATATACCATCTTTTCAAAGCTGCCGCTGGCAGAACACCTGGGTCCACCGCAAGCTACATGGTCTTTGCAGGTGTGGTCGATACTGGCTTGATTCCATTCTTCGTTTTCTCAGCGTGGTTGGCACATGCAGAGTATGCAGAAAACAAGTATGGTTGGGGTACACTGTTCAACGATCCCGACATCTCGTACAAGATCATCTTTGCTCTGTTCCTCCTATCATGCATTGAAACCGGCCTCACGGTGATGTCCCTGATTTTCGACATATATTTGGGAGTGAAATTCCGCCAGATTGCCAGACTTCCTCCCGACCTCAATCCCTTGGAACCGAACTTTACTTCGCGCCACAAACGGAACAAGTCCGAAGGCATCACCGAGAAGAATATGAGAACGTCAGAACTGGCGTCCAGACGAGAACCGCAGGGTACTGGGTTCAAACGAGTTCCGTTCATCCACACGCGTACGGACTCGGCAGACAGCGTAACACTGTATGGTAGCGAAGCTGCACGGACATCCAGAATTGGACTGAGGAAAGAATTCGAGGACAACGAGAAGGATCCCTGGCGTTGGTCGAGAACATCGTCTCCTACACGACCTAGTTCTGCAGTCAGCCCATCACCCAATTCACGTGCCGCTGGGGCGGGTCTGGAATACCGCCCCGAGCGTTCTTCCGGCCTATCTCAGCCGACAAGTCGTCCAGCTTCCTGGCTTTCGTATCTCGACTATGAAGGTGTGCCTAACCACATGAGCGATGAAGCTACTAATGAACTCGACCACGAGGTTCGCCCTGTTTCTCCCGTCTCGGCTCTCTCGATGCATGATACCTCTCATGTCAACATGAGCAACGAACGGGAGAATTGGTACCAAGGCTCCGGACACAACAGTCAAGCACAAGCAGTATTGTCACATAACGGGGGCCAAGTATTGACGCAACACACCAATGCTAGCAGAAGTAGAATAAGTCAACTCTTGCAGACACAGTCTCCACCACAGCCAAAGAGAAGTCGTGAGCCTCTTGCAATGAACCCACCATCACCTGTGAGAGGGCAGTTTGTCAATGAAAACATATACTCGACGGGGTTGCATAAGGTCCAAGCTTCAGAATACCCTCCTCGAGGGGTGCTTTCCGAAACCGATCTCAACGGTGAAACTCGAGGCAATGGAGGACCCAGACCAGCGAGCATTGTGGGAAGCGCCTCAAAGGCTCGTTCCTATGGAGACCTTCAGTCACCCGCTGGTGTGGTGACACCGCACGGTGACAAGAAGGATGGCAACCTGGCTCTCCACCGAGTCGAGGATCCCTACGAACGCACCAAAACCATGCAGAGCGAAAGCGAGTATAGCACCAACTTCGAAGTCTATACTGATGACCATGACGACGATGGAAGACTTTCTGCCCATATCGGTGGTGGTGCGCCGCAGGGTCCGTGGAATGGCGTTCGACAAGCTTCCAACTCTACTGGACACGACCTGAACGGAGGGTATGCAGAACTGGGCTCCGAATTTGGTGTGGGCATGGGCCGACGACGTGATGTTAGTGGAAAGGTGGCCGAGGAAGGTCGGTCCTCGCCCTCTAAGAATCAGAAGACCAAGAATGGCGCAGCAGGCTGGGAGAGATTCAAAGGGTTGTAACAATTGTCGTGTTGTTCAAACGCAATGCGGGAAACCAAGACTATTGCATGGTATGATTTTGGAATGGAAACGGGAAACGGAGTTTTATGGGCGATTGGAACGTGAAATGCTACTTGGGTCATGTCGATGGCAGAATTTATTTACCTATGCGAAGAAAAGTAAAGGAGAGAATGCTGCATCAGAAGTACTTTGTAGGTTGATTGTTGCTGTATCTCCACGACGGGGCCTCTGGCTTAGGCGTAGTAGGTGTTGGGAATTGCAAAAAGCCTTTTACAGTAAGATCAAGTAAGGTCAATGTCAACTTCTCTTGTTCTGGATGCCTCTTGAATGATGCTACAATGTACTCGGTACACATCAACTCGTAACAATGGAGACTCTTGTCCTCGGAACACGAATCCTCATGATTCCCCCATTACGACGACATCAACTGCGACATCATCTCCATACAGACCATGGACTGCAATGTCTTTTCACTCGCCATGAACTTCACCTTGAGCAGCAGCGAGAAAAGCGAGCGGGCGAGCGAGCGAGTGAGTGAGCCACTCAGCTCAGCACATGGCCAGCGTAACAGCAACTACCTAAGTATACTTAACGAGTAAGAAAGTGAGTGAGTGAGTGAGTGAGTGAGCGAGCGAGCGAGTGAGGAGGGATCCTTGCTTCTCAGAGACGAACAAGTAGGTAAGTAGGAGACGGTTTTGCCATCCACAAGGAGTTTCCAGTTTTGCCCCCTTCCCCCATCAGCTCCCGCCCACAAATAGAGTCCACACAGCTGGATTCGCGCTGGCGACGGCACCACTTGCGTCGGGGGCGCCATCGGGGTTCACGTCGTCAAAGGCAAACGCGTAGCCTCTCCCGTCCAGCTCGACCGAGTGCACGGCCTGGCTGTACCAGTTCGTCGGGCTGGTGGTGTAGTAGTCGGTCGCGGGCAGACCGGGCTGGACGTTCCCGCCGGCGGCCAACAGCAGCGTGGTACGCTGCAACGCCGCGCACAGCCTCGGGACGACGGCGAGCATCACGTCGTTGTCGCCGGCCTGCGTCCCGAACACGCCCTGGCACCCAAAGATGTCGAGCGCGCTCGGCTGCGGGATCGACCGCGACGCGCCCTCGCACACCAGCGCCCCGGACGCCGTGGAGCAGGGGATGTCGCCCAGCGCGGCGTTCTGCGAGTGGATGGTCAAAGTCTCGCTGGCGTACCGCGCCCACACGCTCTGCACGTACGATGTGTAGTAGTTGCTGAACGCGTCGCCGTGCACCGCGATGTACTTGCCTGGCGCGTTGGCGCGGAGAGGCGACAACGACGAACCCCCCGCGGTCTGCGCGTACTGGCACAGTTGGTCCCAGGGTTGGCCGTCCTGTGAGGCATGCGGCGCCAGGTCGTTGCACACGGTCGACACGGCACCCTGGGCCACGCCGCGCACCGTCTGTGTGCCGCTGCCGTCGGTGGTGGTGAGTTGCATCCCGACGGGCATGCCGACAAAGTCGACGAACGTCATGTCCGCGTACAGTCCCCCGGCCTGGGTGTACGTCATTTCGGCGAAGCCCCAGAAGATGCTCGCCGACGGGTCACTTGGGTTCTGCGGGTCCGGGCTGACCAGCGTGACTCCCCCGGAGGCCGTTTCCAAAGTGTAGAATTGCAGGTTGCCCGCCGCGAAGTACACACGGCCGGAGATGAAGAAGTCGGGGAGCGTCAGGCTGGTGGTCTGGCCTTGATTGCCGAGGGGGATGGCGATGTTCTCGGTGATTGCCTGTGGGATCGTCGTGGAGCTGGACGTAGGGTAGTACCATTGGCCTGACGGTGTGAGGATGATGACTCGGTTCGACGTGTCGAGCGCCGTGATGTACACGTTCGTGCCGGAGCCGTAGTTGTTCACCAGGTCCAGACGAAGACCCGCGGCCGCCTGAGGCTGCGGAGGACCGTGGAATGTGGCGTTCGGGTTCGTCCCGTTGAGCGTGTTGAACTCGGTGAGCGTGATGTCGTCGACGCCTCCTGGGGAGACGATCACAGGGCCGCCTGATTGTCTCTTGATGAATGGTGCTCCAAAGGCCGTCGACGTGAAGAGACTGGTGGAAGCAAGGAAACAGCACAACAAACTGGGGATGGAATCGAGATGCATGTTTTCTTGAATTTCTTAAAACTATTTACACAGCTTGAAAACAAAATCGCGTCATGAACAAAAAAAAATGAAGGACTAGGGGTCAGAAGATGTTACAAAAGAGTGAGACTTGGTAAGGTTGGCTGAGGAGTTTGTTCAGGCGAGGGATGGGATGGTCATCTTATATCCTCATGTATACGTACCTCGCAGCATGAAATAGAGAGGTATAGACCACACATCGACAGCAAGAGCATATCCATAAAGCCGAGCCGAGTCATTTTGGATGGATATTGAGGCTTCTCGATCACATTCACGAAATTGCCTTCGCCTTCATGTGGGCGGCTAAGCAAACCTGAACCGCGTCCTTTACCAAGGACAGTCCATAGTCCGTGAGAGGGTCAATGTCCAAAGGAGGATAAGGCGTGAAGGCCAGGTATCGCGATGCCCCCACTAGAGGTGTCTAGAGGTGTCGTCGTAGGCTTTCCAGTATCCAGATCGAGTCAAGTACATTCGACTGACCAGGTATGCACCAACACTATCCAATGTCAAATGGTGGAATGGATCGTGGCGCAGTAAACAACCTTGAGACTCGCCTCATTTAGATAATCGAAAAGAGCGTCATGTCCGATCGTACGGTGCATATCCCTCACTATTTGCATTGGAGACGATGGAAGTCCAATTTCGAACGCAGAGACAGCGAGGTCGCAGGGTGACATTGAAGAAAGTAGGACGCCTAACCCAGTAGCCAGCTGAGATATGCCAGACAAAGTAGTGACTTTGGATATTTCTGTTGCATCGCGTGGAATACCACGTACAAGGAGTCAAGGGGAATCGAGGGCGAGTGAGGGTTGTAGAGACTAACGGGTCGAGAAGCGCTAATCTGGAAATCATCGACCTCTCGTCTCACCTTGCACGATTATGGGTATATCATAAACCAAAACCACTTACCTCGTATGTCCTTTTGTGAATATTATACTTGTGTATTTGACTGACATGATTTGATGATCAAGACTCCCAGATCAAAACTGATGTTCTCCTGCTATGATGCTGAAGTCCACCGGCGACTCCATGTGTGACTCCACGTTGTCGCCTCGATCAATAACAACCAGTGGAGACCGATGTGGAAGAAGTAGGGAGGAACAGAGATCACCCACTCCGAGCATCTGTAAGAGTTGCGTGTATCGTCCATGAAGCCGACTCGATCATGGAGACACTTCTTCGCAGCCTTGGGTAGCACAGGCCCCGTCACACCCGTCCCGCGGCTCCTCTGATCGTCCTCGACAAAATTGCATTTCGGGAGAAAAGACTAAAAAGTCCGGGGTTGAGGTGGTGTCGTTCAGGGGGTTACCAGGTTCCGCGCGCCTCAAGGGTTACATTGGTCGAAACGAGGCATGTCGCATAGTCCCCTTCTTGTTCCGAGGATGTGGCTGTTTCCCAGGCGGTACTGTACCACGCAGTCGTCAATCTTATACTCACTGAGCAAAGGTTCAAAGGCCATGGTACAGTCTCATGGCCAGGACAACATTCAGATGTTGCTCGTGTTGAAGCCCCAATACGACGAGCGTGAAAGAACTCGGCGAATTCTCAAAGCGTTGGGAAAGAGAAGAACAGTGATGCCTTTCCATTAGATCCATGATCACCAACAGGTCTGTCACAATGATTGACAAGGCTGGAGGTATGCGAGATGGAAACTTGATGAAGTTATGAACCTCGATGAAGAGTACGTGCTTACTGTGATGTCCACGGCCCGTAGTTTTTCCGAGGCTCGTCGTGTCTTCCAATGTACGTACTTTGGAAAGATACTGTACCTGAGTATTGGATTCACTCTACAGCGTTCATCCAACAAAACCCCTAGAAGTGGGATTACTGCGAGAAACACCTCTCTCCATCGTACATCGAGTACTGGCCAAGATATAACAACCTCCTCGCCAGGGTTCATATCATCCCAGTTCGCATCTCAGCAAAAGCCCTCCAAACCGTTCTCCATCCGACCTTCGACCTCCACCAACCCGTATTAGCAATGTCCTCGAAACGAGCTCTATCTACACTCTCACACTCTCTGAAGGGCCTCTCCGCGCCACGCGTGGCTTCAATCTCATCCCTCTCGCGCTCTCCACATGTTCAGTCCCGCCGTTCCGCGCGGCCGTCCATAGCCATGCCTATGCGTCAACCTCGTCGGCACTTCACCACGACGCTCGTCCGTCGTAAAGATGACCCGGCTGCCACCTCAACAATATACAGCATGTCCGACATCCAGTCACTCACGGAATCTCCTGACCCGCACAGGATCCTGATCGACGTGCGCGAACCGGCCGAGTTGAAATCCACAGGCAAGATTCCGGGAAGTTATAACCTGCCCATTTCGGCCTCGGACGCATACTTTCTACCTGCGGAGGAGTTTGAGGAACGCTTCGGGTTCCAGAAACCAGGGAAGGACGATGAAGTGATATTTTACTGCAAGGCTGGCGTGCGAGGACGGGCCGCTGCGCAGTTGGCCAAGCAGGCCGGGTTCGGTGGGAAAGTGGGTGAGTTTCCCGGGAGCTGGCTCGAGTGGGAGGGTAAAGGGGGCAAAGTTGAGCGGGAGACGTAACAAGGCGATTTGAGAAAATCAAATGTATGAATTAAGGATGGCTCGGATGGCTCGGATGGCTGAAACGTCGAAGTAAAGACATTCTCAAGTGCTGGGCTGTAAAGGTCGACAATGGCATGGATGGAATGAAACAGGATTCTGTCTACCGTCTAGCTCTTGTATCTAAGACAGGCTGCCGTCTGGAAGATGGGCGGTAGGATGGAGCAACAGTTCCAGGTTTCAACGCGAGGCCCAGCCCATTCTATATCGCAGCTGACGCATAGTCATACCAAATTTTGTACATTCCACTGCTCCGGCCACTGATATGACCACATTCTACAAGATGTTACCGTTTGCCAAGCACCTTTCTTTTTACGGCCAGTAACAACACCATTCATCGTGACGGTCCAGCATCGGCGTCCAGCTCGGGGAGCAGTGTCATGTCGATGTCTCCCTCGTGATCGTGGAGCGCAGGTGATGATCCCAACTCCAGACCTTCAATCTCACCTACCAACTTGCTCGGAGGACTAGTCGCAGGCAAGTTGACCTCTTCCTCTTCTTGCAGGTTGGGATCACCTTCCTCATCGGGACTTTCTTCGCCGAACAGATCCCTCCTTCGTTTCTCTCTCAGCCAACGCTCGACCTTCTCCTCTGTGCTGGTGACGGCTCTCATCAAAGTCTTGAGACTGAGACACGACACCTGCGCAGCTTCTTCATAGAACGCGCGCACTTCCCGACCCACCGAGTCTATCTGCTCAATGGAAACGTGGCGTGGATAGAGAGTGCCTGGTCTGAGCAGGCTAAGACCATACTCTGTCTCATCTTCGGAGCTAATGGCTCGCCGCGATTGGAGAGAGGCTTGAACTTCTCGTATCCGGGTTTCCAAGTAGGATTGAGAATGAGACTGTGCGCTCTGAAGATCATTTTCACGCCCTGTGGCCCCCACCGGAGGAACATCATGGAGAGGGAACATGTCGAGAACGTCCTTGTCCAGAGCACTTTCTTGCCCTTGCCCTTGCGATTGCGATGCTGCAGAGTCGATCCATGTTCGCTGGTACCAGTCCATGTACTGGTCGAGTTGCTTATCGGTCATGCTGAAGGCGTCCCTATCCGTGACGTTGATCTCCGTTCCTGGTTTGAGACCGCCGCTAGACTCATGCATCTCGTCTAGTGCCTGTTCATAGCGAGTCTTTGCTTCAAACCAAGCCGACCAATTCATACGAAGTGTGGCGGGGTCGTTGGTTCGTTTCGGGTAACGTTTGACTGTTGCTCCGTCAAATGGAAAGAGAAGTTTTGTAGCAACCACCAAAAGTGACATTAGCTGTGCTTCGGGATATGTCGTCGCATGTCGTCGCGTCTTCTCGGATGCTGTCGCGTCAGGATAGGCGAAAGTATACTTCGACATAAGATTCAATCGCTGAGCCATTCCATAGACTTCGATCGGAAGTGCCAGTGACCTAACATAGCTTAGGAGAAACAGATTAACGTTCAGTGGCGGTAATATCATTCCAAAGGTCGAATTGAACATTTCAGCTCGACGATATATGGCAAGCTGGAGATCATTAGCCTCGAGGACTCGAATTGTGTCGAGTGAAAGGTGGTATTCGGAAGGCAAACGGTCCTTCATGTCTTGTGGCACATGTCTGATGGCGCGAATGAATGGGACATCTTCAAGTTGGATCCATCTGTTACAGTGAGCAAGTCGTCGTGACGGTCAAATCGAGGTGGAATGACTTGGCCTACTTCAACAAGGTTGCCAGGCTCACTGGTCTCCGTAAGATGATAATGCCAAGGTAGTTGAGGGCAATTGTATCGATCAACAGGGGACTCGGGACTTTTCCTTTGTGTTTCTGGGTGTCCGTAGCTTCTCTCGCAATATGGGATTCTGCGCCCGTATCATCTGCAGCTGAGTCGCTTTCTCCCTCTGTCTCCGTCAGAGTGTCAGATCGGGTTGGGTCCTGCAGCCGGCGATCTAATCTTGAAAGCCATAGTGTCCATAATTCACGAACCACAGTCTAACATACACAGAATCAGTCCGCAACACTCAAGACAAGGGGAAAATGGCGGTTTCGCCGCATACCCACAGTTCGTCTGGCAAGGCTTTCTGATGGACGAGGGCGTGACACTGTTTCCACAGAATGAACTGCCAGCACTGAAGAAAGAGTTGATATGCCTTGGCCCCTCGAAGGACTGTTGCCGTGATGTTAGAATGCCAGCCTCAAACAGGCCGTAGATATGAACTTGCCTCTGGAAAGTTTCTGTTTCTCCTTTGCTTCCTTCTTCCTTACGACTCTGCCTCTGTTCGCATAATCTGCTTCGTCGTCGTCAACAACATGACCTCTGGCTTGCTCGTGACCTTGAGCGCAGTAGGTTCTTCCATCTTCGTCGACGTAGAAGTCTCTCGAGCCGCAAAAGGCGCATTGATTCTCATCATCCATTTTGTCGTGCAGTCGATATGCTGGAGCGGGAGCACATGGTGGGCATCGACAGACAAAGGCGAGCCTATTCAGTTACAAGGGACCAGGAAGCACCGAAGATCTGGAGAGTAACTTCGTTTAAGTTGTTCAACATTGCGAGGATACAAGAAGAGACGAGATTTGGAGGCCCGTGAATATTTTCGTAGTTCGGCGCCAATCAAAAACTCGGGATTCCCAATTTTCCAAGAATCTACACATATTTATCCCAGAGAACATGGAATCACTCCAGACAGAATCAAATACAAGGTATAAGTGGTTTAATTGCTTGCATTTGTCTAACTACCAAGAATCAAAAATGCAATGCTTGAGGGGCTATTGAACTCGTCACTGATAGAAATTGCTTTTTCAGGCCGAAGTCACATATCTATAGTCCATGCCAGCCTTGGGCAAGTTCTGGAAGACGTTGCCAGCTAGATGGTCGTAATAGAGACTGCCCAGACACCTATCGTGTTCTCGTAAGCGATATCCTTGTCATGCATCCCAACAAGTAGGTCGTAGACAAGAGAAGATTTCGCAAGTCGGTCGTCGGCTTCATCCAATTTATTTGGGAGCCTCCTTGGCATCCATGGCGCATTCCTCGCCCATGGCCGTCAAGACAATGACGTCTGGAATAAGTCAGTACTGGCAATCGCACGGAAGAGACCGCATTGCTTACTGGTGTCCTTCTCCTCAGTACGGAAGAGCTTCTCAATCTTCTCACCGACTTCACCATCTGGCATCTTGACATCATCCTTGGTAGTTCCATCATCAGACATAAGGGACAAGAAACCATCATCGGTGATATCGAGCTGTTAACACGCATCAGCCCAATTTTGCTCTTTTTTTCTGCCAGGTGTGCAAATAACTCTTACCAACTGGTATTCGCGACGGACGACATTGGGGACCTCCATGTTGTGGGTGGAAGGAGAGAGATCTTCCAACTTCTTGCCGGTGAAGATATCGAGGGCGACCAAGTGAACCTTTGCGTGACCGTGCTTTCCAGTCTTGGAGGTGGACATGTCGACGATCTTGCATGGGCGACCCTTGATGACAACGAAACCGTTCTTTCTCAAGGCGGAACATTGCATAGGGTAGGTGGCCGAGGCGCCGGCATCGGCAGACTCAAAGGTGTGTTCATGCTGTAGGGAGAACAGGTCAGTGTTCGTTCTGTGGTGATGACTGGGCCGCGCCGTCGAAGCGGTCGGAGGCACATTGTCCCTGCGGCTCAACCGCGCCAATGGAGCACAGGGAGGGGAAATAACAGGAACCAACTCACCTGCGCGTCGTCCGCCATTTTGGAGATAGTAAGCAGCTATCGAGATGAAACAAAGGAATACGGCGGTGAGAATACTGAGGAGATAACTGGGGTGCGACAAATTTCGAGAGAGAAGGGAGGGAGAGAGGATGAACTTGGTGGTTGGAGAAAGACACAGGCCAGAACCACAAGGAAAATATCAAAGTGCCACTGTCAGTGGGATCGAGGCAAGAAACGGCGGGGGGCAAAATCCCGCTAATCGGATAAGACAGAAGCGCTAGCCGTATTGGGACGCATGGCTTGGCACAGTCACCTGACTCGCGACAGGGTGGCCTCGCGCGGACACCACAGAGCCAGGACGACGAGCTTCAACAGGACAGCGCAGGGTGGCCTGTCATGCTACAGCCTCGCATCATGATTCCCCCGTAGTGCACACCATTGCACCGGGCCTTGGACGACGAGATGTGGCTCGATCGGCTGACAACGGGCTCCGGAACTCCCAGCGGCTCTATTACTCCCTCGAGACCGTACTCTCCCTCTCCGCGCAAGAACTCGCACCTCGGCCCTGTCCAACGCAGTGGTCTTGGGCTCTCCGCCAATAGATCCAACTCCTCACTTGACTTGAGCGCGAACACATCTTCGTCGTCACTGGCACTACCCCCACGGCCAACAAATGGATCAACATTGCGTTTTGAGCAGAAGCCACCTCCAGATGTCGCCGATCCTGTGAAGGTCCTGCGCGGTATACTGGGAGAGACAGGTGATAAAGGAGACGTGGTACCTTCCAGCAAGGCAGGCACTTCTGGAACAAGTCCCATTGACTTTGGAGGTCTCAGTCTGCAAGAGTTCGTCGACCAAGAGACTCTGCCACAGCCCACAACCACAAGCCAAACAATAGATGTCTCGGCCAAGCAAAACCGAGAGAGATATAAGGATTTCCATGCATCTATAGCAGAATGTGATGATGTGCTCAAGACAGTCGAAATATACTTCACCAACTTCAAGGCAGAACTAGGCCAAGTGTCTGCGGAAATCGAAAACCTCCAGGCTCGTTCGATTCAGCTGAACGCCAAGCTTGACAATCGTCGTAAGGTGGAACGATTACTCGGTCCTGCTGTCGAAGATGTCAGCCTGTCGCCCTATACAGTGAGGGCCATCGCCGAGGGTCCTATCGACGAAACCTTTTTGAAAGCTCTCAATGAGGTAGAAGCGAGATCTGCTATTGTCAAGGAGAAGAAATCGGAACAGGTCAAAGCTCTCCAAGATCTCAAACCAATATTGGACAACCTGAAAGCCAAAGCGGTTGAGCGAATACGAGACTACATCGTGTCTCAGATCAAAGCACTGAGATCGCCCAACATCAATGCCCAGGTCATCCAGCAGCAAACTTTTTTGCGGTACAAAGACCTGTATGCCTTTCTTTCTCGTGCCCACCCTACGCTAGCCGAAGAGATTGCCCAAGCCTATGTCAACACTATGAGATGGTATTATAGCAGCAATTTCACCCGGTATCAACAAGCACTCATGTCGCTCCAACTGCATACATTCGACCAATACGACCTTCTCGGTTCAGAGCCCGCTCCTGCACGACGAGCGGTCCTCGGTGCTTCAAGCAAGCCTGGAAACCCACAACACGATTCGTTTGGGTTAGGCCGGCGGGAAGATGTTCTCAAGTCCAAAAACGACGCTGCGTTACCAGCACACCTCGCGGAGGACGGCAAGTCAACACACTACCTCGAAATACCCTTTCGCAATTTCAACCAAGCCCTCACCGACAACGTTTCGGCCGAATACTCTGTGGTGACGGAGCTGTTCTCGACTAGCACGTTTCAGCAGATATCCCGTCGAGTTACCGAGATCTTTGAACCCACGTTTACGATGGGCCATAACCTGACCAAGCAACTCGTGGAAGACACAAACGACTGTCTAGGCATTCTTCTGTGTGTCCGACTTAATCAGCATTTCGCATTCGAGCTGCAACGACGCAAAATCCCCGTCGCCGACCCTTACATCAACTACACCAACATTCTTCTATGGCCGCGCTTTCAAAAGGTCATGGACCTTCATGTCGAGTCCCTCAAAAAGGTCCCTACACCATCAGCTCGAGGCGCCAGTGCAGCATTCTCGCTTGTGGGCGGTGGACCAGACGCATCCAAGTCGTCCCTCGCCCCGCACACCATCACCCAGCACTTTGGCCAATTCTTGCATGGCATCCTCATGCTCAGCGCCGAGGCCGGAGACGACGAACCCGTCGCCAACAGTCTGGGTCGGCTACGTTCCGAGTATGAGACGGTCATGAGGAAACTGGCCAAGGGTGTAGCAGATCCTAGTAAGCGGTCGAGGTTCTTGTATAACAATTACAGTCTTATCTTGACTATTATCAGCGACACTAGAGGAAAGTTGGCCGATGAACAAAAGGAACACTATGGCGGGTTGGTGAGGGATTTGAAAGGGAGGTAGCATGACATGCGTTTGTCCTTGCTCCCTGACCTTAATTGTTGGTTCCAGAGATGACAGTGCAGACCCAAGTCATATCTCAAAATCCTTGCCGTCGAGCCACTGTTTACAATGCCAATACAACAGATCATGGTTCTCACCACAAGTCAAGCTACCCCCAGCTATACCGTTCTCCCGTCTATGGCCCGGCATGTCAAGTAAAACATTCACGCCCATTGTTGTCTCCTGACAGTAAGCCAAGTACCGGTAGCCTGAGGGATATTTTTGAACCTTGGCCTCGTCCACTTTGGGAACTCTGTTGGGGTCGACCGGAATTAATTTGTCCTGGATCAGATGTGAATAGCAGGCTCTCTGTCTCTCTCACACTTCCGAAGTAGTAATTTGTCTTCGCTCACCTTCTCATACCAGTGTCTGACAACCATGGCTTTCCATTCCTTCTCGATCTTGAGCCAGAAGAAGCAGAATCGACAATCACTCTCGGCGTCTGCTTCGATGCCATCCAGATTGAACCGTTGGGTTATGGTCGCTTTCATCTTCGTCACTGCCCTCGTGGCGTTTCGGTCGATGTCGGTGCTGAGCCCGTGGCACCTGTGCATGATAAAAACCCCCGCATCCATGCCTTTCTGTGAGGCCGCGATGAAGTCCAGGTAATGCGAGCGACCAGTCCAAGTGGTATAAATAACTGCGTCTGCGTGGAAAATGCTCTTCAGGTTTTCCCATTCGCAAGCGTCGCTAGTGTCCAGCAGCGTCAGTTTGGGGGTGTTGGGGAAGTTCTGGAACACCGCCCCGACTGCTTACCGATACATTGGCCATCCCTCTGCCAACTCCCTAAGCTTATACCTTTCGAGGGCGAGATTATCTGGTCCATTATTCCGTACCGCGTCTATAGGCCTGGAACCGGCCGGCAGAGAATGCAAGTCACAGGCAGCCATTGCCTCTGACGATGCTGTTGGCTGGCTTCATGCCACATCAATCTTCCTTCGGACTATATGTATTCCATGGAGATTGTTTTGGGTGTCGGAGCAAGTTGAATTTCACGTTTTAGTGTTCGGCTGTGCATATATCCGAGGATCTTCGTCCTCCCAGACAGGTTGGTGAAACCAGTTTGCCGCGACCGCTACAGCCGCTTTTGCTACCTACGGATATTATGAACCCAATTGCCGATGAAGAGCTTCGATCATATTTCTGTATGACTGGGCACCTCGAGAGGCGAACTCGGCAGGCACTTCAGGTCTTGGATCGAACAAGTGTCGGGAGAACATCTCGGCGCTAATCAAGCCCCGGTATCCCATTCTGACAACCAGTGTCTCCATGATCTTCTGCACGGGCAGATAACCGCCACGGTCTTGTTCGAACGCGAAGAGCCTTGCATTCCTTGACCAGGTCATGCGTGGCTTTTGATCCTCGGTGTACAGCGTGTGGCCTGGAACCAGAGGTCGATCCAACCTTTCGGCATCGCCAGGTTGTACGTAGAAGATCTTGTCTACGTCAAGGCTGCGGACCATCTCCTCCAGAGAATCATCCAGAACACGGTCTGCATCTTCATTTATTCCTGAAGGCGCCGTGGGATCGCCCCACACTCGTCCTGCAATGTGGAACGTGTCAAGGCAGAGTCCAAAGTTGCTCCTGTCTACCCTTTTGACGATCTCCCACGTCCCTTGCCAGGTGTCCAAGTGCGTTCCCCATGCCACGCCTTCGTATGCGAAGTAGATGACTGGGTCCTGCTTGAGGCCCAATCCAGACATCTCGATCATGTCTTGCACAATCACCTCAACGTCGCCCGTGGTCCCTCGCGCAAGCCAGTTGGTGGGGATCTGGATGATTCGAGCACCGAGTATGGCTGCCAACTTCATCCAGAGCTCGAGTTTCTTAATCTTGGCAAGACGCTCTGCCTTGTCAAGAAGACCTTCGTAGAACCAAAAGGGCTGCAGGACCTTCACTTTAAGGCGATGATTGTCGCACAGTGCCCTAATGCTTTTGGCAGCTTGGACTTGGCCGTATTCTGACCTATCGAACCCCAAAGCTTTGGTTTGCTCGAGGAGGTCCGCTTCCACGATTTCTACCTGTGTGAAGCCATGGCAGGCGGCCGCAGATAGTCTCGTGGCGATAGGGTGGACAGAAGGATCTCCCAGGGACACACTTGCGATAGTAGGTTCGAAATCCATCTTTACACACAAACTGTACAGGCTGGCGACGTGATTCTTGGTGTATGTGTGTGATTGGGTCTTTGCGCTGTCGTCAGCTGTTCCTGGCAGCGCGCATGGTATTGAACACAGACTCGATTATTCCTTTTATGCGTCTGCTTTTGACCGTGGATCGAGGCGGCAGCAGAACGTCAGTGTCAGTATTACAAGGGAAACAAAAAACTACCCAAGTCTCTCTCTTGCTTGGGGTTGGATCGGGAAAGATGTAGCTTCGGAAGTAGTCATTCCCGATGCCTCTGCTGGCCGAAAATCGAGACAATGAGGAGTTGGCACTTGGTATTTTCCCGGCCATATCTGCTCAGAAATTTACTACGTGTAACGTGATACTGTTTCTATTGCACTCGGTTGACGATTTCAACGCCGGTTTGATTGAAGCTCCACAGACGTTCAAGAGTATCAGCTTCAACCACGACGTGCACCCAGTTGGACAGGCCACTCGGTGGTCTCGATCTCATCGGGGTAGACAATATTTGCTTGCCGACGAATCTCGTCGGCGACCTCCATCACCAGCGTTGATTCGTCCCACGAGATCGCGGGACATTCTAGCTTCCCATCAAGCCAGCACCTGGCGGCCTCGTCGGCTTCCCAGAACATTCCGTGTCCCTGTGCAGGAATCGGAAAATGGCGTTCCCAAGCAACCCCGTGCCCTGCTTTGGGAATAACTTTGATCCTTTGAGCCCGGTGAGCCGGACCCCATACCTGGATCTCGCCCTCTAGACCGTAGATGTGGACTGTCGGACCGTCCTGGTTGCCAGCATCCGGTAGAACCATCGAAGTAGTGGCGATGCCGTGCGCCACTTTCAACCTCGAATTTGAGGGCATGTCGAAGCGCATGATTAGACTCGTCATCTGATCTGTCCCCGAGGGCTCGTGGAACTCGACCAAACTCGACATGGCCGAAGGAGGCTGCCGGAGCTCGGGATCCTGGGTGTGATATAGCGTCTGGAACAGCCACGTCAGGGCGTAGACTCCAATGTCCAACAGAGCACCGCCGCCCAAGGCGGCATTGAGATAGCGATGCGACGCGTCGAGTGCCTCCACATCCGTCCCCGTCGAGTTGTTGACGTAGACACGCAGCACGTCGCCAATCACGCCGTCCTTGATCAACTGCCTCACAGCAACGCTGAGAGGGAAGAACCGAGTCCACACCGCTTCCATGAAGAACAGTCCTTTTTGTTTGGCGACCTCGTGCAGTTTGCGGGCCTGGTGGGCGTTGACCGCCACGGGCTTCTCACAGAGCACTGCCTTCCCGTTGTTCAAAGCTGTCATGCAATTCTGGAAGTGATGGGAGTGAGGAGTCGAAATATACACCAGGTCGACCGCCGGATCCCTGACGAGCTCCTCGTATGAGCCGTACGTGCTGCAGATGACGTTCGACGGCTGTCGAGGCTGGACGATCTCAGAATAGAAGCGTCTGGCTGAGTCCACGGACGACGAAGATGCGACGCCTGTGACAACATGTGTGATGTCGTCAGTGCTCCGCGTCGTAGGGTCAATAAGTATGTCTTTGGCAAAGGTCTTTGCAATATCACCAGTGGCTGCCTGAGATATCAGTCTGTAATCGACGGGGGAGAGACACGAGCTCGGTGAGCCTACCCATAAAGCCCCAACGAACAGTACGTGCTTTGACTTCAGCCATGTGGAGATTCTATCGACTTGCTAATACTTTGGTGATTCAATGCACCAAGGAAAACGACCAACGTCTAACATTCTTGTAGGAGGATCAGGATTCGTTCCCTTTATAGTTTCCATCATCCCATTGGTGACAGCGACAAACTTTGGCGGAGAGCCTCTCCCTCGTCAAGATTTGCATCCCGGCAATGGCTTTTGCCGAAAACTATCTTGAAGTTCCAGGTTAGAGGCTGACAGTTTGGCCATCAAGCACGCATCGGCCTCACTTCCCAAGCACTTCGAAGTATCGAGAGGCCGCACAATTCTATGCGGCAAAAGCAGTGGGATTCTAAATAGCCTCCGAATTACATACGAGAACGGCTGATTGTGATTTCCGAAAGAAGACTGATGAGTACGGTTCTAGGATCTCTTATTCCTGTTCATCGCTGTGGTTCACGAAGATAGACTTTTCCTGGGTCCAAGCCGTTAATGCAGACGATCCTTTTTGCCTACCGATGCCCGAGGCTTTGAACCCTCCAAAGGGCAATTCATAGGCGCCATAGGGTGATGCCGTATTGACACCTACACTACCAGCCTCCAGGGCACGAGCAACTCTCATAGCTTTGTTCACGTCCTTGGTGAATACTGAGGCATAGAGACCATCTAGACGCCTAGGTTAGCTTTTAGTTTCAACAGCACCAGGTGGTCAGGCGGCAATTTACATTCAGTGTCGTTGGCTCGTTGCACCGCTTCCGTCTCCGATTCGAATTCGTGCAAGACCAAGACGGGACCAAAGATTTCTTCGACGTTGGCTTTGCTGGAATCGGGAATGTCGGAGAAAATGGTAGGACGAATGAAGTTCTTGCCCAGCTCGCTGGCAGCTTCTCCTCCCACCAAAACTTGTCCGTCCTTTTTGGCGATTTCAAAATAACGAAGGATATTCTGTGCTTGTCGCGAATCTGCCTGGGGACCGAGGAACGTTTTTGGGTCGCTTGGGTCACCTTGAACCAGCGCCTTGAAGCCGGCAGCTAGGGTTTTCTTGAATTCGCTGGCGATAGATTTCTCCACATAGAGCCTTGAGGAGGCGGTACAGATCTGTCCTGCGTCTGCGGAGCGGTTATCTCAGGCATATCTTGGTAGCCAGCTCTGGACTTACTTGTCGTGATGGACTTGATGGCTGACGATGCTGCCTGTGCAAGGTTGGCATCTGCGAAGACCAGCAACGGCGATTTACCACCGAGCTCGAGTGCCACATCTTTGAGGTTCGACTTTGCCGCTGCCTGCATGACAGCTCGGCCTGCTTGCGTTGAGCCGGTGAAGCTGATTTTCCTTTTATGTCGTTAGCACGTCGTATCGACAATGGGTCGGCGTGGCGCGGTGCATACCGAATCTTCATATGCGAAGACAAAAGTGAGCCCGTTTCTCCTGCGCCTGAGATGATATTGACCACTCCTGGAGGAAAGCCGGCTTCCGCTGTCAATTGTCCAAGAAAGATACCCTACGTCTCCGTTAGTTGACACCCAGATCAGGAGGTGCCATTTCACTACACTCAGAGGTGACTTTTCCGAAGTCTACATTGGCGTCCTTGTTAGCAGATTCTTTGATTTCCCTTCATCCAAGTAATCTCACCTTCAAGATCAAGGCGTTACCTGCGCCCGTCGATGGACCAATTTCATGGCATGCCTTAATGTTCTCAGCGATATGACCGGGCTGTCTCTTCCTTGTATCAATCAACTCACGAGCATGGTCGGGAAATTCCATGGGACTATGGCCGCAACGACGCCAAAAGGCTGCCTCACCATCATGTTGAGATGATCGGGAGCGTTTAGAGACGTCTGGCCGCTGGCGAGTTCGACCAGACCTGAGAAATAGTTGAGAATGTTCCGACCTTCCTCGATATCTTCCGCAACTTGAGTTACTGGCTTGCCCATGCACACGGAATCGAGCTTGCTACTGGTCAGACACATTAAATAGCTGGTGTTTCACATACCTCTTGAAGGTGGGCTCTGTTCTCGTAAATCAAGTCTGCGAATTTGCGTAGCACCCTCGCGCGGAGGTACGCTGGGGTGGCTGCCCAGGCAGGTTGTGCCTTTCGGGCCGCTTCCACGGCCTCCTCAACGTCTTCGGACGTCGCAATGGGCACATCGGCGACATGGGCACCGGTGGCTGGATTCTGATACACCATTAGTCTCCCGTTGAGCAATATCTGCCCCGGCATGGCGCGAAGCTCTTACCTGTAGCGGATAGGTCTTGCCTAGCTTTGGCTGAACAAAGGCCCCGCCAATCCAGAGTCTTGTCTCGTATTTGGGCATCTTGTTTTCCTTTTGTTCAGTTCATCAAAGAATTTACTCACAGTTCGGAAGATATGAGCCACGTTTGATTTCGCAAGCAGTATTCACTTATAGAGCTGGTGTTGTGGATAGAGCTCTTCACTCGGGAGTGGATTTACCCGTGTGACATCGAATGTCGACTTGGTTCCTTAACCAAGAAATTCATCCAAAGCTGAGTAGAGATTGCACTGCCATTGGTGCGTATGCCGAATATCGTTCTGGCTTTACAGGAGATAGAAAGGAAGCCATTCCTCTCAGCAGGAGGGTTTCCTCCGTGGTACCGCCACAGATGTGTTCTCAGCGGTCGAACCAAGTCCCAGAGACATGGCGATCGCTATCAAAAAAGTCGCTGTTGCCGGCTTGGGAGCCATGGGACTGGGAATGGCAAAGACCCTCATCAGATCTGGCTTTGTGGTTACAGGATACGATATCCATCCTGAAGCTATGAGGCGATTACGGGTCCCAGGTGAGCGGACGGTTTCCACCGGGTCTGATCTTGTCCACGAAGCTCAAGTCTTCATTTGCATGGTGGCTACTTCTGCCTTGGCATTACAGCTCTTTTCTGAGCCATGGCAGCGGTGTGGCATCTATCACAGTCGCGCACGATCATCTTTGCTATAACCGCCCGACCGGAATTTGTTAGCGGTTTCTACGACTACATCATAGCCAGCGAAGTGGCCAGCTGGCTTTTTGATAGGTGAATATCCTACATGTTGGATCTATGGTCGGCCCCAGCTTCATTGTTATCTATAGTCACCAAGGATATGGCAAGCCCGAGGCTGTTCCACTGCTGACAGGCTAGTCCATGATATCCGCTTATGGGCGAGCACATGGATGTATCCATTCTATGTCTCTGATGACAGAGCCCACAAGGTAGGCATTGACCGGTCTTTACTGGCAACTGTGGTTCAAGATGCGGCTGGCGCTAGCAAGGCTTTCCAACATCTGATTGAGCGTGTTGGGAACTGTCAGGCTGGTGTGAAATCCATCTTCCAGAGCCAGAGCATGGAAGGTAAAATGGAAAGACTGGTCCGTCTCAACCTCTCCTCTCATGCAGTTTGTCATTGACAGTCCCAGGACGAGGTTATTCGCAAAGTATCTGAACAGGTTGTGGCGTCACCCATGGCTGTAACTGCTACACAGGTGCTATCGTCTGCCAACAAAGGAGATTATGAGTGAGCCCTACTTCCGTGGCTACAGGCTGTAATTAGACAAACACATCGGCTAATCTCTGTCTCGCTATTGAAGGGGTCGAGAACTTAGCCGAAGGTAGGGCCGTGTGGAATCTTCACCTGAATGCGTTGATCTTCCCTAGATAATGTATAAACCTGTTCCATGACATCTCCTCCATACTCATCGTGTTTGGTGAATTGGACGTTTCGAAAATTCCAACATGGGTGTCTATCACATTGGTCTGTGCGAAAATTCTAGCGAACCCTTTCTCTGTGTATACTGAGAATCTTAGTTTTGTTCAAGCTCTTGGACACTTACGATGAAACGTTGTTCGAATATTGGAAACAAGAGGTTTTCAAACTCGTCGAAGTAGTTCCAGATAAGCGCGTGCGTGCCCTCTTTTGAAAGGAAAGATTCACGAGGGAGTGCACTTTGTAGCGCCAATCTGCTTACAATCACCGTGCAGGCTTGAGATACGTCGACATCGGCAGACCTCTACCCGAAACCTCAGATCGGACAAAAGGATATGACGTGTCTCTGGTGGCTGTGCTTGAGGAGGATAAGGATGCATTGATCTATGCTCATCATCCAGCGCATGAAAAATGAGTCACTGAAGACTGATGTGAATCCCCGTGGGAGTATCTCGTCCTTACATGGCGAGGTGACTGATCAAAGCACTCCATAGGATATCCACGAGTGTCGTTCAAAGTTGTTCGCAGATCTTCTCATTTGCGACATGCCGTTTGAGAACCGCGCATTCTGAGTTTATTTCAGATCAATCAAGAGGTTGATTGTACCAGACTGGGCTTCCTTATCGCGCAAGCTCCCTTAGAATGAGAAGCCGAGGGATTTGTTAAATAGATCACGGTCATGTCTGAAATGATTAGTTAGTGCAACGGAACCTGGGCATTTGTATCACAGCTGCTCACATTGGCCTCTCATCAAGTGTGTCCAAGTATTCAAGAAAAGGTGCGTCCGTGGAATCCATGTAGCAATCAAAGGAGGGGAATTCGGAGCCCGAACCCTGCTCCGCGTCGACCATCCGATTTGGATTCGAAACCGCATCGAAGGACGTGAAAGGCTCTCGCGCCTGAGTTGAAATGTCACTCACCTCCGGAAGCATAGGCTCAGCCATGTCCATGGCGAGAGACGAATTAGGCTCTGGTATGGTACGTGGTGGGTCGAGCGACGCTATTACAAGGTTCACGTCCTCTAGCAGCTCCAAAGCTGGTTCGGAAACTACTACGGAATTGTCAGGTCGGTTGTTCAGGCCAGAGACTGGCCCATCCCACGTCAAAAGCTGCAACGCAGGTAATCGGCTGTACGCTGTCTGATCCTGTTGTAGCTTCTGTAGATTGGTGTGCGAAAGTAGCGGATATGTCGGTCCGCAGCCAGACAAAGATGGGGTACACCTGGGGTCTTGTGGTTGCTTCATAATCCGCTTCCAGACGCCGGTGTATATGATGCTCAGGTTCGTAAAGCTTGGTGGTAATTGCAAAATTTCAAGGTCCTCTCTCTGGAGGATAGAGGTCAGTCTTTCGCGAGACAGGCAGCTTAGTAGCTCTTGGTTCCAGTCAATCAAATCATTTCGAGATTTTTCAGTGGTTGTACTCTTGTTGTGCAAGTAATCGTTCAAGATACGCATCAGCTTCACCTGGAGCAGGAGCATACTCAGTGAATGAGTCGGTAGGTCCAATGGGGGCCCGTAGTTAGTTGTCGTAGGTGGGCACCACGGCTGCCATTCTTCTGTACCACTTTCGTCGATGTGGCACCAGTTGGCCACATCACAGAAATGCAACAATGGCTGACTGTGTAGGCAGGCCGATGTGAGCGTGTCAAGAAGGAAGCAGGCGAGCCATGCTTTTGCTAAGGTGTCCTGATTGACAGTGTACCCATACTGACGAGACATCTCCCTCATCATCTGGATAGCCATCCTGACCAGCCGCCAAGAGGCTCTGACCGCTCCAGAGCCGAGACGAGTGAGGGAAATCAGTATTGCGCATTGGACGTGGCCCATTTCAACAGGTAGATCCGAATCGAGTGGCAGCATTGAGTAAGCCTGCGTGCGGAATTCATTGCAGCATTCTTTGGCCTGCCGGCTCTCCTCGGCAGCGTTCAACAGATGACCGCACGTGGCTGACGCATAGGCATACACTCCCCATAAAACGGCACGATCCCCGTGCTTTATTGAAGGCAGCTTTCTCTGAAACGAGAACGATGTCCTGAGAAGGGTATGACGCTCTAGAATCGGTAGCCACGACTGGCCATGGCCCAGGAACAGTAGCAAGAGTTGAAAGGCATAGGCTGGAGGCCAGCGTTCCGGCGGGTGAGAGACTTGTGAAGCATAGCAGGATTCCAAGCTCGACATGTTCACCTCAACGTTGACGTTGGGGCGGACCACATTCGAGCTTGTAGGTTCGCTTTGGTCCCTTTGGTACCTGACGATGACCCAACCTGGTGGGTGATCGGGGCGCAGATTCTGCGACTCGTCTGGGACTCCTCCTGCACCAGCTTCGTCGTTCTCCTCGTCGTTTTCGTCCAGCAAGTCATCGAGACGTCGCAAGATGCTACTCTGCTTCCAGCGATCGAGAACAGCCGCGGCAGCCGTGTTGAGCTCCCCTCGATCGAGGCTCGCCACCAGATCTTGCCTTGACAATCGACCAAGTAAATTGTTTACTGTTGGCTCGGCATGCTCGATTTCTTGAAGCGTCAAACCCCACAACAGCTCGAGGGCGCGAACATAGCCAGAACGGAGACCACGACGCTTAGCCCCAGTCTCGTAGACGCAGTTCTTTCTCTGCTGCCGGCAGGTTGCGCACACAGGTTGCTGACCATTGCAGCGCAATTTGGCGTACCGGCATGGCGCACATGCTCGGGAGACACGCTGTCGCTTGGGCGGTCTCTCATCGTCAAGCTCTGTGGGTGGCATAGTACCACAGAGTGCACAACTCGGACAATGGAAAGTGCTCAAACCCCTATGCGGACAGTCTATCTCGGGGATCCAATTTCTTTCCCGAGGTCAAATTGGCAAGTTGGTGGGTGAGGTTCCCTGTGAGCGGTTATATCCACGGGAAATGTCATTACCGAAACTGAGCTTGGCCAGTCCGTGTGAAAGGCACACGGCCACGCCTCGCCGCGGGCCTATTCCTCGTCTTTCATCTCGGTTCGATGTATGAAGCGAAACTGCGATGAAGCGGAAACTGTCTTTCACAGACAGCATCAACTCACTGGAAGCAGCAAAGGAGTCTTTCTCTGACCCCGACAACTCCACTCCAAAGTCGACATGGACTTGGCCTACACGCCGACGGTATGACCAAGATGCATCGATTGTCTTCATCGGGCCCAGGGCTACTGGAACCTCTAGCCTGGCGGTTATTGCAGCCTCGATCCAGGGATGGAAAGTGATTGACTGTGACCGCCGTTTCGAAGAAGTTACGGGCTCGACGAAACAACAATACCACAGTGCACATGGTGTCGAGTCTTACCGGCGGCGGAAACTTGAAGTGGTTCGAGAAGCATTGGAGTCCAACACCAAGAACTGCGTCTTTGCCTGTGGCACTATTGCTGCACGAGAAAAAACGGACTTCTTCATGAGATATGCGAGACATCACCCTGTTGTGTATGTCATGCGAGAGCAGAAGCTGATCCAGGATTACCTGGGTCTCGCCGATGATGAAGGCTGGAAGAGTGCTCTGGATCATATGCATTCATTCTTTCGACAGCGTAGCAATATCGAGTTCTTCAACCTGGACGAAGGTCAAGAGCCGCTATGGCAAACAACATTGACGCTCTTTCTTGAAAAGAAAAGGTTCCCAGGCTCCGGACAATTGGTGTGCCCTCTGATTCTGCGCAAGACTTGCGCACATGTTTCGCTGTTACTTCAGAACGTGTTCGGGCCCTTATCACCAACCAATTACCAAGGCAGTTCGCAAGTGATTCCGCCCTCTGATATCGAGTGGCGTCGAGGCTCCCATGTCCTTCGCGTTGGTCTGGATGACGTGAAGCGCGGCGTGGATCATATTCACGCACTCGACTCGGACCACGATGCAGTTCAGCTGTGTGTCGCGCCCAGGGACCATGAGTGGCAGTCATTGTTACTACAAGATACACTAGCATGGGCCGTCGCGACTCTTCGCAGGTATCTCGACGTACCAGTCATTGTTGACATCAGCCGTCCAGCTGTTTCGACGAAACCAAGTCCGGGAGCATACCTAAATATGCTGCGCCTAGCCCTTCGATTGGCCCCAGAGTATCTGACAATTGACCTCGGGGCAGAAGACAACAACATCAAGGAGATTACGCAAGCCAAAAGCTTCACTAAGATCATCGGTTGCTACCACCAAGAACACCCGGAGGACGACTTTTGGAACTCTGCAGTCCTGATCCGCGTGTATCATCGAGCACGAGACTTGGGCTGTGACGTGGTCAGCATCTCTTGCCCCTGCCAATCTTTCAACGACAACATCAAATGTCGTCAGGTATCAGAGACGATAGCACGACTCGGGCTGCAAACTCCCATCATTACCTTCAACACTGGAAGCCTCGGCCGTCTCTCGCAGGTACTCAACGACTGTATGACACCTGTCATTGACGAAAATCAAGGCAAAAATGAAAAATTCGGGCTCACTTCCTCTCGTCAGTTGAGGGCAATCTGGCATGGGTTAGTCCCCGATAGCAGACCCATGTACTATGTTTTTGGGGCCGAAGTCAAACAGAGTCTCTCCCCCGCCATGCACAACGCAGGTTTCTCCTTCAGTGGCTTGCCCTACACGCATCAAGCCTGCGAGACTGTGCAGGTAGGTGTAGTGGGGCAGATCTGCTCCCAGGAATCCTTCGGCGGTGCAAGTATCAGTCTTCCATTCAAGTCTGAAGTCCTGGCATTGGCTGCCAGACAAAGCACTGCGGTCAAGCTCATTGGAGCCGCCAACACGCTCATTCCTGACAGAAGCGCCTCTAGACCCCAAAACAGTCATCAGGTCCGGCTAGACAACACTCACGCGAAAATCCAGCTGATGGCCGAGAACACAGACTGGATCGGCATCTACGTCTGCATAGCCAAACATTGTACGCCTGCAAACCACATCACCAAGCACACCTCAGCGCTTGTGATTGGTGCAGGCGGTATAGCTCGTGCTGCGATCTATGCACTGGTGAGGCTTGGAGTGGGCAATATTTTCATCTTGAACAGAACAATCAGCAATGCTTGCAAGGTCAAAGAGCACTTCGAGAGCATAGGCGACGACCTGGAGAGATCGGATCGGCATTCGAGCCCGGCCGTCCCCTCATTCCATGTGTTCCGGTCCCCTACCGAACCCTGGCCTGAAGGTGCCAATTTACCCAGTGTCGTCATTTGTGCAATACCTGTCCGAGCTGATGAGGGAACGACCGAATACCCGTCTGAGCTGCGCGACGATTGGTTTGGTAGTGCTACAGGAGGTTTGATCGCAGACGTGAGTAATACCCCAGACTCAAACTTAACGTCCACAGCCACTAAACCTTTTACAGCTTTCGTGGAAACGTCGCGCAACGACACTCGGGGAACAACTACGAGAAGCAAAGTTCCGAGGATGGGCTAGGATCGACCCCATCGAAATACTCTACGAGCAAGGTTGCGCTCAATTCGAACTTTTCACCAATAAAAAGGCGCCACGGAAAGCGATGTTGGACGCTTTTCTGGAGCAATATAATGCTACCTATACTGTATAGCCATGGATTTTAGATCGGTGTTGGGGATTGGGAAATGAGAAGGAGCTGGGTATGGTGTCAGCACGGAGTCTACTCCTCTTACGACGTGTACTTCGACTGCGACATAAGCAGTCTAAAGCACACTCTCGCGTGCTGCCTCCAGTATGTAAGCATAGATGATATGATAGAAGAGTATTGCAACGTTAAATTGTCTTCCTTCAAGTCATATTAAAGGATAAGTCGTTCAGAACAGTCTGACTGCCTCCCAAGCGGAACAACGAGTCGGATAGCTTTCTCTCCAGGGCACGGATAAATATATTGTGAAGGACTTATAAGTGACCTACGGGGCAGCTGGTCCTTTGGATCCACGGGTAAGATCTCTGGAAGTCCTCGCAAGTGGGGGAAGGCATACAAGGCCATGGTCGAGCTGTTGATGATGGAAATTCCAAGCTGGACAATTTCGACTTTCAATTTCACTGCCCAAACTGACAGCGTTAGCAAAAGCAAAGCCCCTTTTTCAGGACATCAGCCTACGGACACAAAACTTGTTTTGACACCATGGGCGAAGTTACACAAACCGGTACTACTAGAGTGCCGACAAACAGCCTATTTAGCCTTCAAGGCAAGACTGTCATCGTCACGGGTGCAACTGGAGGTATCGGCCTGCCTGTTGCTGTAGCGCTGGCTGAGTCTGGGGCATCGATCGTTTCAATCCAGCTCCCCGGTGATACGAACTCGGAGAAATTGCGGAAGGCCATTGAGCAGGCAACAGGGGGGCAAAACATTAAGCAATTTGAGTGCGACCTCCTCGATTCAACGTCAATAGCGGACTGCTTCGAGCGGATCTGGACGGCAGGAGTCATACCTGACATACTCTTTCACGCTGCGGGCATCACGCATCGATCCATGGTGGCAGAGACCAGCGTCGAAACTCTGAACAAGGCAAGCGAACCGTCCCGGGAGGCTTCATCCTTGGTGATACTAATGGTTTGTGCAAGGTTGTCGACCTCAACATCAAGGCGGCATACCTGGTATGCCAGGCTTTTGGTCGGCAGATGCTTAAATTAGGCAGGAGAGGGAAGATCATCACCATCGCTTCCATGGCCGCCGAGCTAGTACAGACCAATGTCTCGGTCTATTCCTGCAGCAAGTCATTTGTCAAGAGTATGACTCGGGCCATGAGCAACGAGTGGGCCAGTAAAGGTATCCAATGCAACTCGATCAGTCCCGGATGGATCCAGACAGGCATGTGTGAGGATTTGTCTCAAGATCCTGTCTTTTCCGACTACGTCCGTCAACGGACGTCGTCGCAGAGATGGGGACAGCCAGATGATTTGAGAGGCGCGGTGATCTTTCTCGCCAGCTCCGCCAGTGACTTCATTACCGGAGCAGATATTCTGATTGACGGTGGTGTGCTTGGGAGATGAAATGTCAGAATATGAAATTCAAATTTAAGCCTGAGTTACTGGCAACAGAATCGTCGCCGTACGACGGATGGGTCTAGACTAGAAGCTGTTCCACTCTCGGCAACCTATTGGTTCTTTTGGATGTGAGCAGTATAGAAAATCATCCCACCGAGGCCACTTTCTTCTTTGGAAAGTATATGCAGAGGAACGTTCTCCTCAACGCCGGAGACATGACGTATTCTATTTACCATGATCGATGGAGAACAAGTGGTATTCTTCTACGGACTCGAATCAAATCTAGATGATTGCAAGTCAGCCATCCACAGCCTCTCTTAGAGTAGGCATCGAGAGCGCTTACGTATTTCCCTCCGTCGACTCGAAGGATGATTCCTCTGTTTGGATACGTCAGTCACCATACAAGAGAATCCACGGAGTTAGATTCTCACGTCTGAAAGTCGTTGAAGTATTCAGTGGCCAGATACAGCGTTCCCTTGGCGATGTCCAGCGGAGTACAAAGCCTTCCAAGCGGTGGATGAAGGCTTGAAAAGGTTTCCGAGTCGGGCTTGTCGTTGGCAATAAAATCTTTGAACAGAGCCGTGTTGCCGATCGAGGGTGAAATACTGTTGACGCGAATGCCAAGGGGGGAATACTCGGCAGCGAGGTGCCTGGTGACCATGTCGACAGCACCTTTGCTGGCACCGTACCAGGTCAACCCTGTAGTTGGGTTCTCTGTGATACACGAACTAATGTTGATGATGTTTCCCGCCTTCTTCTCCAGGAAATACGGCATTATGGAATTCGTGGCGTGGAATATGCTCCTGACATTGACGTCGAACACCTCTGCACAAGAAGCGGATGAGACGAGAGGACATCCATGCAGGGGAGGAGTGAGTGGTACGTACTGTCGTACTCGGCATCAGACACTTCCAGGGTAGCCTTTCTTCGATATGTCCAACCGGCGTTGTTGACCAAGACGTCGAGTCCTCCAAATGTACTCTTTGCCACCTCCAGCGCCTTGTCCCAATCGCTCCGGCGGGTAACATCCATATGTACAAGTTCTGCGTGATAATCCTGGGCTTTCAAGTCATCCACGACTCTGAACCCCGGTTCCAGTAAGCCTGCGAGCAATGAACGCAAAAACACCAACGTCTGAAATCTCACCGTTGGCCCCCGACTGCATTGATATCCGCGACCAATACTTTGGCGCCTTCTTCGGCGAAAAGCCTCACGATTCCTTCGCCGTAGCCTGGATCATGATGAGCAGTCTGTTCTAGTGGCATTCGGTGGCAAAACATCTACTGACCACTGCCCCCTCCCGTGACAAGTGCCACCTTTCCGTCCAAGAGTTGCTTTGGTGCCATATTGCGGAGTGGTCGTTGTCGAGAGAAGGTAGGTATGAGCTTAATGTCTTGCTAAGTTGCTACCTGCTCGCGCGAGAAGAGAGCAAAGCATATAACTTATAAAGACCGCTCTACATCAGAAGATTGTGCTAAATCGACCTCGGTTGCCGTATTCTTTTACACTGGCAGCAGTGCCCTCCCCAGCGGGAACGCGACCCCATGAGACGGGGTCCTGGAAGTTGCATGGGCCAAGACTGCAAAGAGGACCCACTTCACGCTAGAGGATGAATTCATACCCGACGAGAGAAGTTGACGGGACGAACAACACGAAGCTACCAGGGACATACCTTTCTTCGGTTTGGGTTTACACATCCAGCAAAAGTGAGCAGAAGTGAACAGAGACAGGACAATAATTTGATGCACTCGAGCATTCTAGCCTTGGCTGGCGGCATGTTGGATGCTACTTGTCTAACGATCTAAGCGGCAGCTACTACTTTGGATGACTCTCGTTCGCGCACCAAGTCATTACACATGGTTAGGACAGTATGACTGTCAATGTGCCGGCCCGCCCAAAGTTCCCACTGGCGAGCAAACTGATGTCCGGACACCAGGAAGCCGGGTATCACGGTCCACGATGCCTCCATCGCAGCCTTGATGTTTCGAGTGACGGGTGGATGATAGCACATGTCCAAAAGGATATTCTGTTGCTGCCGGCCACGTTGGAGGAACTGTCCCAGAATGTCACGGCAGGCAACTTCGGTGGGAGAGGTGGGCTCGAAGTCCGGGACGGTGCATATGATGTATCGAGGGCATTGTAATGTCTCGGCCTGTTCGAGACTGGTAACATGCACCAGCCGTGGCCTACTGAAGTGCCTGTAGGCTTCCACGTCTGCCATCAATGCTGCGACTTCATTGTCATCTCGATTGATGATGTAGATGGTTGAGCAGCCAAGGCCTGCTGCGAGTGCGTAAACTGCGCCTCTGCTGGCGCCCCCGGCACCATACACCACGGCTGTATGTTGTCCACTGTTCTCGTTCTTCTCTGTTGCGTTGACTGCGTTTCTGATGCCCAACCAGTCTGTATTTGTACCGTGGAGTTTGCCACTGGGGGTGCGGACCACAACATTACAGGCACCGATGTCCTGGGCAAAGTCGTCCACGGAATCTAGAAGCGGTATGATTGTGCGCTTGTGTGGCATCGTCACTATCCCTCCGGCAAAGTCGTCGCGCCGGAAAAGGGTCATCACATCGTTGACATCGCTTAACCGCAGAAATTCGCAAGTCCAATCAAGCCCCAGAGAGCCGGCGATGTAATTGTGAATTGCTGGACCTATTGAGTCGCCGCCAGGTCCACCAGCGATGTAGACGTTGTGCTTCGAAGAATGCTGAGCCATGTCGCCGTGGTTTTTTTTTGAAGTGATCAATGCTGGCCGATTCGCAAATATCAACCATCTTCCATCAACGGGGTCAAAATACATACCAAGTATCTCCTGAAAGGCGAAGGCTCTCGAAAGACCGGTCAGCAGGGAATAGCTGAAAGTCTATTTGCCGACACGTATATTCGGATAAACTCATAGGTACCTAGTTCGTGGCAAAATAGTGCCTCCAAGTTTCCCAAAACTCATTGACCCGGAGTCGAACCTGGATTCTTCACTCATGTTTTCAATCCCATCCGTCTGGATAGGTCTCATACGAACGTCAAAATGGCTTGTCCCGGGACCGTACTGATCGGAGGAATCTATCTAAAGCTTTCTTTAGACGTCGCAAATGCAATACCGATTGCATTTTACCCGACAAAGCCTCCGCTTCTTTGAGAGTTCAGCCGAAATGGCTCGGCCTCTCCAAGTTCCAGGAGAACACGACGACAAGATACAGATGGCCGCAATCCTGCACTCAGCGGTATAGGACTTTGCCGGGATTTAATGCCCCGTGGGGTCCCCATGCTGGAGGTATCACCAAGAATCCCCCCGGAAATTGCAGGCACAACATGTACCGACGCTTGAAAAATACAATATCATTCCAGAAGTCCGGGTTATATAGTCCGCTGGCCACCTTGACGAAGTTGGTGATGCCCTTTCGCTCGACGGATTATAAATCTCCGCTGCTCGCTCGCTCCTAAATCATTTCTCTGATCTTTTGGCTAAGCGCGTTGGTCCCGTCATATCGAACTGAACATTCCTCTATCATGGGTCGCCAACCTTTCCTTGGGCTCCGTGGGGCAAAGCTCAACACGGTAGTGATGATTGTAGCGGGAATGGAATTCTTGCAAGTCCCATACTATGCCTGTCAGCGGTGCGCTCTAACAATATGTGGACAGACTGTTTGGATACGACCAAGGTGTGATGGGCGGCCTTCTCACTTTACCCTCTTTCACCAACGTGTTCCCCGAGATCTGTACAACGACAGGTTGCACTGCGAACATGACGCCGTCTGAGAAAAACAATCAGTCGACCATTCAAGGTGACTCAACCATCCTTCCCACGAGTACCTTGTCAGTTTGTTGTCTGACGCCAATATATGTCAGGGGTCGCCATCTCCTGCTACACCCTTGGCTGTGCTGTGGGAGCCTTCCTGGCCATGCGATTTGGCCAGATCACGGGCCGCCGCTGGGCCATTTTCATCGGTTGCTCAGTGGTATCCATCGGGGCAGTGCTCCAGTTTTCTGCCTTTGGGCTTCCTCAATTCGTGGTCGGGCGGGTTATCTGCGGCATGGGCACGGGTATCAACACGTATGTGTCTGTGTCCTTCTCTGCTACTGACCACAAACTTTTGGACACTTAAGTTGACTCGATGTGTGTGCACAGCTCTACTGTCCCAGTTTGGCAGGCTGAGACAACCAAGCCTCACCAGCGCGGACCGGTCATCGCGTTCGAGACCTCCATGGTCATCGCGGGCGTCATGGTCAGCTATTGGATCGACTTTGGCCTCTCTTACGCGGAGCCAAGCTCTGCGGCATGGAGAGTTCCGGTCGCGCTTCAACTGGTGTTCGCCTTGATAGTCTTGGGCATGATTCTGGTCATGCCAGAGTCTCCTCGGTGGCTCATTTGCCAGGACCGGCTGGAAGAGGCCGCCGCGGTCGTCAGTGCTCTCTACGATCTGCCCGAGGAGGACCCACTCGTGGCCGACCAGCTACAAGCAATCCGTGCCATACAGCAAGTCGGCAGCAAAGCTGGCATCCTCGAAATGTTCACCCAAGGGCCCCTCAAGAACCGCACCCGCACCATGTTGGGCGTAGGTATCCAGGTCCTCAGTCAGCTCTCCGGCATCAACATCATCACCTACTATGCCGCCACCATCTACGAAAACGAGATTGGACTGACGCCATTCGTGTCGCGGCTATTAGCCGCCGGTAACGGGACGCAGTACTTTGTGGCGTCGCTTTTCTCTGTCCCCATCATCAAACACTGTAACCGACGGCCCGTCATGATGATGGTGGCCTCTGGAATGAGCTTGTCCATGGTTGTCCTCGCCATCCTGAACAGCATCGGTGGCCGGGGACCAGGGATTGGTGCGGCCGCTTTCCTCTTTGTCTTCAACACCTTCTTTGGCATTGGTTATGCGCAGTTGTCCTGGCTGTATCCTGCCGAAGTGACACCGTTGTCCGTCCGGTCGCAGGCAAACGCCCTGTCCACGGCGTCAAACTGGCTGGGCAACTTCATGGTTGTCATGATCACGCCCGTGGCTTTCAATAACATCGGCTGGAGGACGTATATCATCTTTGCCATCTTCAATTTTGCCGCCGTTCCCGTCTTTTACTTGTTCTTCCCTGAAACCCGTGGCCGTTCTCTGGAGGAGGTCGATCTCATTTTCCGCCAATCCAAAAACTTGCGCCACGCCGTCCAACTCGGCTTTACCATGGATAGGCATTTCGATCACAAGGGCAACTTGTTGAAGAGCATGGTCCAAGATGTTCAAGGTGAGGGAAGCCCGGCAAAGGATGATTTCACCGTCACCGAACACCGTGAGGTTTCCCCTAAGACCTGACCATCTCGAGCCGGGTTAAGGTTCTGTGCATGGTAAAGAAAGGGGTGAGAGAGAACGTCGCCAGGGGATTTCGTAGGTAGAAAAGAGACAAAGTGTCACGAGGGAAGTCCGTACATGCAAAAGATTTCCGGGGAAAGGAATGTAGTCAAGGATCAGGCGGTGCTGTACTAGTCCACGGCATTCATGATGTTCACTATTCAGCACCCTTGAATCATAGATCGCTGGTATTAAGAACAATTGCATATCCTGCTAAAACTGCATACTAGGAAGAGTCGGGACAGTCTCTGGACTGATCTTACACATGAAACTGCCCGTGTACGCTCGTATTTGTCTTCGCCTTTGTCGTTGGCATTGTCGTTGGCATTGCCAGTGTCATTGTCGTCGCACGTCGGATATCGAATGTGGTTGATGTGGTTGTCGTCAAATGAAACATTAATCAACTAGTTTTGTTGAGGCAGGTGAGGCGACTATCCTACGTCAGACGAGGCAGGTGTGCCGGCTACACTCTGTACCCGTCCACGTCCTCTACATACCTCAGTCGAACCTTTCATTTGATCGTGAACTCGATTGTCTTCAGAATCTCATTTGCTCGCTCTGTGTGTGTGTGTGTGTGTGTGTGAGAGAGAGAGAGAGAGAGAGAGAAACTGAGATGAGAATCGCAACGGACGACACAGCTACAACTACAACTGTAATAGCACCATCATCACGACTGACGGCAAAGGCAAGGCAAGGCAGGGTAAGGTCAGACTGTTTAAGTTTTGGGAAAGAATGTGCTTTCATTGCACTACTTGATCCATTCAAGGATATTACGATGTCTTTGTTTCTCGATCTCATGAGCCCCTCTCAGACTCCAGGAGTCGCCGATCTACCATTTCATTACAAAGTATTCCGGATGGGACGACGTATATGTCGCTAAAATCCCCATTCTTCCCACCGCCAATTTCGTCCTTCCTTCTGCTGTCTTCGCCACGATGGCGGCATCCCTCGACGAAGAGGACTCTCATACATGCGAGAGACATCACTTATTTCACGCCAGGAGATACCAACTGCCGATACAAAACAATGGACAGACACAAATGATGTTTGAGGAGTGACGTTGGGTCGAATCTTCTGTTCGACGACCGCAGCCATCCTGTCGTAAACCACTTCTCTCTGCAACGACGTCCGCTTAGAACTGCTCTTTCTCTCAATCCGGGAGGGAAGGTCGATAAGAGCCGTCACCGCCGCCGCCGCCGCCAAACTTCTCGAATCGGCCCTTCGGTCATTCCATTTATCCTCGTCGTCGACAAGTATTTCCATGTGCCGCGGCCGGCGTTTTCCTTCCTCCCCAGAGGTTTGACATCTTCCAAGGGACGACCAAAGCTTTCTCTTGGCTGGGGCGCCTTGCACGACGGTTGTCACCGTCGTAGTTAGTGGTTGTGGTCTTGGGGGACTGTGGTTCGGGAGGGAGAAGGCCAGATCGACGGAAGAGAAGACTAGGTTATCCAAGCGGTGACTTCCGTCTTCGTTTAGAAGAATATTTGCAGCTCGCGTGCATGTCGAAGTGATGCCAAAAGAGACGCCTTATTGTAACACACGGATGAAGTTGCAGTGCTGAAATCGACTCCAACTTTCACACGCACATCACCGACCAGACCAGACCAATGCACGGAGGGACATCGTCAAGATCTTGAACCTAAAGGGTTTGGAGACGCTGAGCTGTCTCTTCCAGTGTGCTAACCCAGGTCTCAATGTCGTCGTCGTCCTCTTTCTCACATTTAACACAGACCACTTGACAAAAGCCGACGATGCGAAAGTCTTTCCCCCTCGATTTTATTTTGTTTCGACAGTTTGGGTTTGTGCATTTGATTGGCCCTGTCTTTAATTTTTCCCCTTATTTGCTCTTCCTCGATCCTTTCTGAGCGCCTCCTTGCCGCGGCCAACAAGCCGAATCTTGGTGCCCAGGCCCTTTGTCTTCTCACCTAGGCGGCAGACTTTTTGCTGCCTATGAAAACACAACGTCAGTACATCTCAGAAGCCGCCTGTGACAAAGGAATTCACTCACAACGCTCGCACATTGTGCTTCGGGTACGACTTCTGGAGCTCCAGATAGTCGACCGAGATGGTCGAAGCCGCAGGATCATTCGCTGTTGAGGCGATTACCCGCCTCAACAGGTCCAAATCTGCGGCATTCAGGGGTCCAGGAGTGGGGCTTGGTGCCCTTTCCCTTTCCCTTACCCTTCCCACCCTTCTTCTCGTTGTGGTTGCTGTTCTTTTTCTTCTCCGCACCCATCGTGTCGTTGACTGGCTCGTTGCAGGTGGAGATTGACGTCTGATTGTTGGTGAAATCAGAGGAATGTTGTCGTTCCCTCAAGACTCCTCTGTCGACATCCCTCCCAACAAAGGTCGTTTTTATATATATATCCCATCTCCTGGGATATCGATGAATATCACATCGCGCTGTCATTGCGTGTGTGGATATCAGAGGCCCCTATGAAAGGAGCCAAGATATCATTTCTGAATGAATTTGAAACGAACGTTCTGAAATCGAGACGGAGGAGGTGATAGGGAACTGGTAAAGCAGACCGGAGAACGTCGCTCCGTGCGAGAGGGGGTACTGTTCCTGCCCGCTGTCTTCCTCTTCTCCTTCTTCTTCTTCTTCTTCTTCTTCTTCTCCCTCCTCCCTAGCGTCAGGATGTGATGTGGAACTGGTAAAGCAGACCGGAGAACATAGGTCCTTCGTGGGAGAGTTTGAATGTGACCGAAGGACATTGTCTAACGCTGGAGGGTCGATGACGCCGTCGAGGTCGAAAACCTCCCTCAACTCCCGCATGACGGCGGGCCTCCTCTTCCGTGGCCAAGCCTCTCCAGAGGACTGATGCTCCTTCCCCAGATGCATATTCTTTGCTGAGTCTGAGGAACTCGGTGACCCCCACCACGTTGGGCAAAGTTCTCTGCATAGGTGTTTGCCGCAAGGTGGAATCGGTCTAACGCCAGAGAGTCGACTACTGCGTCGAGGTCGAAAACCTCCTCCCTCAACTTCCGCATTACAGCGAGCCTCCTCTTCGTATTGATACTCCTTCCTCAGACGCATATTCTTTGCTGAGTCTGAGAAACTCGGTGACCCCTACCACACTGAGCAAAGTTTTCTGCATCGCTGTTTGTCGCAAAATGGAATCCTGGATCAGGCCCCAGTCGCAGCCCCAAAGGATTTGATGGCAATGACAACGGCAAGTTGCAAGTCAAGACTCAAGCCAACAGTGTGACGTGTTGTCCTGGAGGACCGCAGCTGGCAGCCCAAGACGAGTCAGCTGGTTCGTCCCTGGGGGTCGCACCAGGGAAAAGGGCGTGCGGAAGAGAAGATTAGGGACGATGAGGAGGAGGAGGTGGTGGTGGTGGGGAGAAGGTTCCACACTGGGAACCTGAATGAAGGCAGCCGTTGTGCCACCGGTCCCTATCCAATGGGTGATTTTCAGAGGAACCACAGGAACACGGTCGGTGACAGTGTAGTTTCTCCACCCAGATACGTCTTCCAGGCATGATCGTTCCTAGGTATGTTCGTAGCGAACAACCCAGACCAGTTCGTTCATGGTGACGTGTTTGCTCTGAGCCCTTGAGCTGTTCTGTCGCCGGATGAAGAGCTCTCAATTCGCGGCCTCCATGTCTTCAACACAATCTTCCTGGGGCGACGATGATTTTCGTCTATCGCAACAACAACAAGTTCTGTTCCTCGAAAGCCTAAGTTCCGATAGGTGCGGGCGAGTCTTCGAGTCGCGATTGTCCAGACACAGGAAAATGACGCCGTATGGTAGCATACGGAGTCACTGTTTGGCATTGGATCTGGTTGTTGTTGACTCGGTCATAGGGACGCGTCGATCAAAAAGAGAGTTCGTCCTCTGTGACGCGCTCTCGGCCGCCAAACCAGTGGTGGCGGCGGCGGCGGCGGCGGCGGCGGTGGCGGCAGAGAGGCCAGAGATGGAATCATCGTTGTCAACATGGTCCTCTCGCCGTCGTTGACGTTGTTGTTGGTGACTCGGTCTTTTTGACGCGTTGATCAGATAAAGAGTTTGTTCTCTGTGACGCGCTTCTCGGCCTCCCAAGCCAGTGGCTTTGGAGGCGGTGCGAGAGGCGGAGATGGTGGCGGTGGCAGACGAGACGCAAGAGAGGAATCGTCGTCATCATCATCATGATCCTCCTCTGGTCTTGTTGTCGTCGTCGTTGTTGTCGTTGTCGAGGGAAGAACTTTTTCATTCGATGAGGCTTGAGAACTCAAGAAGAACTCTTGTTCTGATTTGTCTGAATAGTTGCCTCTGTGCCGAATCCTGCGTACCAAGATTGAAATCATATATATAAATACATTCGTTGTCATGAATGTATTTGTGGAGGTTTGCTTTTTGGGTTTGAAGTGTGTGGTGCAGTGTGGTGTGTGGCTGCACCACGAGGAGGTTTCAAGGTTCGAGGTCGAGGTACAGAGGGTTTTGATGTTGTGATGTTCTTTGTTGGATGCAGTGTTCTTTTGTTGGTTGCAATGTTCTTTTGTTGGTTGCAATGTTCCATGTTGGAGTGGTGTTGTTTCTTTGTGGATGCGCCGAGCATTGTCATGCACACTGCGCTCTTCCCTCTCCTCTCCATCGGTGCTGCCAATGAGTTGCAACGCGCAAGATCGAGCGAGGAGAGGAGCGAGACTCATTTCACAGATGGAGAGGAGAGAGAAGAAAGAAGACAGAGAGAGAGGAAAGGTAGGTTGTTGTGCTGCTGTTGTCGTCTGCAGATGTGTTCCGCTGGTGTTCAGGGGTGTTGCAGCCTTGTGTTGTTCTGTGCTGTGCTGTGCTGTGCTGTGCTGTGCTGTGCTGTGCTGTGCTGTGCTGTGCTTGTTCTGTGAGAAGACAAGAGGAATGTCGCAGAGAGAAAGAGAGAGAGAGATGCAGAGGGCGCGAGGGGGGGTTATTTATAAGAAACTGTTGGTCGCGATTCACGGTATGAATCACTCTCGTAACTGCTCGCGACACCGTATTTACTGATGTACTGCTACTTTCGTGCAGTATGCAATACTGAATCGCTCGGGAACAACTGCCTGTTGTTAAGAGAAGCACGGCAAATGACTCACCCTGAGGTTTAGTACAGTATACACCGTGAAGTGTAGAGAGAGAGAGAGAGAGAGAGAGAGAGAGTAACGTAGTATAACTTGTCACTGCTGATACTATGAACAGCAAATAATGAAGATGTCGCGAACGGTACACACCAAGTATCGTGAATATCGCGTTGACTTGTACTGTGTGACTATCGTACTGTCGCGATTGTTGTAAACACTGCGAACCCGGTGAACGTCCGTCAGTCACTGAATGCGTGTGATGATGCGAGGTATTGGGGAGTCATCAACATACATACCTGATCCACAGACTGGTACAGTATGAATATTACTTTCTCAATACCTGATACGTCGACTCACCCAGTCACATACCGAGTCTCTGGGTACCCACACAGCCCGATGCACGTGGAAGCCTCCGCGACACAGTGACACAGGCGAGACAGTGAGATACAGTACTGTAGATAGGTATCGGAGGTTGTTGGCATTCGTACAGTCAATCATTCATTCATCCATCCATCCATCCAGTCGGTCGGTCGTTCGTGATGTGGATACCATCTTGAATCATATTGCGACCTATAGTCAGACACTCAGACCCACTGGTGCACAAGGACTCAGTCAGGCTAGCTAGAATCTAAGAACATCCAAACGGACAACAGCAGACAAGGATACCTACCCAGGTAGATTAGAGAAACTTGATTCGATGTCTGATGTATTATGTACGTGTGTAGAATGATGATCTCGATCTCGATCTCGACCAGGACCAGAGGGCAGCGTAGGGTATCTTGATAATGCATTCCATACCCCAGTACCACAAACCTGCCTTCGTACAGGGACATACCTGAGGTATCTCTCCTGCGCCTTGTTAGCTCGGCCTTTGCTTTGCTGTGTCTTGTCCCTCGCCGTGTCCAAATGCAAAGACCAGCTCGTACTCCGTCCTCTGACTCGACACAGACCAGCAAGCCAGCAAGCTCAAGCAGCTCTCAATTTGACACCATTCAATCGTTCTTCTTCCGATCTCCTTCCCCCCTCTTCACTCGCGGCAGAAGAAGCAGCTTGGGTCTTCCGTACACGCCACTGCCACTCCCACAACACAGGCAAAAAGCTCCACAGATCAAAGTCGGGCCACAAGACGTCCAGAAACACAATCTGCGTGTCTTGCGTGCACTGCCACAACATGAAATCACTCAATCTTCCTACACCACTCGTACGGACGAGCAAGTCTATAGGCGGATCGTTGGCCGTGTACATGTGTGAGTTCAGTGTTTCCGCCGTAATCAGTTCAGGGGAAGGGTATGTCTCGGTCTGACTCTGACCTTGACCCTGATCCTCACTAGACAGCGGCGAATGTACTGGTTTCGTGTCGGGGGAAAGCGGAGTAGACTCAAATCGCGGTGAGCTCGTCGTCGTCTTTGCAGTGTTGTTGTCGTCGTGTTGCAACGTTGTGGAAGTAGATACAGACGAAGTGTCTTGTTCGTGTTCGTGATCCTGGTCGGAATGCGAGTACGACGATAATGAAGTCGTGCTGGAACTGGTCGACGGTGATTGCGATTGCGAGCGCAGCCCACGCAAGTCAGGAGGTTGGAGATATGAAGACGAGAGCGTGTTGTCTTTTTGTTCATGACTCTGGTGCTGTCGTTGCTGCTGAGTTCGTATCGTACTCGCTATCCTCTCTTCTCTAAATGGACTTCTCTGCACGTCCGCCGGCGGCAGAGGTCTCGAGTACTCTTCCACGGTATCCCGGATCGCCGACGTGATTTCCTCCCTGCTCGTATATGGAAAGCAAATGTTCAGCACGCATCCGCTGTTGTGCGATGTCATCTGTATCGCTCGGTCCACGGCCTCGAGGACGTCCGGCTTGATGAGCTCTCTCTGTCCCAGCACGCGGATCCGAGCACCGTACCGATCGAGCAGTTCGCCGTGCTGCACGAGCTGTTTCAGTTTGATCTTGGCCATGTCCATGAGGGCGTCAACCTCGTATTTGGTGCGCTTAAAGTTCTCGATGCTGAAGGCGTAGATGGTGACGTGCGTCACCCCGGCTTTGTAGCATACTTCCAGGATCCTCGCCAGCGCTTCGAACCCCAGGTTGTGCCCTTCGACGGTTTCTATTCTGTGGGTTTTGGCGTACCGCCTGTTCCCGTCCATGACAAAGGCCACATGTTTCGGCATCGGGCCTTGACGCAGCGCGCCTATGAGGAGTTCTCGGAGTTGGTTCAGGGCCCATTCTGCCGGAGGCGAAGACAGGAGCCACCGGCGAAGGTGAGACATGTGTCTGGAGGTCATTGTGTCGATGTTGCGCAGAAGGTACTTTCAGGTGGAAGCACGGCGGACTGCAGAGCGTGGAGGGGAGACGTCCAGGACCAGCACTCGCTCACCAGGCGGTATCCGTGCTCGTACTCGGGAGGAAGGAAAACAGTAGCATAGATAGAATAGAAAGTCGACACAGGAAAGGAACAAGAGCGCAAGGCAGGCAACAGTCTATATATCTGTCTACAAGGACACAATACTTGGCCTTGGTGTAGAAAGTACACGTACGTAACTATCAGAACAAGCTGCGCCAGCTTTTTCCGACTTTCGCTTCTTGGACTCTGAATCGGGTGATGATTGACTTCAAGCCACCACCATCTCGACAGACTCTATTTTAGTACCATCCAAAGTACAACACACAAGGACATCCACAGCACAGCGAGATCCCATGATACAATCTAGATCCCACCGAAACAGTCGTCCATGCAATATATGTTCATGCACGACAGCACAGCCAAAACATGCCATTTGCTCAAGAAGAGAGTCATTTTATAACCTCGCTAAAGTCTGCACAAAGAGAAAGACCATCCTATATTTCCCATCCAATTTCATCGGTCGGATACTCGTGCACTCTCCTGTTCGCCCCCCCGACCACCTTGTGGAAGTAGAACGTCAGGAAGCTTAATCCCAACGCCACCTTTAGGACCGACTTCTTTCTCCTTCTTGGGCTGAGGGCTGCCTCGACCACCGCTGTTGTTGTCATTCTTCTCCTCCTCTTCCTGTAATTGAACTTCCAGTCGCTTCAACTTCTCTCCCCGCAGAATCTTCAAGATTTCTTCCTTATCCAGTGTCTCAAACTCAAGAAGAGCATCCTTCAAAGCTTCCAATTCCTTTCTCTTTTCCTTGACAATCTTGTCTGCTCTCTGTCGTCCACCTTCCACAATTTCACGGACTTCCCGCTCGATTTCTTGCTTGGTCTCGCTCGACAGGTTGTTGTAATCTGAATGCAGATCGACATTGCCGAGCTTCGGTGAGTATCCAAACTGGGTGACAAGGTGATAGGCAACACGGGTCGCTTGTTGGACATCTGACGCAATACCACTCGATACCTTGTTCGGACCATACACCAACTCCTCTGCTGCTCGTCCACCCATCGATACATCAATGTCGCTGAGGTATTGGTCGTAGGCATAGCTCACAGCATCCATTTCAGGGAGCTGATGGGTCACGCCGAGAGCATGACCACGCGGGACGATGGTCATCTTGTACAGTTCCTTGCTTCCAGGGGTGAAAAGGGCGACCAGGGCATGACCGGCTTCGTGATATGCAGTCATCACCTTGTCCTTTTCTCGGATATGTCTGGACTTGTTCTCGGCACCGAGCAAGATCTTGTCTCTAGCCCACTCAAAGTTCTGAGCATTGACCTTCTTGTACTTCATTCGAGATGCATGCACAGCGGCCTGATTACACAGATTCTCGAGTTCGGCACCAGACATTCCACTAGTTGCGCGACCGAGGCTGGTGGCGTCAACATCTGCGGCAATGGGCATGTTCCTCATGTGGTGCTTCAAGATCTCAATACGGCCTCTAACGTCTGGCAGAGGAACCGTAACGTGGCGATCAAAACGCCCAGGTCGAGTAAGTGCTTTGTCGAGGGATTCCGGATAATTTGTGGCGGCGATGAGGATGACTCCGGTGCTAGGACTGAAGCCATCCAATTCGGTAAGCAGTTGGTTGAGTGTCTGTTTGGCGTATGCCGGATCACGGGCATTTCGCTTTCCTCCGACAGCATCGAGTTCGTCAATGAAGATGATGGCTGGGGCTTTGTTCCGCGCTTGGGCGAAGAGGTCTCGAACACGTTTCGCACCAACACCAACGTACAGTTCATCGAACTCGGATCCAGACATGTAGAACACAGGGACTCCGGCTTCACCGGCAACTGCACGAGCAAGCATGGTTTTGCCGGTACCAGGAGGACCAACCAGAAGTACACCTTTGGGCAGTTTACCACCTAGTCGGTTGAACTTGTCGGGGTTCTTCAAGAACTCCACCAGTTCCTGTAGTTCTTCCTTTGCCTCGTCGCACCCGTGAACGTCGTTGAAACGAACTGTCTGATGTTGAGGCTGGACTTCATTATTCTGTCCGACGCGGGTTCGGAAACTGCCAGTAAATTCGACGACCATGGTGAGAATAACCAACAGGAAATATGCAGCAAGACCAACCCAAAGGAACGTTCGGACCCATTTGAGAATTGTCGCGCCCCACGATTCTTCCACTACCACGTAAAGAGGTGCCTCTTTCGCGCCGGTGCCGGACTTGTTACCGGGCATGATCATTTGTCCACCATAGTTCTGTCCAGCAACTGCATGACCAACGGCTTGCAATTTCTCCGGGCTGAGTCCGCCACCTTGCGCCATTGCCCCAGTTGGAACATTGGCTCCAGGAGCAGGCACAGAGCCAGTCATCTGCAAAGCCTTGAGATACGAAGCATCTGCCGCAGGACTTGAAGCATAGCGACCGGACTGATATCTTTCAATGACAATCTTTGGCATATTTGCCCGCAGCAAAGCCGAGTAGAAAGCAGTCTGCGCCGAGGCACTAGTGGGGTTATTGTTGGCAGTCCGCTCAGCATGAGCGAGCATGTTCTGGTTGGCGGGTTGGAACGACATAGAGAACTGTCTAGCTGGGCTTCCAAAACTCGGACTTCCCCTGCGCGGAGAACCAAACAACAGGGATGTCAGGCTCGAATTGTTGCGGGTTGTATGCATCGATCGCGTGCGGGTCGCTGGAGTCGATACTCGTGGCGCACTTGTCGAGAGTGACCTCCGAAGGACTGACAGAGGAGTTTGATATGGCATTATGGCTAAACGAAGGCTGGGTGACATTGAAGGGAGTGCTCGTCGAGGATCGACATGAAGCGGTATCGCTCGCAAGCTGCTTGTCGGCACAGCCGCCATGAAATCGGGAATGAGTTGTTTCGTAGACGAATGTATCTCTCGTGCGACCGGAACGTTTCCTTCTGCTCGTCGGCTCGTAAGCCGATGGCGGCGAATAGCGGCCAAGGGAGAAGTAGTGAGTGAAGGGAGGATGTCTGGGCCGAACGCGGACAGGCTCTGAAAGATCCGAATAGTCAGCATTGGACGGTAGGCAGCCAGCAAAGTGACACTCACGGGAAGTTGAGACAGCGGAGCCTGTAGGGCCATTTGAAGGTAAGAGAAGCGGCGGGAGCCGCAAAAACAGTTGAAGGCAATCACTGAAGCAAAAATGAGAGAATGGCCGCGATACAAGAAATACAAGATGAAATAAATGGCCTCGCGGTTGTTGCCACGCTGCGAGGTGGTAGGATGTTGTCGGGATGAGCGAGCGCAGGCGGAAGGTCGACGACGAGTAGATGATGCGATTCCATCCTGTTCGTTGGTCCCGCTTCCGCACATTGACTGTCGCCACGCGCCGGGATCACGGGATGAGCACGTGATGCCGGGCCGGGACCATCGGGCTTAGTCAGCGGCGTTTCTGAGGTCTTGCAGCAGTACTGTAGGGGTACTGCGAGTACTCGTAGATTGGGAACACCTCCTACAATACACGCCAGACAGCAAGATCAAAAGACATCCCATGAATTACCATTTCAATATGCAATGCTGTTGGACGTAAGAGGTAGGCACTCTTCTTATGCTACTTTACCCACGCGGCGCTCATGCACAAATCCTTGCCCAGTCTCAATGCTATTCTTTATATGGATACAAATTCAATATGCTGTCATGAACATTCGTAAACATGATCCCTTTGACGAGCCATACCTCCTCTTCCAATCCTTCAAGGTCCGACGAAGAACTTAGAGGCCTCAATAACATCAGCATCTCCATTTGCGAAATCCCAACCGACGATGCGACTGTCTTGTGAGCAACAGACAATGCGTCGAGCGTCGAACTGGAGTTTGAATACTCGGGACACAGAAGACGGTTGGTGTTCTTGGTGCTGCCCTTGAGCCACAGGTGGTGCGGCCGCGGGTTGTTGCTGTTGAGCAGGAGTTGGTGTTTGCTGGACGGTATGTGGGAGTGGTGCTGTTGGTGCCGGAGTGTGTTGGTTCTGGTTGGTGCTGGTCACGCTTCGACTTGCTTGACTCTGCGATCCCGTAGTCTGTCCATGTGAGGATGATCTATTTTGTACTGCTTGGTTCAACGCTTGCTGAACAGCTTGCGACACCGCAGCTTGGGTGTGGGCAACGGCAGCGTTGGCGATACTCTGTGGCGTTCCACTAATACTTGCACTGGCAGCAAAGTTGGAATTGAGGTTTACCCCGTTCCTCGGGCCGTTAATAGGGGGGTTCAATAACCTCCCTACGCCCATGACATTCGACAGCCCGGCACCAAGACTGGCAAAAGATGTTCCAACAGCCTGTTGTACAATCTGCGAGGCCGACATGACTCCGGGATGAGCAGACCCTCCCGGTCCGACGGTGCCCAAAGATGGCTGCAGTACGGCGGCTGTAGCCTGAACAGGACCATTTGTGGGTTGGACAGCTGTAGCCGCGGCATTTTCCGTGACGACAGGCCGAGGACGTGTGCGCGTTCTCGTACTGCTCGGTGAGGTATGGGTAAATGGATGTTGGAATAGCTGTTTGCCAATCACCCAGTGACCTTCGGCGTTCTTTCTCCAGATGATAATGGTCTGATCATAGCTACCGGACACGATCCGTCCCCACTTACTACCGCCTCCTCCAGGTGGCAGTTTAGATCCAAGGGCGAGACGAGAGCTGCCGTGCTCACCCTGCCGAACTTCTCGAAGAAATCTTCGGTCATTGACGGCCTTGCCATTGGCCAATTCCGCAAAATACTGTCGCTCGGCCTCTCTGGCTTGGACATTATCGTCGTCATCGCTTCCAGGCAGGTCCCCAAATCCAGCTTGAATGGTGCGCACCAAGTTATGGTGGCCCTTCAACTCTGCAACCTCGGCGCCCGTAATAGGATCGTATATGCGGACGGTGTTGTCACTACTACCGCTCACGATACGCTTGCTGTCGAATTGGACGCATGCGATGCCCTTTTGATGCCCTTGCAATGTACGCAAGACCTTGCCATTCTTGGCGTTCCACACCTTGATCAGTCTATCACCAGATGCAGAAACAATCAGGTCTCCATTGATCTGAATGGCATTGACCGCAGCATTGTGACCTTCCAGGGTCAACAGAAGCATATATGGTTTCAAAGCCCGGATTGTGCCGTTGGCCATCCTTGCCTCCAAAAGCGAGGGCTCCATGTCGGCCGTGTTGACAATGTAGGAAGGTACGCGCGCAGTACTTGTTCGCTCCACTTTAGGGTAGTCCTCGTCTGTAGCGGTGAGGGCCTGTCGATTCCATATCTTGATCCGTCGATCTTTGGAACATGTCACGAGGTATCGCTTGTCGAATCTGAGATTAAGAACAGATTCCTCATGGGCGGACGGGATCTCATGAATCTTTTGCCCGGTGGAGAAGCGCCATATCACCACACTTGCATCACTGCTACCGGAGATGATCACGTCCTGGTCTTCTGTAGGGTCGAATTGAAGACAAAGGACAGACTGGGAGTGACCAACTAAAGGTTTTCCACGGAGGCGCCTGGTCTCGAGATCCCATATACGTAACGTTTTGTCCCGACTGCCGCTAACCAGCCATTTACCAAAGAACTGGATGGTATAGACACATTCAGTGTGGGCTTCGTTCGGGTAGTCAGGATGGGGGAGCTCAAACGTTGTGTATAGACCTCTAGTCCAATTGTGTTCCAGCTTTTGGCGTTGCATGTACAAATGCAGCCAATTCAATCTGTCCCCTCCACTGGAGTCATTTACAGTCAGGCTCGACTTGGCAGGAGGTTCCATAGCTGTGTTCTCTTCATTCTTGATGTTTGTTGGTTCCGGGTTGTAATCCATCTCATTGTCTGACTCAGAACTCGATCTCTTGTTGGGTCGTTGAGGAGAGTGTTGGGTGCTATTCGGAGCATCTTGCATCTCTTGGTCATCGGGATCAGCCTCAACCACTCCGTGCTGTTCGCGCCAGGAAGATACATCCGCAGATACCTTGCGTGGCCTTGAATCCAGCCAATCCGAGGTGGCGCGCTTCTTAAGCGAGGGTTGTCCATAATTCTGCGCGCGAGATCTCTTGAATTCTTGTCGGATGAGCGAGTTGTGCGCATGTTCGAAAGCGCTGACTTCTTCCTTGTCGTATCTCCATCCTTGACTCTTGTACAGCTCGAGCCAGAGCATAGGGTCCATGATGCGGGCTCTCCAAGTCCGCGAGGCGAGGGAGGCGGTCAACAGGGTGTTGGCATCGAGATATGAGAATATCAAGCCAGTGATTTCTGCAGGAAGCTTTTCTACGGGATCCATATGCAGCAGTGGCGTCAAACGATCCACGACCGCGGCAATATTCGACGTCCGAAGAGTGCGCAACACTTCGTAGGCGATCTCTGCTCGAGACTCTTCATTCTGAGCCATGACCCACTCTTGAAACCGAGCAGCCATGGCGGCAGACATGTTCCGGCCGTTCTCATCTTGGCTCATTGTGTCTTCGGAAAAGCCTTCGTCCAAGCGGAAGGGCGTAGTCGTGGAGCTGGAGGGATAGTCTGACCGTAACGAATCCATGTCTGCACTGTTGTAGGGATCCATCGCCAAAGGAGCCGAGGTCGGGGCTTGGGGATGACTGGAGAGCGTCGAGAGGTCAAGGGAGGCGACGTCGACAAGACCGCAGGGAGGATACGTATGGTATTAAAGACCAAAGAGGCTGTAAATGGCGTTGTTCAGCCTGAGGAGGAGGACTAGGCCGTAGGTGTCGGTGTTGCCTTGCGTGCGGCAAAACAACAACAATAACAAACGAAGTCAGGATGTGTCATAAGAACGGCATGATAGTCGACCAAAAATCGTGGAAATGGACAAGAAAGTGTCAACTGCTCGTGCAACAGATCATGAAGGGGGAACACGAGGTCTAATGAGGCCGAAAGTGTATATGGACGGATGATGATGTTCGAGGCGCATGCAACTTTTTGTGTTGGAGACGATGCAGTTTGCCTTGTTTTGATTAATCCGGCTAGTCAGGCCAACCACGTCAAAGCGATTTTCCTCACGATGACACAATTCTTCACATCTTCGTCTTCATCTTCTTCGTCAAATCCTTGTCTCTATTACTCGAGCCTCGGTACCTAGGAATTATGTGTACAGGTGTTACAAAGACGCGGAAAGTCACACATGAGCATATATATTCGTCTGACCTGAGTACGGATCCAGATCAGTGTCGCCTCTCCTCCACGGGGTAATCCAGAAATTACCAGTGGGCCTTAATCTCGATGGTTTCGTGGACAATCTCAGTGTTTGGCTTTGAATACACCGCCTGCAGCCCACGGCGAATGTACTCTCCCGACGTCATGGGCTGGAATTTGGCGGGATTCTCTGGAGTCACGTATTTATCGAGCGCCTTGATTACTGCTTCTTGGTTTGCTAAGGTAACGGAGTCAGTGACAGGTCCAAACAATCACTTGTAGGACAAAGGGTGCTGTCTTACCGCCCAGGAAAAACGGCACCGAGTAACGGGTGCGTCGTGAGGTGTTCAGCACTCGATGCATTGTCGATACGAACAGCCCGTTGGTCAGCATCGCCATGGTGTCCCCGATGTTTACTACGAAGGTCCCAGGGATCGGTGTGGCCTGGATCCACTGGCCAGTGTTTGACAATACTTCGAGGGAGGGGATGTGGTCCTGCAACAGGAGCGTGAGGATCTCGTAGTCTGTGTGAGGCCGAATTGCGGAAGGCTCCTCTGACCCATCAATCGTGCCGGGATAATGTGCCAGCTTCAGGATCGAATACGGCCGAGTCGCAAGATAGTCGAATGCATGTTCGTCTAGATCCAGACCCAAGGCAAACATTCTCATTAAGCGTCTGGCCAGTTGCAACACTTCCGACATGAACAACTTCACGTTGCGTTGATGGCCTGGCAGACGCTCTTCGGGAGGCCACCAGTTGTCGCCATTGTTGGTATCGTCCGCGGCTTCAGGATCTGTGGATGGCTCGTAGCCATAGTTGATGCTCTCATTCAGTTCTTTCAGAGTCAACTGACGTTCCGGATGACAGGAAACTTCACTCACTCGCTCCTGAAGGCTGATCTGGGTTGAGCTTGATGGGATAATAGCCGTAGTAATGGTCATGTTTCTCTGTATCGAGTTCCATCTTCTCCTCGAGAGTCAATTCGTGGCAGAAGCGTTTGGCCTCATCAAAGATAGATTCAATCAATGCATCGGGAACCCCATGGTTCCGTATGTAGAAGAAACCGGTTCTCTCAGCAGCAGCACAGATCTTCTTTGCAACGGCCCTGCGGCACTCCAGGTCAGGGTGAACAGTGTCCCCTATGTCAATCACGGGAAGTTCTGTTGTTGCCTCGGTACTCTTAGGAGACAAAACCCTACGCCATCCCAGTCCCGTTCTGATCTCCTGGTATCCATCGGGCGTAGTGCGCACAATGTCAGTCATGTTGTCACTGTTACTCACTGTGGTGGCCACCGTAGTGGCGGGAGTCGTGAGGAGGATTCCCTATATTATTCATGAGGCCCAAAGCAGCTGCTCGGTAAAGTCCGTAGACAACTGTTGAATGACAACAAGAGGTGCTCAACTCCGGTACTTGGCATTCGAGCCAGAAACCCAGAACTTCTCCAGGATGGCCTGGAGCAGGGCTAAGGATACAAGTACCGAGTACGAATGTCGTAGGTGGTGGTTGTGGTGCACTGGTGATCCATGGTTTGTGAATTGCCAGGGGCAGCCTCGTGTGTGGACTCCCTGACCCCCCGTCATGCAGCCTCGTGCCCCGCATTAAACACGCCCTTCCGGACAATACATGTGTACGGAGTACGTCTATCGTACTCCCTTTTAAAACGCACCTGGGCCAGTCGCATTCTCGTTCAATAGAGAAAAACAGGCTTCAACTATGGCATCTAATAACACCCCCGACAATCCGGATCAGGTCCAGGTCCAGATAAGGTGCCATTGCCAATTGATCTCATTTTCCTTGAACATACCAACCGCCTCGATCCCTCTCAAGGCCGCAGTGTGTCATTGTGACTCGTGCCGACATGCAACTGGGCTTCTGTTCGCAACATTCGCCGTGATGCCATTGCCTCTACCGGAGATCTTGGACAGTGGCAATCTCACAAGGTATGACTCGTCGTCGACTTGTCAGAGGTGGTTCTGCAGGCAATGCGGTGCTAGCACCATCAATATCGACAAGGGAGACGGGGCCGACGAGTGGGAAGTCGCCACCGGCTTGCTGCACTTCGTTGACGGGAGAGGCTTGGATGGCAGACTGAAGCGAGTACAACTTTGGGTGGACGACGTGAAAGGGGATGGGGGAGCTGTGCCATGGATCAACCAAGGCCGACTGCTCGGTATGGACAGGCATTGGAAAGGGAGGAAAAGCGGGCTTGTCGAGGATCAAGCTGTTCAGGACATGGTGATATCGGAGGGCCAAAACCTGCCTGTAGGATCTTTACCCAGTCAAGCCCTCGCTGCACATTGCCACTGCCAAATGTGGTGCTTTCGATCTTAAGACCAGACGACGAGTCATCGAAATCAAACCACGGAAAATTCGAAGCTGGCCTGGACGCTTGCACCTCATGCAGGCTCGTCTCCGGCTTCGAAGTCACCAGTTGGCTCACCGTACCGAGACATCTCATCAAAAGCGGGAGTACTGGGCTGAACGACTTGCTTTCAAACACGTCCAAACTTCATCACTACAAGACGTCTCCAGATGTAGGTCGATATTTCTGTGCGAAATGTGGTGCCACGGTCTTCTACTACAAGCAAGGTCTGGACACGATCGACATCGGAACAGGGCTTTTGGAACCACTAAACGAGAGAATGGTGCGTGTTGAGAACTGGCTGGCGTGGCAGAAATATCCAACGGGCGTTGCATACCAGGAAGACGCTGTTGACAAAGACTTTATCGCCAATCTCGCAGAAGGCATGCACTCGAGAGACAGCCAGCAGTGAGACGATCAATATCCCAAGTGGTGGCGGTGGCGATGGACAGGGATGTACTCGTATCGGCACAGTTAGTTCCTGGCTCAGTGAATGATAGCTTACAGAAAACAACGAAGGGATGTCGACGGCTCGATTGCCAGTAGTCAGTCAGTCAGTCAGTCCTTCAGATCTTCGGCGGAATGAGGCATGAGAAGGAGCGGAAAACGTGGGGGCAGATAGGAGCACGTGACTCCGTGACTAGCGCCGGACGCCAGTTTCTACGCATCTCTCCACATCCGTCACCGGAGACGCCACTTGGGCTCACACAAAAAGTCACTTTGCTGCACGGCGTTCGGCCTCGAGTATTGTCCGCAAAGTGTGTACGAAGAACGGAGATAAGATACTCGTGAATCGCAGACACAAAGCGAGGTACCTGTCCAGTTAGGCAGACAAGAAGACTGTATGCGTATGAAGCAGGGGCGTTGCTTCTCTGACAGGCGTGGGTGGAAGGGCTACAATATAGGTCGTGCAAAGAAATTGGTACTGCCAGAAACTTTTTCGTAGTCAGGGTCCAAGCACTTTGATGGCTCTGGGGTGAATGTTCTCGGAGGCCGCAAGTCTGGCTGCGCTTTTCCTTGTATGGAATAGCAATAATGATGTGAGCTACAATTTAAACAGCCCAGCCCACGATCTCGCGTGTGTCGGTGTAGCGCAAGGGGCGACTTGACTCGGCTTTAGAAGAAGCGCGAAGAGGCGAGGGTTGGAACGTGGTTGTCACTGATGGGAGCAGCAGGAAGAAGAACGCTCCAAACGGAGATTTGAAAACAAAGCCATTTTATTTGGAGCCCAGAAGCCCCATATAACGTAGCGAGGGAGGGGTGGTTTGTTTACTTTTGTCGAGAATAAGCAGAAAAAGGCGGGAGACACGGTGTCGGGGACGAGTTTTGAACCCTATGAGAACCGTGCGCTTGAACCATGAGGCACGAGTTGAAGAAAACATGAGCATTACTACGGAGTACCACCACCACTAGTACAGTACAGTACAGTTCAAGACAGTTCAGCACCAGTGGCAGTGCTAATGGGTCATGGCTGATGCCGGTGGCCTCCTCTAGAGTACACTCGGCCTGGATATCGAATCGTTATCCGAGAGGAAAGAAGATAAAGATAGGGGAAAAGGGGGGCCAAGGGCACACGGGAAACGAAAAAGGACACTCAGAGGCAAACGAAAAGGACACAGAGGGGGGTCCAGAGGGAAGAGAAAAGGGGGGCCGGATTCGGATCGCTACAACTCACACCTGTCTCTACACAGCCCGCAGCGATCGATCATGGAGCCCGTTCTTAGCTGCGGCTGAATGAATGGCAAAACAGCGAGAGACAATAAATAGAAACCGTGGGCGCCGGCGGCGGGAGGCACCGTACACACTCGTACAGACTCCAGTCTCCGGACGCCATGCAGACGCGGTAAACAATCGACTGGTCAATAAAATCGTGTCCTCTTACGGAGTCGAGTAATAACCACCGAGAATTAAAACAGACCAAAGACCCCTTTTCCACACACATACGGACTACATTATCCTGGACTCTTTCTCTTTCGTCTCTCTGTTCTGTATAGACAGTTTTCATACCTGCATCCTACATACACACACCTCCATTCTTACATACACTCCCAAGAGATAAAAACAAACCACCACACACAATGGCTACCAACGGATCTACTGTGCCCTCATACCTCTTGACCGGCAAGGTCGCTCTGGTCACTGGCTCAGGTACGTTGCCTCTGTGCGGTTGGCATATTACGTGAATGGAACCAGGACGACACAAACTGCTGTCCGTCTTTCTCTTTCTCCGTCCTCGGCCGCCTGAGTTCTGGGTTCTGAGTGCGTTTGCCCCTCACCGCATTTTCTGGGCACCCAAAAAGTCCGAGGGCGACGAGGACAAGCCACACAACAGAAGCAATGGAAGAACCAAGACAAGGGCATGAGCATGAGAAAGGGAAAGAGACGGGGAGAGAGAGAAAAGAGAAACACATACACACATACACACGTTCCAAAAATATTGCGAGGAAACAAATTCGACTGACATTAGGGTGACAGGACGAGGCATGGGCCGTGAAACCGCACTCGAACTCGCACGCCGCGGGGCCGACGTGGTGGTCAACTACGCCAACAGCTCCAAGGCGGCCGACGAGCTCGTGGCCGAGATCAAGGCGCTGGGCCGGGACTCGATCGCCGTCAAGGCCAACGTGTCGGACGTGTCGCAGATTGTGGACATGTTCGCCGAGGCCAAGAAGCACTTTGGCAAGCTCGACATTGTCGTGTCCAACTCGGGCGTCGTGTCGTTCGGCCACCTCAAGGACGTGACCGAGGAGGAGTTCGACCGCGTCTTCAACATCAACACCCGCGGCCAGTTCTTCGTGGCCCGCGAGGCCTACAAGAACCTCGAGCCCAACGGCCGCATCATCCTCATGGGCAGCATCACGGGCCAGGCCAAGGGCGTGCCCAAGCACACCGTCTACTCGGGCTCCAAGGGCGCCATCGAGACCTTCGTGCGCTGCATGGCCATCGACTGCGGCGACAAGAAGATCACCGTCAACGCCGTCGCCCCCGGCGGCATCAAGACCGACATGTACCACGCCGTGTGCAAGGAGTACATCCCCAACGGCGAGAACCTGACCGACGAGCAGGTCGACGAGTACGCCGCCACCTGGTCGCCCATGAACCGCGTCGGCATGCCCATCGACGTCGCCAGAGTCACTGCCTTCCTGGCCTCGCAGGACGGCGAGTGGGTGAATGGAAAGGTCATTGGTATTGACGGTGCCGCTTGTGTAAGTTCTCTCTTTTTGATCTGCCTTCCCACCCCTCTCGAGGTTTCGTCATGATCACGATGGGCTAACAACAACCCTCTTCCACCGTGTAGATGTAAGGTTCTTTTTTTTTCCACCGTCACTCTCGAGCGCAACCAAAGCGGAAAAAACTCCCTTTGGGACCACTGCGCAGTCTCTCTCGCGCGGCGACCTGCAGAGGACAAGAATGGAAAGAGAAAGGAAAAGAAAGAAAGAGAGAGGGAGATTGGAGATGACAAGAAACCCAAACTCTTTCGACAATGCATATCCCGGCCCCATATTCCCTATCTATCAATATATCTACCTGCCTACCTACCTTGGACCCCCCCGATATAGACCTGGAGTCAATACACCTCTCCACCTGCCCCCCTTGCCTCGGTGTGTCGGGGACGGACAGCAAAGAGAGGCCTGTTTGACAGAAGAGCCAGACATAATCGACTGTTTTGTTTCACCTGTTTATTTGTTCGCCTCCTTTTCTTGGACTGGACTTAGGATGGATCGAAGGATGAATGGGAGTTTTCAATGATTGCTTGCTTGCTTGCTTGCACAGGGTTACTCATATAGCGTGAGGAGCAGGTTGGAAAATAAAAACAAGTCACTTTTTCACATGAAGCAAAGGCTCAAATGGTTTCCTTCTTTTGTGTTACATTGCGACCAGCGATGGTTGGAACGGAAAGATTTCGTCTTTTCTACGCAGTCGAGTCTTAGGGCTCGTTTCCTCTCGTCTATCCGCGTACTATTTGCTGTACGGCCGACGACCTCAACACGTTATCACTCACTATTGGCAGCCCTCCTCTCAAATTCTATCTTACCGTCCCATCGCTTTAGCAACAAGCTTATCATCCAACGCATACGGTTCGCCATCTTCACCAAACACGACATCCTCGGCCAAATAGACCAGGATGCCTCTACTACGCCGCTCGGCATCTTGTAGTCGATACAACAGCCGTCCAAAAGCGTCTGATTTGTGAGAAGAGTGTAGCAACAAATTGTTCTCCGACGCCCAGTCTTCCACGAGACTTTTGAACGTGATTTCCTCGCCAATACTGGCAGCGGCAGCGGCAGATGATGGTGCTGATGCTCTTGCCACGGTCGGATGTTCGCGAGTAGAAGACGGTAGAGCCTTGGGCCGCCGCGACCCAAGAAGCGGTTTCCATATGGCCCAACTGTCTGCGTCGACTTTGGCTTTGACCAGAGACTTGAGCTCCGCGAAGCGCTCGAGATCGAGATCGTCCGACGACAGCAGTGTCCACCAGTCAAAGAGCCAGGTGTGCATGTCTGGAGCCATGGACTTTTTGGATTTGCGTGAACCTGCACCGTTTGAACCGTTTACGCCGCCGAGGCTAAGTGTAGTCGACTCGACTCGCTTAGGAAATCGTTTCACCGCCTCGATCAGTCGCGGGAGCGCGACTTCGTGGAGGATTTTGTATATCATCCAAGCTGGTAGGATGGGCGACCAGGACGTAACCAGCGTATATGCTGGGTCGGGATCATATAAATCCCAATCTTTCCCAAGAGCGACACGGATTCGAGGGTACCAGTGCAGCAGTAGCAGACTCTCAAAGTACGTCGTCCGTTTGCGGTGTCGGGCAGTGGTGGACTTTTCGATCTGCAACAGTTGATCAATGGATTGGAGAGATGCGACCAGGAGGCGCGGATCGCTTAGAGGATCCCATTCTGCCAGTTGTCGACGGAAGGGGGTCTCGAGGCACGAAACCGCAAGCTCGGGAAGCGAGAGCTCGGATATGTCGTCTGCGTATTGTGCCTGGATAGTCTGCAGCCGTGAAATGGACTCGTCCCAGTCGCGGGCTTCGTTGGAGTCATCTACAGCCACGCGCTCAAACGAAGAAATAATCTCGTTGTATCGATGAATCTCGGCTTCGTGGAGAGACAGTGATGCTCCCAATTGGGTATCTTCTACCTCGAGGTGGGTTTCCTGTTCTTTTGTAGAGTCCCATGCGTCCGCGAAGGCTTGTAACTGCAACTTGATTCGAGAGGTTGCCTTGGCGGCTTCAAGGCCTGGCGAGGATTCGCGTGTTGGTGTTGAAAACCCGGACAATGAGGACACCGTCTTTGTCTCCGACCCTGTGGCGTCTACAATGACTTGTTTCATTGCTTCTGGGATGTGCAGGCCTCTGGACTCGATTGCGGCCACGGCATATTTGGCCTTGGGTGGGCCTTTGATACGCGGTGTGCTCGTCCCGGGAGTCGACGGTTTCGAAGATGTTTTCTCCCTGCTGTGGTCTTTCTTGCGTGGTGGTTCGGCTGTGCCGCTTCCTTGACCGAGGCCTGCGCGACTTTGTAGCAACTTGGCCTGGATCGGTGCTGTGATACCCTGTCCTGACTTTCCTAGACCTTGGCCCTCTGCATACCCCATCTTCGCCATCATCCGGGCGGCGAACGAATTCTTCTGTATTCTTCCTCCTGCACCGAACGCGGACGGTCCAGAGCCGCCCGATATCTCGCCCTGTCTTTGAGGAGACATGTCGGGCGGAGGAGGGGCCGGACTCTCTGGTTCTTCTTCATTGTTGTATTCACCAATGTTGAAGGAAGCACGGAAGCCACCCATTCCAGAACCCATGCCTAGGCCCATGGACGGCCTTTCGTCGTCGAGATCTTCTTCCTCTTCTTCATCTTGCTTCTCCTCTTGAGCCTTTGACTGAACGAAGCCCACCCCACGGCTGCGCAGAGTTTTCATAGTTCTCCTGCGCTTATTGGGTCTCTCCTCGTCGGTGTCATCGTCATCGTAGTCGCGAAGGTTGAACGGCTGGTCGTCTTCTGAAGAGTCGCTCATTGTGGAATTTCCTGGGCGCGAAACTCGCTGTCTGATCAGCAGGTGGTGTCAAATCTCAGCGCATTATTATCGCAGCGTGATCCAGACGCCCACATCCAACGTAGGTCGAGCACGTGGTTGTTATTCCCCCGAGTTTGAGTAAAGTAGTATGCAGTGTTTGTTCTGGAAGGCTGCAAGGCTGCAGGTCAGTCCAATGCAGAAATTCGAGTTCTACCGAATTGATGCCGGCGTCGTGAGTTGAGCCCGATGTCATACGGAGAGTACGGTGTATGTATATTCACATCTGCTCGACCGTAGTAGATACGGTGAAATACAAGCACCATCTGGAGCTTGCGGTGTCGGAAGCAGCTCGTACTCGCATCAATCAATCAGGGACTCGGGACTCCATGCAAGGGTGACGTAAAAGCTGCAACTTCTCCAACGCCGAAGCATCTTTGATAAACGGATCCACGGATACCATACATTCGACGGCCTTCTGTCTCATCTCTCTCTTTATCAACTCTACAGTGACCTTTCTTGACAGTCCAGAGCTTCCAATACAGCACAGCAACATCATGGCTTCCTCTCTACGTTCTCTCGCTCGTCCCTCCACTCTCAGAGCTGTCGCAGCTACTCAACCTCTCCGATGCCTCACCACAGCAAACCGAACCTTTGTCCGCACGAAGGTCACTCTCCCTGATCTTTCATGTAGGCATCACGACCCCCCGGAGATATCCAAATCAGACCGTCACCACAAGGTATCCCGCTGCTAACACGAGAGTCTAGACGATTACGGCGCGCTCGAGCCAGCTATTTCCGGAAAGATCATGGAGCTGCACCACAGCAAGCACCACCAGACCTACGTGAACTCGTACAACGAGGCTGCGGACAAGTACGCCGCGGCCGACGCGAACGGCGACGTGGCTGCCAAGATCGCCCTGCAGCCGTTGATCAACTTCCACGGCGGTGGCCACGTCAACCACAGCCTGTTCTGGGAGAACCTGGCTCCCAAGAACTCCGGCGGCGGCGAACCTCCCTCCGGCGAACTGGCCAAGGCCATCGACACGACGTACGGCGGTCTCGAGGACCTGAAGAAGAAGTTTAACGCCGCCTTGGCCGGCATTCAAGGCAGCGGCTGGGCCTGGCTGGTCAAGGACACACAGACTGGAGATATCTCTATTCAGACATACGCCAACCAGGATCCCGTGGTCGGTCGGTACAAGCCTCTGCTGGGCGTTGATGCCTGGGAACACGCGGTAAGTCATTGGAGTCGAGATGTGCTAGCAGGCTTATCCCTACACCAACACCTTTCTTTATGTACGCCCTTATGCGCAGTATGCTGACAAATGCACGCACAGTACTACCTCCAGTACCAGAACCGGAAGGCCGAATACTTCAGTGCAATCTGGGATGTGATCAACTGGAAGGCGGCCGAGAAGAGATTTCAGTAGCTCAGAGGGGACGAAAAACAACCAAAGAGTCATACTCGTCTGAAACATGTATGAAGACGAAATGTATAGTCGGCTGCATGCAGAACGAGTATTTTAATTGAATCGATACTGATATCCCACAATTGAAGCGTTGACAATGAACATGTTCGGTCCTTTTTTTGAGTAGTCGTAACTCCATCACTAAATCCCACATAAGGGGCACCTATCTGACATGGTTATAAACAAGTGAAGGATCGTTGCTTGACGTACATGTAATTCTTCTCGGCCTGACGAAGAATGCATACAACAGAGGGCGATTTAGTCAACTATCTGCTCTCACCACAGAGACAAGGCCCTCGCATCCTCAACAGTGACGCGGATCATTTTCTTGATCTCTGTTTTCCAGTTGTTCTCTCTCCATCGGTCCCACTGGCCAAAGTTTTCGTCCGTCTCCAGGTTCAGCGTGTCGTATCCTTCCTTGATGACCTCTTGGATTGCCGCCGGGGACTCGTGCGTCTTTTTCCCGTGCTGCGCCTGCAAGAGGCCGTGGTAGTGCGACGACACGGTGATCAGTGCCTCTATGGATCTTTTCAGCCTGCCGTCAGGACCAGAAAGGCCACTGCTCGAGTCGCAGTACTCTTGCTTGAACTTGGGGAGGACATTGTACGCCTCGATCACCTTGTAGAAGAGGTCGTCGAAGCTCGCCGGGTCCGGGAGGAAGCCGTCGCCCTTGGTCAGGCAGAAGGCGGCGAGGTTGGCCAGCGTACCGCACAGCTCTTCGCGGACTCCCCTCAGATGTCGCAGGTCAGAGGCGTACTGCGTCAAGAACCGGATCAGCGACACCAACGAGCCCCAGATGTACGCCCAGTGGTGTTGCAGGCGCGTCTTGGTCTGTTCGAGGTGCGTCACGATGCGGAGGATAATGCCCAGCGCGAGACTGTAGAGGTTGACGTCGAGACGTTTGCGGAGGTTGTGGCTGAGCGTGTCGGTGCAGATGTCGAGGATGACGGCCGCGGGCACTCGGGGAGACGTGACGAGTGGCAGGTGGGGGGCCCGTTGGCGGCATAAGCGGACAGTGGTTTTCGAGTCGGGCGAACAGAGTTTCTTGATGAGTAGTGCGTCTTCGACTAATACTCGGAGCGAGAGCAGGCTCAACGCTCCATATGTCGACTGGCGGGGCCCGCGATAGGCGTGGTGCGAGATGTACGACGTTAACGAGAGAAATGCGGACAGCGGAGTTTCTTTGCTTTCTTTTCCGTTCGTAGAGGAGGGGAGGTTGAGAAGGGTCGCAGAAAACAGAGAGTTCGCTTGCACAAAGGAATACAAGGATAAAATACACGCGGCGTCTGGTTGGGGCAGAGATCCGAATAGGACTTTGGCTTCCTCTTCAGATGGAGGGAGGGGTTTGTTGGCGTCCGAAGACAGAGGACGCAGGCCTACCATTACCAACGTCGACGTGAGATTCCAGGGGGCCGGGAGGTCTTCCTGGACGGAGATGTATTGGTTTCGAATGTTTGCGCAAGCATAGGCGAAGTTGTGGACTAAATGACGCATAGTCTCTTCGTTGACGAAATCCTCTAATCGGTTTTGGTAGACGTTCTGTGATTCGAATTTGTTGTAGCTTGAGAGCACGCCAATAATGACAAAAACTTTTAAGCCCGCCGAGGGCGTTGCGTGGAGGTCGTGAACATACTGGACAAAATTAAGTCTATGCACCTCGTATTCTCGGTGACGAATGAGAACTTGTGCCTACCTTCATCAATCCGGAGAAGAGGTCTTTGTGCATAAAGTAGGAGACAAGGGTGGTGTGGAAACCTCCTGCAACCAAAGCAAGGGTCGTGTCTAATGCCTTTGATCGCAGTGTGTCAGTTGTTGACTGACGGATTATGGATTCCAGGCCGTGGACTATATCGGACATGGATTGGTCGATGGCGTCGAGTCCGGCAAGAACTTCGATTACATCAGTGTTTGGGTTCGCGAACTTCTTGGTGAATACGGCGCATAGAAACGCAGTTAAATTCTTGGACAGTCAATATCGCTGTTGCTCGTCCATGGCCGAGAGGGAGAAGTGTAGAGCGTACCTCGAGGGCGTTTTCATTCCGGCTGTTGTCGCGTGAGCAGGCTTCTCTAGTGGCTCGTCTGAAGAATGCCTGCGTCTGAGCCTGTCCAAAGCATTAGGGTAAGGGATGTTCCGATCCAGGTAGACAGAGTAGGCCAACTATACTTGCATATGAAGCAGGTCGAAAGCCGTCATTGGCTCGAGGATGTCATAGAGTCGCTGCTTGTCGGGCTTGAGGAGGAAGAACTCCCTCCAAAATCCCTCGGTCGGTATGGATCCATCGCCATCCTCGTTTGCCAGGGCCGTGAACAGACGGAGATAGAGCTGGACGATTTTTGGCTCAAACGAGTTAGGGCGAAGCAGTTGGGTCAGTGGGGAGGATTCCATGGTTAGGACGACGGAAAGCGGGATCTGCTAAACGAAACATAGTCTGCGCGTATTTGTGTGGTTCAAGGACATGGGGACGCAGTTGACCTCAGCGTATAGGGACCATGGCTCGAGAACACTCTGACGGCGAGATGGGAAGATGGCAGAAGGAGAGTTGTCGTGAGTTGTCCCAGGCCGAAAAGAAGATATCTGGTGTTCTTGGCAGTCGTCGTACGCCCTACCTGGACTGATTGGTGCCAACCCTGGCGCATGCTGAGCATCGCTGACCCGTGTTGATGACTCGAGGTCTGTGTCTCTCACCGACCGAGACACAGGGCAAGAATCCTATACCATGGCTTGGTGTCGAGAGGAGGCCGACGCTGCACCGTCAACCTGAGACCGGCGACCGAGTCTCGGCGAGGACGTTATTATTGGCGCAGCTCTGATTGGCCGAATCCTTCCGCTCTTGTCATTCGGCTTACCAATTCCCGAAAGACACAGAGACAGAGACACAGAGAGCGAGAAACTCTTTGTTCCCTCCAACAGTCATTCGTTTCCCGTCCACCACCCTATACACCACCACGTTCCTCCCAACGCGAGGCCAATGCTACCGACGGCATTGATACAGACCTTTCTTACAGAGACAGCAATTTAACCACCGCAACTCCCTCGCCATGATGTCCGCCACCCCCCTCCTCCCGGCCACGACGTCATCCGCCGCCTTCTTCAGAGCCCTCGCCATCGCCTCGACGGCACGGTCATGTACTCATACCCTGCGGGCCTTCTCCTCATGCGATTCCCGCCGAGCCTCTTCGAAGCGGGAGCTCTATACTGTTCCCTCGTATCAGCCGCACAGTCTTCCTGCAGACTTCCCGATGCCTCCCCGGAACACCAACATTCCAGACACCTCGATAGCCGGCCCCGAGCCCCAGCTGCTCGACTTCCCGCGGCCCAGAAAGACCACCGAACAGACCAAGTCTACAGAAGCTGCCAGTATCAGTGTACCTGAGCGAGAGGCGCAAAAGTCGAAGGCTGTCGAAACGCCGAAGCCCGAACAGCCCAAGTCGGCGAAGCCTCGGCGAAGCAAATTAAGACCGCGAAAAGCGGCCTTGACCATCACACCAGATGCTTTATATCATTTACGGGAGCTGCTCGATCAGCCCAATCCAAAGATGATTCGGGTAGGAGTGAAGAATAGAGGCTGCTCCGGTCTTGCATATCACCTGGAATACGTCGACAAGCCTGCCCCCTTTGACGAAGTTGTGGAGCAGGACGGGGTCAAGGTTTTGATTGATAGCAAAGCATTATTCAGCATTATTGGGAGCCAAATGGACTGGAAAGAGGACAAACTCAGCGCCAGATTTGTCTTCAACAACCCCAACATCACAGAACAGTGTGGATGTGGGGAGTCGTTCAGCGTTTCATGATAGATCGAGAGCTTCGCAGCGTTCAAGCGGGGATCAGGTAAATGACAACGATGGCAGCAGTATCACCACAGTTGTTACGGACGTTCATACCTATTTTAATGGCGAACTATGTGTTTGTTTCCAGATTTTGTCCAACTCAAGCCGGAGTCGAAGCCTTGTTCAGATCATTCAGTACACCCCCTTCTCGTAGTCAACCACTCTGACATCGTCAAATCTTGGACTGTTTTTCTTGACAAAGGCTTGGTGAGCAGGATCTTTGGCCACATAGTAATCCCGATCTTCACTTGATGCGAACTCGACCACGAAGCCATGTGTGAAGCCGCCCTGGAGAGGTCAGTTCGCACCGAGTAGATTTGCCGCAAAAGAGATATCGCAACGGCACATTGGCATCGTTAGCCTACCTGAGCACCCTCTGGGCTGTTGTCGACACCACCTGATGCAGACACGATATAGGGTTCTTTCGAGGTTGGGTGTATGCAAGTTGCCTTTAAGCCCAGCATATCATCACAGAACTGTGGTAATGGAGGATTCGGATTCGGAATCAGTATTCTGTAGCCTCACAGTGCCCTACTTGGTGGGACAAAGACCGACCTCTTTCTTTTCCGAGTCACTCAGGGACGACTTGAGTTTGAACAGGACAATGTGGACGGTGGGCATGTTGGTGATGAGGATGTGTGAGAGATCATAGAGAGACGACAAAGAGACGATCGTACACGGGTGAGAAGAATTCTTCCTCGGGCAGTAATCTGTCGTGGCGACGAGTATATGGGTACTCGGAAATCTATTCGCGTATACCGACGTAGGTAGAGTATCATAGAGTATCGAACACTGGTCGATTGAGTAAGCCTGTCGGTGGGTGAGCGGTCCGATGGCTTCATTCAACTCCATGCAGGACGGTTCGACTGCGGGAATCGTGCGGGAAACTCGTTCTCGTACTCGTGTTCGTGTGTTGGATGCTTCCAGTTGACGCGGGGCATTTGACACTTTTTAACTAACTGCGTACAGAGTACAGTGTAGCCTCAAAATATCACATCTCTCTGACTTTGAACGGGATATCTACTTCTCTATACTGTATCAGAACCTCGCATTGCCCTCCTTCACCTGCTGAGCTCGACCTGCACAGCCGTAGGCGCACCAACGCTTCACGTCTACCCCTCCACCACTTCTACCCTTCCTCCGTCCGCTTCCCCGAGACCTACAAAAGCTCACAGTCGAGATTCCAGAGACACCACACACCCTCTCCAGTAGACTACACGAACGCTCACAATACTCCTTGCATACAGCTTCTAAAAGAAAACATTCTCCCACCATCATGGCGACGCACTCCCACGACGGCGGTCCCTCGCACTCCCACGCGCACAACGGGGCAGCACCCCACGGCCACTCGCACGAGATCCTCGACGGGCCTGGCTCGTACCTCCACCGTGAGATGCCCATCGTGGAAGGGCGCGACTTCTCGGACCGAGCGTTCACCATCGGCATCGGCGGGCCCGTCGGGTCCGGCAAGACGGCGCTCATGCTCGAGCTCTGCCTCGCGCTGCGCAACGAGTACAACATCGCGGCGGTGACCAACGACATCTTCACGCGCGAAGACGCCGAGTTCCTCACCAAGCACGGCGCGCTCACGCCGGAACGCATCGTCGCCATCGAGACGGGTGGCTGCCCGCACGCCGCCGTGCGCGAGGACATCTCGGCCAACCTCCTGGCGCTGCAGGGCCTGCACGCCAAGTTCGGCACGGACCTGCTCTTGATCGAGTCCGGCGGCGACAACCTCGCCGCCAACTACTCCCGCGAGCTGGCCGACTTCATCATCTACGTCATCGACGTCGCGGGCGGCGACAAGGTGCCCCGGAAGGGAGGGCCCGGCATCACGGGCAGCGACCTCCTCGTCATCAACAAGTGCGACCTGGCCGTTGCCGTCGGAGCCGACGTCGACCTGATGGAGCGCGAGGCGAACAAGATCCGGGAGGGCGGGCCCGTGGTGAGGGCCGTCATCAAAAACGGCGTCGGCGTCAAGGAGACGGTCGACATGATCCTGAGCGCGTGGAAGAGTACCTCCGGGTACAGTGAGAGTAGGAAACGATGGGCCAACGGTGGACAGAGGGGGAGTGGCGAGCAACCTAAAGTTACTCGGTAGGTAGGTACCTACCTACCTTAGGTGAGGTGGGGGAGTCCCAGAAACAAAAGAATGAAGAATCCGCGAAAAGCGAACTTGAGCATTTTACGTACCTAGGTACTTATGTTGTCGTTGATGCGACCTGGCAACGTGCATGGGCCTGTGGTTGAATGGTTCAGAGAATACGAAGGAACGAAGAGAAGAGCCATGTGGCCCTGGAAAAGCTGATTTACCGACTCTCGGGGCTAGTTCAAGGTAGATCCATTTACTGGTAGACCTCTACCTGCATAGATCCTTGCGTGTGTATCTGGGTACGTACGTATACAGAGATCTTGGATCTTGACCAAAGGGAAGCGGGAGCACGAGCCTGAGCATGGGCTTACAGTAGAGGGAACAGTCGATGGGTGCAAGAGGACTGGAGGGCAAGATCGATGCCAGAAACGGAAGCTGAACGACGATCACCGACGCAAAACAAACCCAAACGGCCAGGTTTGGGAGAGACAGAAGTATTTAGTCGCAGGATACTTGACGACCAGTGATAAAATGACACATTGGAAAAGAATACCGACGAAAAGAACCCGGGTGGATCTGTAAAAAAAAGCCATAGTCATACTGCGTATGGTAGTCGACGACTCAGACACGTCTACAAGTACTCTCTCACCGCATGCCAACCTAGGTACAGGCACGTTGTACTCTGGGTATAACAGTTCCCCAAGTCCCGAGTCTCCCTCCATCTTCCTACTTAAGCTCCTCGTTTCGCAAATCTGGCCAACGCAGGTCCCAGCTCGACCTTGTCCTGGATCAACTTGTTCTTCGCCCTCTCCGCGCGCTCCTTCTTCATCTCCTCCAGGCGCATCCTCTTCTCGTCGACGACGTTCTTCCCGCCCTTCTTCCTCAGGTGTCTCCTCAGAGCGCTGTTCCTGCCGCGGCCGCGGTTGCGCTCCTTCAACTTGGCCAGCGGGTCGTCCGGGGGCGCGTCGAGATCCTTGTCGCGCTTCCGCTGCTCGGCGCTGCGTCGGTCGAGCGTCCCGATGAAGTCGGGGTCCAGGGCGATCGTGTCCGGCTGGAGCTTGGTGAGGAGGGACTTGACCTCGGTCTCCTGGCGCTGTTTGCGCGTCTCGTACGGGTTGACTTCGAGGGCGTCGAAGTTGGCCTCGCCGGCGCCGGGGACGATGATGCTGCTGAACCCGGACGCGTGCGCGACGCCCAGCACGTCGTCGAACGGGCAGAACCGGACCCGCTCCACGCGCTGTCCGTCGTAGCCCCAGTTGAGATACGGCGATTGCACCTTGGCCGGGTCCGATGAGCCCGTGGAGGAGAGGAGGTCCTTCCAGATCGTCACCCCCGTGCCGTTGCCCACCGCCGCGAGGCCGCGGTCGGAGATGTCGATGCTCGTCGCCGGCTGTCGCGTCGTGTACGAGTGCACTTCCTTCAGCGCTCGGAGGTCCCACAGTTTCAGCCGCAGATCCTGGCCGCCGCAGAGCATGTAGTGCCCTGACCGGTCGACAGCGATAGATCGTACGGGCCCGGCGTTCGATTGCATCTTGACCAGCGGCGTCGTCGAGTTGGGCGACCACAACGACACCGTGCCGTTTTGGTGTCCGACGTGCAGGATGGCGTTGTAGGGGTTTTGAGCCAGCGACGTAGGCGCACCTTTTCGAGTCGGATGCTCTGCCACAATCTGTCCGGTCGACGTGTCCGTGTAGCGCAGGAACCCGCTGTTCTCGATGCCAGCCAGGAGGAAATGGTAGGGCAGGAATTCGAGGTGCGTGGTCTCGACGTACTTCTTCAGACAGTGGATCTCGACGCCGGCGTGGTCGTAGATGTATGTGTGCTTTTTCTGCGCCACGGCAAAGTATTGGTCATTATGCAGCCACTTGGCGTCTCTTATGGTCTCGTTCAGATGCAGTTCGCACCCTGGCTTCCCTGCTCGCCATTCACATGTGGCGACATGTCCTTTGCGTCCTGCGAGAAGCAGACTGCGACCGTTGCGTGTGTAGTCTGAGACGTAGGCGCCGAGGTCGAGTTTGAATTCGATCGACTTTTTCGCCTGCTGGACCCCGACCGCGTCAAGTATGTCCTCTTGTCTGACTTTGTACGTCCTCTCGAGCTCGGCCTCGGGTTGGAGAAAGCCATCCTGGTTCTCGTAGAGAATTTCTGCATCTTTTGCACTGAGCACCGCGGTTCGGTACTTGTCCTCGATGCGTTTGAGATCGGCACGAAGTTTCTTGTCCTTGACCTCGCTCAGACGGACAGGTCGACCCCGTCCATATTTCTTGCGTGCCTCTGCGAGATGTTTCTGGTTCGCCTTGTCCTCTGCGGTTAAAGCGCCCGTCGGTGCTCGTTTCGTCTTTGTAGGTGGCTGGATGTTGTGGATGGTGAGTTGCCCGGCACCGTTTTCCACCAGACTCTCCATGGCGCTTCTCGCAGTGCCGTAGAACAATGTGGCAAAGTGGTTTGAAGCGAGAATGGCTTTGTTCAGTAGAGAACGTGAATCTGGTGGTCTCGTGTCGCTCCGCAATCCAAAAAATTTCTGTCGGCACACCTTCTTAAATTGAAAGCGGAGACTTTAACGGGCCGTTCACAAGTATCGGTACGAGGTCCGGAGCCCCAGCCGAGAAAGGCATTGAACTCTTTGTCTTGACTCGAGTGTTTTCCTATCGGCCTATGCGAGACTCAAGGACGCGAGTGGTGATGATACCACCTATGACCGCCTCCATCAATGGAGGCTACTCACGATTGGACAATTCGACGCAGCGTTGACGGCCGTGGGCGTTGGGACGGCGTCCTCTCTCAGAAGCTCGAACCCCATGGAAGAACAACTACGCCATGCCATCTTAGAGAGTTATAAATGAATCAGTGCCCGTCTATACATAGACTCTCGAAGATAAGAAGACTCCGTACTTTTCTATCGCTACTGAAGGGCCAAGGGAGAGTCGGCCTCCCGGCTTCAGCGTAACCGAGGTTATGCATGCGAATCGGCCATAGTTGATATATGTTCCATGACGCCATGAATGACTACATGATAGTACGGTGAGATTGATTCTCGAGGAATTCTTGCGGAAAACTTCGCCAGACAGGTGGCGCCCTGGTAAAAATCTCCCGGTAACCCAGTTTTCCGTGGCCGACTTGCACGATGGAGCCATTGAGTCTCTCTGGGAATGTCGAGGCCAGCCAGGAGTGGTGCGAGGCCTGCAAGTCGCAAGGAGGTCATTGTACTATTCGGGTTTTGTTTCGCTATTTCAGAGTGAACAAAGATTCTGAAATCCGAGCCTTTTCAACGACGTAGTAGCTGACATCTACAGTCCCTTGCAGAGAAGGTCCTGGCAGTACGTAGATTCTCGGCAAGTCCCAATGTCCGGCCGCGTACTTCATCATTCAATACGTGCGTCGGCCTTGTAGCAAGCTTGGTGATAGTACGCTATTTGCAAAGAGTGTACAGTATATCCAGTTCGCAGTAGGTCCCCGGTCACGGAGACGCAAACGAGGGAAGCATGTACCGATCACAAGCATTCACACTATCAAGCTGCGGAATTGCCGGACAAGGCGCATGGGTGAGTATCCAAGTAACGTCTTGTTCCATCAAGATCAGTCACGGAACTGAAGTCTCTTCTATCTCATATGATCTATCTCACGCGCGCTCTAAGCTCAATTGGATCTGATTGTCTCGTGTTGCGGCGTTGTCGGAGATCTACTTCGAGTGGATACAACAAGCTTTTCTGTGGCGGCCGGCTTGCTCCACCAAGATAAAATGTTGTTGATAGACGGAAAAAAGCGCGCAAAAAAAAGGAAAACAAGCATAAGAGCGATACGGGATCCCGAGCTGTACAGGTGAGCACGTCAAACCATCATGGGCATCCTACAGGACCCTCAGCCTCTTTCGGGGTCGTCGCACTTCTCGTCGCTGTCGCCCGTCGAAACGGACGAGGTGTTTAATCTGCTCGGCGCGTACCGTCAAGACACACATCCCAGTCGAGTCAACCTCGGTGCCGGCGTGTACTGCACGGACGAGGGCGAGTCGTGGCCGCTGCGAGTCGTCGAGCGTGTTGAAAAGAGCCTGTACGAGGACCGAGATCCTCGACGACATGACTACATTCCCATAGAGGGCGACCGACGGTTTCTCGACGTCGCAAGAGACCTGGTCTTCTCCTCGTCGAGCCCGACCCAGCCGCCATCACACGCGGGTAAACGATTATCACAGCAATCCTCTGTGTCCCCGGATCGAGTGGTCTCCGTACAGACGATCTCAGGCACCGGAGCAAACCACACAGGCGCGCGGTTCCTCGCCGAGACCCTCCGGCCGGGATGCGTCTGGCTCTCTGATCCCACCTGGGCCAACCACCACGTGATATGGTCGTCTGTCGGGGTCGCGCAGCGGCTGTACCCGTACTACGACGCACGAAACTGCACGGTCGACTTCTCCGCGATGATGGCGACGCTGGAGCGCGAAGCACAGCCGCGCGACGTCGTGGTGCTGCACGCCTGCGCGCACAACCCGACCGGCCTCGACCCGAGCCGGGACCAGTGGGCGGCGATCGCGGAGCTCTGCCGGCGCAAGCAGCTGTTCCCGTTCTTCGACAGCGCGTACCAGGGCTTCGCGTCCGGCGACCCTGCTCGCGATGCGTGGGCCATCCGCCACTTCTGCGAACTCCAGCCGCCTCAGGAGCTGTGCGTGGCCCAGTCGTTTTCCAAGAACTTCGGCCTCTACGGCCAGAGGGCCGGCGCGTTCCACCTCGTCGTCAACGACGCCTCGATGGTCACCAGGGCCAGCGTGCTCGGGAGACTCGCGGGCATACTCCGCTCCGAGATCTCGGTCTCGCCAAGATACGGCTCCACCATTGTCCGCACCGTGTTGGAGAGCGAGGACCTGACGCACGCCTGGCTGGCCGATTTGCAGGTCATGAGCGGCCGGATCAAGGCGATGAGACTTGCCCTCTACAGCGAGCTGTGTCGTCTGCAAACTCCAGGATCGTGGAAGCACATAGTGGACCAGGTGAGTACATCCGTTTGAACTTTACTTGAAAAACCAGACATTTCTACTCTTAATGGCAGAGTTTGGTGCTTCTCTTTTTTTTGTGGGTGCAGGCCAGGTCAGGTCAGGTCAACCTTTGGATTGGCACGTCGAAACCTTTAACCATTTTCCAAGCACTGACGCTCGACACCACTCGTCTAGGTCGGCATGTTTTCTTATACCGGTCTCACTCCAGCAGAGGTGGCCATCCTTCGCGAACGATATCATATCTACATGCTCTCTTCGGGGCGTATCTCTGTTGCAGGATGTAAGTTGATTTGTTACACATTGATTATCATATTTTTATTATCGGCACCAGCATCAGTCATTGTTGTTGCCTCGAACCGTATGGGTGGTGCATGTGTGCATGGTGACGGACATGATACTTGAAACGTCGCTGACCGTATCGATCTTGAATGCAGTAAACACAAAGAACGTGCAATACGTGGCTGCTGCCATCCACGCTGTCAGAACGCAGCAGGCATATCAAAGCTGAAATGAAGAGACCATGTGAGCGACCCAGTATCCGAGGAGAGGAAATGCGAACGAGTCTCCAAAAACAAAAGAAATGCGACCAAAGAGCAAAACCAGACAACCCCCTCAACCTCAGCCCCAGCCTCAACCTCTCAACCTCGACCTCAACCTCGACCTCAACCTCGACCTCAACCTCAACCTCAACCTCAAC